CTCAGCCTCGATGCCGCTCTAACGACGACTGTTGTACAAGCTTTTAAATTGGGAGAGCTATTCGTCGTCTCTCTTGTAGATTACTTTATGTGTGTTAATGGTACGTACAGTAGTTGCAAGATAATGCTGTAGTCTTGAAATTTCTCACCTTGCTTGATTGATGTCGTAAATGTGGATTTTCCTGCAGTGGAGAAAACGATCCTCGCTGACTATCACCATTGCTTTAAAGTGTCTATACAGAATACTATAGCCAATCCTATGGTAATGGACAAGAGACTGCAGTAGCGTTGGTACTATCACGTCACTTACAGGTACTGGACCGGTACCAAGAAAGTATTTTTCAAGCCATACTGTGGTCTAGTACCATACGCTTGAGTGGACCCTTTTTTCTCAACCCCCCCCCCCCGGTCAGGTGGGTCAGTTTACGTTCAACAAGGTAGACTGTATGATACAGTAGGGCGTGCTCCTGCTTACAGTATGGCCTATCCCACCAGGATAGAGATGGATAGTTTTACCTTGGTCTTCCCATAGGGTGTCACTGTGGGAGCACGGTGTACGGCGGTACCATTCAAGTCGTCATTTCTACCCTATGGCCGACAGGGAAACAACTTGCAATATTTTCTTCTACCCTTTGCATTTCTTCTTTTTTTGCAGGCTGCCAACGATATCATTTTATAGGCTAAGGTCTAATGGAGTGTATTATGCAGTAGTGTGCAGTCTACACTGGTAACAAGAAGATGAAAGAAGAACAATCGCTTTCTCTCTCTCTCTCTTGCTCGATGGATAATTTTACCTTGGTCTTCCCATAGTATGTCACTATGGGAGCACGGTGTACGGCGGTACCATTCAAGTCGTCATTTCTACCCTATGGCCGACAGGGAAACAACTTGCAATATTTTCTTCTACCCTTTGCATTTCTTCTTTTTTTGCAGGCTGCCAACGATATCATTTTATAGGCTAAGGTCTAATGGAGTGTATTATGCAGTAGTGTGCAGTCTACACTGGCGACAAGAAGATGAAAGAAGGACAATCGCTTTCTCTCTCTCTCTTGCTCGTTGTGGCCGCTTTTCAGTATGCTGCATTATTGGCGACATGATCATGTCGCTATTTGTACCTTGGATTGAAATTTTGATAAAAAAAAAAAAAACCACTAACCAATAAACTCTACAGGTATTCTACACTTCGACAGCCTGATGGATCCTACCAAAACGTACAGTACTGCTGTAGTGTGTACACTCAAAAGCAGATGAAGATGAAGTAATCCCCTTATTTCTGCTTTTTGGACTCTGTGTGCAACACCATGCGATCCCATTCAAGGCATTTTCATGCTGCTATTTCTGCTATTTCACGTTAGTTTGAAACCGACTGAGTAACAATAGACGTTTCCACTTGAAACTGATCAAGTGGCTAGCGTACGGTCATTTTGTTGCGGAAAGCTGTCGTTTTTAAATACTCAAAAGCAGATAAAGATAGAGTAATTTCCCACCCCCCCCCCCTATTTCTGCTTTTTGACTCGGTGTGCAGCACGATGCGATTTTATTCAAGGCATTTTCATGCTGCTATTTCTACTGTCACGTTAGCTTGAAACCGACTGAGTAAGAATGCACATTTCCACTTTAAAGTGGCTAGCGTACGGTCATTTTGTTGCAGTAAGCCATCGTTGTACGACCAGGGTATCCTTCTGCAGTCTGCATCCAATACTGACTACGACGTCAATGCATACTATGGGGCGGAAAAACGCAACAGCCATGGATTTCTTCGTCATCTATTCAACAGCTTATGCAGTATACTGTCAAACACCTTGATGCTTGGAGATAGCACACTCCGCTGATAACTCGATCGACTGTCTGCGTAGTCAACATCAATTCCTTTGAACAACATCCTATACCGTGCGATGTTACTCGCCCCAGGCGAGACTTTTCCCATTTCTATCCATGCACACACTGGGGGTGCCACTTTTATTGATACAGTAAATGAATTCTGCATGCATCCTTTTCTCTAGACTTATGCTAGGTCAACCGGCTGGCTAGCAAGCTTAGCGAATCACAGCGAGTTCAACAGATTGCTTTTATTGCAAGAAATCAAATGCAGAAGTGCATCTGATTGAGAAAGTCGTCTATGAGTCGCGGAAGATTGTTCTAGTGCTAATTATAGCATTAGATTAGCGACAGCTTTTGTCATGTATTAAGTGATTACAGTCCACCACTCAATGAGATTATGGAGTAGCCTGATGACAATGAAATTATAATACGGTAATTACTAATCAAAACAAAACTACTTACTATGCTGTACACCAACTGTTGTATAGGAAACGTTGCCCCACCCGAGCTTACTGTGGCAGTCTGTTAAATATATATTCACGTCTTTGATTACAATTAAATCACTTTCATTCAAGCGCTTCTACAACAGTTTCGACAAGTTTTCCCCCCCCCCCCCCCAAAAAAAAATGACATTTGGAGTACTTTTAATCGCTATGTCCTGAACTTTGAAGCTACTGAATGGAGCGTAGTTCACTGGTATGGTATTAGTAATACTAAGTCGCCTTACAATCTTTCTGAATAAAAGAGTCGTTATGTGAATAGAACATTTAGCTCTATCATTTACTGTAATAACTAAAAGTTGTATACTGTGCATAATAAACAGTTCAACACTAGTCACCATCATGGATAAATAATTACGATATACTACTGCAGTTTATAGAATGGCGTTAATGCTGATGATCAACAGATTGTTTTATGCCATTGTCAGTTTCATAAAAGCCTCCGTACTCAATGGAGAGTTTTCATACGAGTGTAAATCAATCTATTCATATTAGTGATTATTTTTATACAATTTTGAATAATTCATTAATTATATTCTTTCTGTTGGCGCAATCATACAATACTGTAGAGAATGGTTGATGAGTCGACCATTCATAGCGGTGCAGACGGTCATCTTTTTGGCACAAAATACGGCGTGCTTGATGGCCAAATACTGCGAATAATAAGAAGGAAGTTGGTAGACACTGTACACTCAGCAATTTCTAAAAGAGAAACTCCTTGTTTTACAATGATCGAAAATTTCAATTTCGTGCACTACTAAATACAGTACAGTAAATCTCATATTGCTACACTTGCTGCTATCGTAACAATGTACTGTGCGACTACAGACACACGATACTATTGGAAGACCAGTAAAATAGTTGGTCTTCGCCATTTCCGGGTCCCTCTTGATTCTAGCAGACATTTTGTATTACGGACTCCTGGACTGCTGTACACTGTTCACTATCCACTACTAGTGAAACACTGAAACATGACTGAAAGTACTAGAAGAAGACCTAGATCCGGACTCTTTCTTCTTTTATAACTAGTCCTTGACCTACTGTACAGTGTACAAGGATCACCCTTGGACGGACAGACATTTTCAACTTCATCTCGTCAACATACTGTGCCGAACATCCCTCCCCATTCTACTGTAAATTAGAACAGTACTCAAGTTTAGTATGCAGAAGGTCGATTTTGAATTGACTCATTTTTTCTCAATGAGCTACTATTGCATTGAATCTTATTATCTGTTACAAAGCTGTGCTTGAAAATAGTTGTACAAGATCGTCGATACCATTTAAATTAGTACCAGCGATTTAGAAAACAGACACGGAAGATGCATGCAATAGTAAGTAGCTATTTTTTTCCATTATTGGCGGCCTTTATTAGGTAAGGAAAGTCCGTCTGTCCGAGGAAAGGATCAGTCCAGGCCTTCTGCAAGGTGTTCATGACTGTACGCAGGCGCAGCAGACGCTGCTAATTGCAAGCACGTGAACAGAGAGCTACAATAGCCTACTGTACTGTACAGTACAGTGTACAGTACAGTACACTAGAAACCTTCTATAGTGTTCGTACCGTACTGTACAGTATGTACAGTACCATGACTACAGTATTGAACATTCAATACTGTACTGTAGATGTCTCTCATACAGGGTCTCCAGGCTGCAATATTGAATGTGGCAAAGATGGCAGCAGCTAGGCGAATTTTACCTCAGTTAACTATTCAAGATTTGGAGAAAAAATTTGTTGGATATTATAAACGTAATATCAAAGCATCTCATAGGCATCTTATTAATCCACAGACTGCAGGTAAGGTGATAGAATAAGAAGAACAATTTGTTAGGATATGCAGCTTGATAAACTTTGGACAGTATACCTCGGTAAAGCCATCGATGTTGAGGATACAGTTATTGAATCACTTTGGGGCGAATTGATACACGTAAAATAACTCCATTAACTCAGAGTAGAATTATCAAGACATTACGTTATTATTCGCTACTTCCTACAGTCTCTGCTGATCATGTCATACGCCTACCCACTTCCATCAGGCTTGATAGGTTACAATTGCAGCTAGGTGAAGACTTGACCTATGCAATGTTGCAACAATTTGTACAGTACAGTTGTACTAGACGTGCAGTAGGGTACGTAGTATACAGGAATTTAGTATTATTCTGCCATTGAAGATACAATTTAGATTGCAAGTGATTTGCACCAAGGCTAAGATGATTCATGAATATACCAATGATGATGCAGGAAATGTATTGATACATTTTTTGCTTCTTATTTATAACCATATTATGCAGATAAGGTAGCTAAAAGTTTCGGCGATCTACATAAATACGTCATCATCGAGAAAGATCCAGGTAAGAATGAATGGAGAACGATCAATAAAATGTAAATGATACGGTGTTAAGAGTAGTAAATGGACAGTCATGTTTAGAAGTACATCCTACTAGACTACAAGTAAATTATTAAACCACAACATAGTACTGTACAGTACTAGACTGAAATATTCTACTCAGTAAACAAGCACAGTATGCGAAACACGATGCATGCTTGAAATTCATTTGGTGACGATGCATCTGATTAAATGATGGAGTTACAATGAATTTGCAATAGCGTCAAGTTAGAGCTATATTATAGAATTAACTTCTAACCAATACAGTTTTATAATCATTGCCATATTAATTGTAATTTACAATTGCAAATATCTTTTAAGTAATGTTGCCATAATACAATTGGATATATTTATACTCTAAATAGAATTCTTTTACAGTGCAGTGTAAACTATGGTACAATGTATAACTATATCAAATAAGATGCAATCGATTCAAAAATGCAAATATACTTCTATTCAATATATCAGGTCCTGGAGTCTTAACCAAAGCCCTACTTAATGCAGGCTGTACACAACTGGTTGCTTTAGAATCCAACCAGAAATTTTTATCCGTGTTAAAGGTATTATCTTTGATTCCGAAATTAATTTGTTTCTCAATACTGTGGTAGATTATGTTAGGTGGGTAGAATGATATCCACTATTGACAGTAGCATAGCAATATCTTTGTGCAGTACTTTTTATATGCTTCTTTGTTTATTAGTCAAATTTTTATATTATAACTGTAAAGTAGACTGTTATAATGATTATAGCATTTATTTTGTCAAGTTAATTTTCTATCTGATTTACATACTTCATAATCCAAGGCTACCGTAGATTAAGGTCTTCATCATTACTATCTAATATTGATTTACACGCTTAACTTAACATAACTCTATTTCCTGTAAAAAGAAATAACATAGATACACTTATTACTATAAAATGAATGCTGTTTTAGGAATTTGCTTCCAAATGTCCTTAACTGTAATTCGTCACATGTGCTACCAATTAACTACTATGGATTTATACTAGCGGTTTAAAATTATAATCATTATATACGTAAACCCTTTGATGGATATATATCTTTAAAAATGTAATACCACACTATTGTTGTTTAGGAATTAGAAAACGATTCTGATGGCAGACTAAAAGCGTATTATAGTGACATTAATAAATTAGATTTAATACCACTTTATCAAGGATACATTCCGCCCGTTTACCAAAGTGGTGATATTTTAGGCCATATAAAACCAAAAAGTTGGGATGATGGTAACGTATTTTATTTACGCATAATTTTGTAAATTATCCATGCAAATAATAAAGTATCTTAGACTGTTATCAAATTTACTATACTACTGTATATAGAGTATACTCATCGACTTGTAGGAAAAATTGTTTTATGTGTATTATAGTATGTTGAGCACCACTTGAAGACAAATCTGCTATATCATTTATAGATATTGTTGGCCGAGTCATTGGCGTTGCTAATAATACCATGGGCCATCGGTTTACTATAAGTTATTTGATAAGACTTATTGAAAGGAGTGGACTGCACCGTTGGGGCAGATGGCAACACATAGCATATTATACAGAGAAAACTGCTAGGGTTAGCAATCATTTAACTTAATATTTTTCTAGATAACACTTCTATTCATATACCATTTGTACTGCTGTACATTTACTAATACCTGCAAGCAAATTTAAATCTTCTCTTCTATACTGTACAATACGTGTAGGCGTTATACGCCCACGTCGGTACTCCAATTTATGGAAGAATTACCGTACTTAGTAATATATTATGTAATATATCAACGTTATCTAAGGTGTGTTGCAAGAGACATTAAACTATATTTAGTGGATATAGCTTATTTCCAAGATACTGATAGACAAATGCAATATGCTATTATTACAGGACCATATCGACGAATTTTTTCCTAGAGGTATGGCAATTAAGGTGCGACAACTCTGATACTGTAACATTGATCGTGTTACCCATAACTGATTGTCATTTGTTGCGTCTTTGTTCCTCGTCTACGCACATTCATTCTATGGGCCTTTTACTATATAGGGAAATTCGATGGAACTTATTTGCCTTGAAACAAAAAAGCATTGTGAGCTATCAGGTTAGTGTGCAACTCCAATAACAGTTATCGCATAATATTTATTTATACCGTTGTAGATCATGTTATATTTATTTCATTTGTTTGTTTATAGATGAAGCCTTAAAATTTCTTGATCCTATCCTACAGCAAGTTTTTGCGGCTCGAAGGCAACCACTGTTGAATAGACTAGAGTTAGTGCTCTGTAATAATAATTGTCATGATTGCCTTGTTTTGTGTGTATACATTTTTGCTATCCAGTAATAATTATATAATTAATCTATATTTGACGTTGTAACGCCTATCTTAGATCAATTGCTCCTGGATCCTACACAGTACTCGAAAAATTAAAGATTCCTCCGCGAAAATGTGCATCCAACATGAGCCCAATGGATTTTGTAGAGCTCGCTGAGGCTTTTTCCTCTTGGGATGGACGAATGACAATATTTGATAGTTACCTATAAATCGGCGTCCAATGAATATTTGATGCATGTTCTACCATGAGTAGTAGTTCATTATTAGTATAATCAAAAGCGAGCTTGCAAATGGTCATTCTTTGAATGTTACTATGACAGGTGTTGTATAATTGAAAAAGGAAAATGAAAATTGGCTATTTTAAAATCAAGTTCAATAATAATTGAATTGATTGACTTGTTGTTGGTAATAAATGATACAGATCGTATCTGCATTATTTTATTCAGCTTATTTTTAAATCTTATTCAATGGGATTATATTATTACAACGTCTTCTATTGATTTGACTTGCTATCAGTTATTTCTGTACAGATTTTATTCATGCTTAGAAATTATTCTTTGGCTAAAAAATTTATAAAATAACTTCAAAATAAAAAAGAATTTATTCAGCATTAAATTTGTTGAACTCTTGCTTGTCCAGAAAATTTGAAAATTAAAAAACTTTATTCATGTATTAATCGTAACGGTATGTCAAGATGAAATAGATAATTAAATGAGAGATAGTATGCAACATCTTTTTGTATAAGATTGAAATTACTGCTATTTTAGCAGCGATTGAGCCGTCCACGAAGTGAATACAATAATATTCCAGCAGCAACTGATACATTTAGTGAATCAATATCTGGAGGGCATGATGAACTTGTTGGAATAGTAAGAAATGAGTTACATTTCTCTTTGATGGAGGCACTGATGCCAAATCCTTCGTTGCCTTTTATAAATACATAAAAGAATTGCTGCGCTTCAATAATAACAGAAAGGGATAACTTGGAAAGTGCAGTATATTCCTAAATCTTACCCAACATTAAAATTGTAGGCTTTCCATTGTGGTTAAAATTTTGACATGACATAGCTTGATATTGGTTAACTTCTTTGTGCCCAACTGTACCAATAATATTCCAGTCATTTTCTACAAGATACTATGCATACAGTATATTTGAAAGGTATTTGTTTTATATAAATCTGATAAAAACAGATAAATACTCGTAAAAGATAATTCAATTTGCGTACATCGAGGTATTTTGATAGATTCTTAACAGCATAGATTGGATAAACTTCCATTGCACCTGCACTTGCTTTGCTAACGACAGCAGATAATCTTGCAGTCTTTCTGGAATTGACCACGACACGATTCACACCCATTAGAGCAGCTGTTCGTATTAGTGCTCCAAGATTCATAGGGTCCTATATTCACATATAAATAAGATAGACGCTTTGCACTCTACTTTCTCATACTAATAATAATTTTATCAAAACAATATGTTAATAATACACTAATGATGAAATTATTGACTGTCTTGAACGCTAAATCTGTTCAAAGAATGAATCATAATTCAATCGTGCACGCCATGCAGAAAACGCCAACTGTTGACAAAGATATTCATGCATTTGCAAGTTAATTGATCATCGAACCTGAACATCGTTTAATCCTAGCCATAATGCTTTACGATTATTAGCCATGGCTGTTTTATCGAGATCATGACGAATAAGATTAGGTCGGAGTGGCGTAGCCTTCATAGCAACGCCTTGATGAGGGCGTCCTTCGGTTAACTTATCTAAATATCTCTTATCCGATGGCAATACATGTATGCCTAGCTTTCTAGCCTTAAAGATAATATGTTCTATTGATTTGTTGGGCTTTAGTGTACCAGCAGGATCTCGGACATAGATATGATAAATTTTTCGTCGATCTGTCCGAATAAATCCCGCAATTAATAAACCCAGAAAATATCATCATACGGTAAGTAGATCATGAGTATCTATTAAATAAATATGTATACGTAGGTATGTGGTAGACAGTTACGTTATTATTTTTTTATGTACAGTAAATACAGACAGATTAATCAGTTTAAATAGTGAGCATGTACGGTTTTCGAGGTACAGCAGTAGGATCAAAATAGATACTATATATTGCGAACAACTCAAACTAATCGAAATTATAGTAAATGATATCGTAGAAGTAGTTTATTGCAGTTATTCAACTTGCAACAGACCTGCTTTTAATGCAAGCTGACATGGAGCAATACCATAAATGATTTCACGATCTTCGTCGATTTTCATCTTCTTCTTTAAGAAAATACTATCATCATCACGTTCTGGAGAGAGCCGATCATGTCGAAGCTTCCTTACTTGTGATATCGTAGGTGTATAGCATAACTTATAACATGAAGAAACGGTAACCGACAACGGAGAAATTCTAGCTTTCATTAGTAAGCTAATCCCAACTACCCATCCACATTCGTAGCTGACGCCTGACGGTAGCTCAGCTCTGAACTGGACTGTACTGCACTCTCTCGGATAGTACTAAACCGTCGGTCAGTACGGTTGTCGTGGAGATCACGATACCGTAACATGTACAGTATTGTAAGGTTCTGCACGGTTAAGTATAAACAACTTACCAGGTAACATATGTATTATATACCACGGGAATATACTAAATATAGAATCCTGGAAGTACAAATAGCTTAGGTCTAAATCTGTAGATCCTTTCCATCGATTTTACTGGTAGCTACCTGATCTAGTTTGATTATAGAAATGAAATTTTAACCGTGCATTTGTTAGTAATTGCAGAGGATGATGTCTTAATTTGACTTACCTACTTTTTGTTAATTGCTTAATATGATAAATTTATAATTCATTCACTTTTGATCAAGAAGATACTAGATTATGGGGTAAGGTTGATAAAGATTCATTATGGATTACACGCTCTATTTGAAGCTTTACGCTATAGTAAACCCTGAGGCTAAAATCCACTAATCTCTAATTTATTAAAGCAGTAATTTATTTGCGATATTTAAGAATTAGACATGCAATTGATCACGATTAATAGTTCATTAAATGGCCGTAGGAAGTATAGAGCGGTAAATATAAATAAGCTCAGCGCATTATTTTGGATATCGACGTATGATAAACCGCACGGGTGTATTTCATATCAAGGCATAGATACTTTAGCATTAATTCTTCTAATTGTATAGGGTTCGTTCCAGAATATTAGAATTTACAGCTGTTTTAAGTGATGATATTGTACGCTAACAAGCTAGAAATACCTCGATGTGTTTACGGTTCGCTTATCATTTGTTGGTTATTACCGATTTATACACCTCTCAACTACGTACGATCGTATATGCGTATCCATCTACAACCATCTAGCACAACAGCTATTTCACGATTGCATCAGCATTTCCGACCGAAATCATATTGCATAACTGTAGTTGTATCAATCATAACGAAATATTAAAATATATTACTGTTCTCGTTTAACAAGTATTCATAACAATGAAATAAAAGTGAATTAAAACAGTATTACTGTAGATGATTACCGTAATTTTTATTATGAATGATTTTAGTCTTAACTCTTCTCACGTGTTGAATGCACAAATAATCACAATAATACAGATAGTAATACTATCAATATCTCAAATACTAAAAATAATTATAACGCAATAATATATATATAAACTGTCTCATTCGGTCGATATAGAATTATACACGTCCTTTGAGTACTTGATTCATTATATCTGTAATACGATATAGTCTAAACATTGTACCGCAATTATGACCATCAGTTATCCAGACTGCAATGTTAATGCTATAATACATTAATTATTACATTTATCATCAAGAAAATGTTAAAGATTGAACGAATTACTTTTTTAGAGTACAATTAATAATTATTAGATGCGCCAATAATGCGTAATTTAAATTCTGTATAATTATTATGGTCCGGCCATTTAAATTTTAAGAGATTCAGGTAATATATCATTGTACTGTATTTCTGATAAATTGTGTAAAACTGAAATGTTTCTATTAGCCATTAAATCACCTCGATTTGCCATCATACAATTTATCGTAATTTACATACGCGTATAATGTAGCTGAGTAAAAATTAAGTTTTTGTTAGTATTTCCATTATTACAGAACTGCATGATAAAAAGATAAAGTAATCTTAGCTTAAACTGAAGAAGACGAAGACGCCTTGTTCTGCTCTGATGTACTATATCGGAATCCAGCATTAGTAATGATAGATAGTTGCGTAGCATCCAATTTTGCCAAAGACTTGCCGATACTTCTCGTACTACTACTATTATGCGGGTGATCATCGGTACTGTCGCAAATATCAGTTACATTTCCATTAGAAAAAATACTATCTAGATCGGTATGCTTAGAGATGGAATTTAAATTAAAATTATTTACACCAACGTTACATGTATCTGTTGCTACAGACCCTTGTAACGATGTTCGACTCTCTAGACTAAGAGAAGATTCTAGTAACTTGGAATTAGATTTTGTTAGCTTCGTGCTTGGGTTCTGATGACTTAATTCTACCATACTAATATTTGATTGCGTATTACTTTCATTTGCGTTCCTATCTTTATCATGTATTCTTTGAGCTCTATCTATAACTTCAGAAGAACGCCATGTAGTAGATTTATTAGCTTTACTATCTTCTGTATTAGCATTAATATTAGTGTATTGTGAAGTGCTATCAGGTCGGTGACTACTACGACGATCGATAGCACTGTTTGATCCAGTAGAACTACGCTCAGCACCAATTCCAGTTCGAGGTTCTTGAAAACCTACAGTAACGTTGTTAATACAACTGTTAGCACGGCTATTATTTCTATCGGAAGAGCAGTAACCAGATATTCTACTCCATAGTCTGCTTAATCGTCTTGACAGTAATGGAAAACTGATCGATCTGCCTGTTATAGAAGTTAACTGTTCGCTCGTTTCAGAATAAGATGTGAGTAGTGGCGAAACATAAATAGGGTAGCCAATAGGTTGATCACATGATGAGTTGACAATATTACGTAAGGCTTGCTTAGCATTTTGAATTGACCCGCGTTCAGGATTACTGTTTCTAAAGAATATCAATTCCTGTTGCTGACCTGCCCACAGTCCACGTACACATTCACGATTGATCTAAGGCATAAAGATAACAAAATTATCCATTAAACAACTATATAACATTATATTTAATAGGAAATTTTTCAATAGTAAAGATTATCGATGACTTTTCAATATTGCAAACTAACCTTAATTACTCTAAAGTTAAGATAGGTTTTATTTAACATGATGATCTTGTATTCATTAACACCTTCGTCAAGCACATGCCTACCAGATAGTCACAAAAGCCATAATAAGTAAGAAAGAAAAAGTAAATAGTGGCGTATAGCAATACTTGCATAGCTAAACTTACCGTAAGGCAAGTAGTGAAGGTGCATTTGATAACACTGCCTGTCTCCATTGAGGGTCTGCCTCATGACAGATGACGATATTATCATTATATGCTTCTATTGCGGAATAAAGATTCTCTACATTTTCATACTCATCGCACGCTGTAAAGTGATCCTAATAAAAGTCGATTAGCATATGCAGTATTACTACAAATATGCCAGCAAAAATACAAGACCTATTGGAAAAGTTCATTATTATTAAATTAGTAATTTTAATGACTACAAGCTCTACCTGATGCAATTTGAGCGAGATTCGAATAGCTGGCGCAATAACTTTTTTAAGCATATCGAAGTCTGAAAATACCCACTCATCTTTGTCAGACATTACACGAATGTCTCCTTTAAATAATGAATGTAATCCATAGAGGAAAGAATCCAGACTAGGTTAAAAGATTAACACAGGTATTAGTATATGAAACTGAGGACGCAAGCATCTCGGCTAACAAAGTTAGTATCACCTCGCAATTTGATTATTTGAAGCTACACCCAAAGCCCTTCTTCCAAGAGTCGCAAACGCAAAAGATAGAACAACGGCGGGAGATTCTCGTCTTACCACCATGGACTATTGTAAATCATGTGGTGAAGCAGAAAGTATTACAACTGTACCATGATCGTCCAAAGACGTTATGAAATATCAAGGTAACTTACAGGTGATCGTTTCTTAGCACAGCACTTTATCCAATCAAAATAAATATTGCAAAAACTATTCATAGTAATTCCGCCTTTCCTTAGATCAAAGTCTTCATCTATCATATTATAGAAACATAGTCTCTCGATATCCACAAAACCTTGACGAGAACGAGTAGCAATCATGTCTTTGACTACGTCTTTGTCTAGCCACTCTTCCAAATTAGGAATTTTGAAAAGGTAATACAAAATTGCCTGTATGATAAACAGTTAAATAAGTTAATTCAGATAAAATAACACACGTGGAATCAAATGCCTAGTATGTGTACACACAACAATACCTTCACATAGTAGGTTATCAAGATTTTTCTCAAATCATAAACACGAAGCATTGGCGATGCACTATTGTCACTAATGCTATATCCTTCACAGATATATTTTTTATTCTTTACTTCCCAAGCCAGCCAACGTTGATTGAATGCGGCATTAAGAGATAAAACATATGGTAGCTCTTGCTTTAAATTGCAACAACAACACCCTAGAAATTTGGCGAATATTTATTATAATTACTAAACCATAACTTGCGTAAAGTATTACTTATACTACGACCTTTATCTTTGTGAACTTCTTCAGTTATGGCTTCAACTTCTCTCTGCTGACAATAGGTTCCTAAAAAATTCAGAATATAACTATAGCTTCGTGTAATTTTTACAAATTAAATTAACATATTTCGAAGCTTGCTAGTAAAAATTATAAAAGTTGTTATTTACTAACCTTTAAACTCTAGGCCGCGTATTTGAAAAGTTACAAATCCGTTGCCTATCTCAATAATATGCACCAAGCAGTTAAGATAGTCTGACGCTAGGACAAAACAGTCTCCAGCCATTACAATTCCCCAACGGCCCAACAGTATATCTCCACAAAGACTTTTCTGTAATGAATACGCAAGGTGCTCATAGAAAATTGAATTTAAATTATTGTCGTCGAAGCTCACTGCAATTGAAAGCATATTAATATATTTAAATTAGTCACGTTATCAAAGTAAAGAAATTTCTACAATGTAATACATACGTGGACTCCTTTCGAGATATGAAGATAGTTGCACATTGGAATGATCTGCCCTTTGGGTGCTATAGGAAAAGAAACTACTTTTAATATACAATTTCAGGTATACATAAAACACAATGTTAACATACTTGTAGTTACGTTCCCAAAATTTTAACGGTCTAGCATAAGAAGTGATGAATATTGCACTTCCCAAGAATGGATTCAGAGGAGCTGAAAGTACAGCTGAAATAATCGTTTGCAAGAAAAGCATAGCTGAATCTATAGTAAGACGTGTTAAGGAATATCCGTAACACGTGTGAGGCTATCTAGTAGAAGTGTTTTTCTACTAAAATTAAAAAGGTAAAACATTTTAAAAATTGCAAGATTGGATACGGGGAGCACTAAAAGGTTGAGCGAATGCATGAAAAGCAGAGCCCCAAGCAATTTGCCATGGAGAAATATAAGAAAGTACGAATTTCATTCTTAACACCAATTCATAGATCTAAAAAAAGCACTGGAATCATCATCACTGAAATAAACTAATAATCGTTTCCAATGACGTGTGTTACCTTGCTAACGGCTAATCCCATAAAGAAAAAATCAATCATAAAAGTTTCGCTATATTTTCGCAAATCATAATTGAAGCACAGGACCGTAAAAATTAACGTAAGATATTGATGTGCTGGCCGACAAAATGAGGATCGAAACGCTTTTATCCCAGTTATGGTCAGTATTAATGGAGCAACGCTAATAAAGAAATACAACAATTTACAGCGGTCGTAATCTTTGTTACAGAGGAAAATAATTTATTTTGAGATATATTGTGCACAAATTACTTCGTTACTTACTATGGACCAAAATTACGCATTACAATAGCAGCGTTATGCGTAATCGCAGCCAAGAAGAGAAATATATACAACACATTACACTCAACCAACTGAGCTGTAATGTAGAATTTCTCGAACCACATAATTTTTGCCGCTTCTATAAACGAAATGGATATACGTATTGAGTAGAATTCAAATTAAGGTAAGAAGATATAATCGTACTTATTCTTCAAATGTAATAATTAAAACTGAATACAATACGTACCTGTAACTTCGAAAACATGGTATTCTCTGCTCTTTAAAATGGGGTATTTGAAACATAGCCATGGCTGATGTTTACGCATTTGTGGGAGAATGTAATGCAAAATTACACCAACAACACCTATGCAAACTTGTATGATTATCATTACCATCTAAGAAAAGAGAGAGCTTTATTAGTTTATGGCAAAATCCAGATATTTCTGTTAGTAAATAGAAATAGCTGAATACTTACAGCATTAAAGTTAAATATAGTCGTAGCGTGTACAGCAAAGACAATTAACATTATCAACAACATAGTGACAGCATCATTATGTAATCGCTCCCTAATAGTCACTTTAAGCCTCTCAGGAAGCATTTTCTCTAAATCGTTGGATTCACTTTGTGAAATATCTTCAGGAGGTTGTCCGTGTTTAAATATGGGTACTGCTAATGACCAGATTATTGTTGGATCACTATTAGACCGGCTTAGAAAAAATGATGTTGATACGAGAACAGCACAGTAGGCAGAAAAACCTAAACTATTCTGCCCTGCAGCATTTTCCTAAGAATAGATAAGAAAAAGTGTTTCAAATATTGAACTTATCAGGTATAGCCAAAAATCAATTACTTACTGTACTCGGAAGTGCAGCATAGCAAATAGCATAATTGAGAGCAACAAGAGCAATATTTCGAATGATAGTAAAAACAGCAGCGTGGAGACTGGTTAAAGCTAAAATAAGGCAATAGCAATAAGTTGAATAAGCATAATTTTCAGTACTTATTTCTATCAAACAAATATAGTTCACTCATTTCAGTACCACTTCCGCCAAAAACATGAATATCGACTTGTTCCAAGAAGTATAAGCAAAACGTATTTACTTGTGGGAAAATACCAAGTAGAAACAGGAATGGCAAAAGCATCGTAATTACTAAAAGTACAAGATATAAAATAATGAATCTAAGGGCTAAAGTCGTTGTATAGTCATACAATCACTAAACTGAATACTGAATAGTAAATATTACCAATCATCAGATCCCTAGCAAATAGGACAACAGTAGGATTGTTTATCCTTAGACCATACAGGTACATCGGATCAGGCTTTTGTTTCGCAAAAGCATCAAGAATAAGAATTATGGACGTACATATGCAGAAATAGACTGATCTACTGTACACGGTAATTTTATTGTAACCATGAGCGGGAGAACAGGCATCTGGTTGTACACTTTTCAAGAGAGAAAAATGGCAGCTAGCCATAACGAAACAAAACCAAAATACCCAGAACTCATAAAGGTAATTTTGCATTAGAATTAGAAAGCCCAAGCCACTAACTAGAGCAGCAAGGGTAACTTGTAATACAATTTCAGTTATGTTAAAATTTCTGTCTAGTAGAGCTTCAATACTCAATCGATCTGAATTAATTTGTATAGTCTTCCAGGGTAAAATCTTAATTTTAAAGGTATGAATTGCAACGGGAATCGGTTGCCTATCTGGAAGCCGATGTTTTGGTACGCGGTGTACTTGTAGCGGTTCCTCACTTGAGGAGTAATCTGTTCCGGATTCAAAACCATTTGAAATAGCCGGGGCTTCAGAAGTATTTCTTATAGTTGCGCTGTAGAACATAATAGATTATGAAAAAGTATTCTTGTGAAGAAACTAATTTAGAGTAGTACAAATATGATATTAGTAATTTTTAGCTTCCAAAGAAATCATTTAGTAAAAATCACCTATCTACAAGGCCCAGACGCAATAAGGTAGTTAGCTGTTCTCGGGTCACGTCATTTTGAACAAGTACAGTTGGTTGGTAGGCAACTCTATCTGTGGTTTTAAATACAAAAATTTCTAAGATATTCGCAAAATCGTAAACGATTAAGTTTTGATCAAATTAAACATGAAATTTATGAAAAGTTGTATGGAATAAAACTTAATTAACTTGATAACTTTAAAACTACTATATACCTGATCCTGTCACATGTCTTCGCACAGAATAATTAGATTGTCTATTACCGTCGATTGATACAGACGTCTCACGGGGCCGGGTGATGGGAACCTCTATGCTATCTAAGTCATCAGTATTGTCAGTGAATGAAGGTTGTCTTAAAACTAAAGGATTATCATTTCTAGATCTGCTCGAATCCTTCGCTAGTACAGCTGCATACATATCCCTTTCCAATTCTGCGCGAGTTTTTAGCGGTGCGTTTCGTCGCCTTCTTGTACCCGATCCTGCGTTTTGGGTACGGAATTGTTACAATAGAAAATTGAAATATAATTTGATAAGCTACTTTATTACTAGTATATGATATCCAAATCGCTATACAGTTAAAGAAAGCAACAGCTCTAAAGATGCTTTATAGTAATCTTGCATAATGATTACATAAAGCTTAGTCTCGATAAAATTGAAATATAAAAAATAAAAAAATAACCTCTATTTGATGTTCTTGCGAGCCTACTCCTACGTGATCTTGATTCCGGAAAGAGAATTTCAAATTCGTCAGTATCATCTTCACCACCAGAAAGACGAACAAATTTATCATTCATAAGATTCGAGAAATTAAAATCGTGTTGATAGTCCGTAGAGGTTTCGAAAACGTCGCCACGGTGCTCACTAAGGCCAAATGTGGGGAATGTATCCGAAGTGAATATATCACACTGGATATTTGCCGCTGCAATAGCTTGTAATTCGCTATGCTCAGATCCATTAGTGGCTGCACAGGATGCAACCGATTGCATGGAAGCAGCAGAAGAACTGCTACTATTAGGACCACTTTTATTTCTGTCCTCGAATGTTGCAGATGTAGAACCTACAAATTTAATCGAAAAGATCTTACAACTATAAAAATTTAATGGATTAATAAATGAACATTATACTTACCTATGGTAGAGTTCGTGGAAAGTTGAGCGATTAAACTATCACATGAAGTGGATACAGGTATCGCAGACGCCCCTTCTTCCGTTTGTAAACTTAAATTTCTAGTTTTATTTCCTGAAACATAAAGATCATTTTGAAGAACGTTTTAAATCTTAGAGTTATATTGAATAATAAGACGATTGACGTTAGCTGAGAGGCATCTCAGATTTTAACATATTATGTGCTTACTAGGAAAACTGGAGTGTCGCAAGAATGCCCTTCTACCTTGAGAATTCTCAGCGGCCTCATCTTTAATATGTTTACCACCATGACTGCCATCATAACTTTCAGACCGGGTGCGATCTTTTTAAAAGTAGTTAAATGTGAATTTATTTATGGTATATGAAATCTAAATTGTATTACTGTATAGTATAGAGTCAGAATCTATTAAATAAAAGTACCTTCAGCACTATGACTGTTTGCTTGCCACAGTCGATTATTTGTAAGCTCTAAATTCCCCCGAAAGAATTCTTCAATGTCTGGACTACTATGAAATGAGGAGCTACGTTTTCTGACTTCATCTTAAAAGTTTAGGAAAAAAGGAGAGTAGAAATCGATAAATTAAGACACGAAAATAGAAACTCATTTTAGGGAATACTTGTAGTAAACTTAATTTATATATAAAATATTGTACTTTCTGTAATTTTCGATTCTCTTGGTCTCGACGACATAGGAGAAATGTCTTTATTGTCTTTTTTGCTATCACCTAAAATTATTTATATTGATATTTTAAAATTATGCTTCTTAATTTCTTGTTAGAAACACGTGCTTTAAGGTAAGAATACTTTGAAACTAAAATTCAGTGACATGCATGCTGAGAAATTACGTTCATATTAGTACATAAGTCGCCTCTAGATGTCCTATTACAACACTTATCTGTATGGCATCGATAGTTATACTGAAAACCTAACGCGATATTTCACTATATATATGGAAGGATAAAGCCAATACGGCGAAAATGATTCTACCTTCGGGATTGTTATCCTTAGAATGAGATTTACGTTCTGCATGAATTCTTTGAATGTCGCAATCTTCTAGTATTAATGTCTGTTCTATTTCGCGCTCGCCTAATCGATTGATAAAACTATTACTTGATTTTATTTCAAGGATTAATAGGAATCTTCTAGGTTTCGTCATGATTAATGCATATAGTAAAATCCTACTAACAGATAGTATCGTATGCTAGTTGTATATAAGTACTTATGTACTAACGTGATACAAAAGCTGGAATACCATCATTCATGTCATCCATCTAAGGAACAAGAGAATAAAATTAACATATAACAAATGAATATAGGGATGAAGTAGACTCTACTATTTTCTATTGAAATTATTACATTTCGACGCAACGAGAATGGTTCAGGTCTAGGTTCAAGACGCGGAAATCTTCGAAAAGCTGTTATATAATAAGGCAAACATTTAAAAATTCACATAAGAAGAATAGCGATCGAAGCTAAACTTACGTTGATCATCGGATCCTCTCTCGTCCTAAAGTTATGTTGAGAATTAAGTATATCAAGGTTATATACACGCAATACGTTTAAAAAATTTAGTAATAAAATTGACATATTTTAATCTAAAAGATTTAATTATAATGCAAAAATTGAATACCTGCAGGTGATAAGATCGAGCAGTCGATCGTTCTTGAACAAGCCCCGTTAATGGCGGAGAAGCTAATCGAAATCTGGGATCGTTATGTCTGAAAGATTGATCTGAAACAGATCGGCGAACATCATGTAATAGATTTCTTTCATCAATCTCTGTTCCAATGGTCGTCTTCTGTGAGTAAGGTTCATTGATAAATGATTCATTTTCTGCCGTGGGAATATTGCTCATATTTTCAGTTGTATAAAATTTAGAACTTTCACTTGCTTCTCCAGAATTATCGCCTTCAGTCTTGCCCAATGAATTACCGTATTGTTTGCTATTACTGGTTATATTTTCGTCATAATTGCGATCAATTACAGCCTCAGCGAATTCTGGTTCATTGCCAGAGCGATTAGTATTTGCATCCTGGATACTATTATTGGGATCAATTGTCGGAGTCTGTTGGTCACCTTGTGAGGTCGTGCCTTGCTGATCCGTTTCCTTCGATATCCGATACATTTGCAATGAAAAAGAGGACAAAAATTTAGCTAAAATGCAGTTAATTACACAATACCATAATCATATAGTCTATAACATATAAATCAGTAACCTTGTTTAAGAGGTTGATATATCTTCTTATAATAGTAATGATAATTATAATGAACAATTACTATTCATTAACTCAACTTAGTGTACAGTACATAATAAAATATTTAATCAGTTATACCTGCTTATTTGATTCATCCTCTTTTGCTTTTTTATCGAATGATAGATGAACCCTATAATTAATTACTTTTACAACGGCAAATGTTGCAGTAATAGTACAACAGTAAACAAGTAAAGCAGCCCATCCAGTAGCAATAATCTGTAAAATCATCGAAAAAGATTGCAAAGAAATTTATCCATTTGACACTGCCGGGATCGCAATTTCCTATGCTGCATCAGTCTGCATAGCATAAAGATTTGTACAACCACATAGCCGATATGCATACAAAACTTTATATAGTGAATAATCATTATAATTAGATATATATGTACACACAGTAAAATATGATATATAGTAGTAGATTTCTGATAGTAATTAGAAATCTACAGCTAAAAGTAATTGTTGACAGCTAGATACTGTACATCATTATAAAATGGTACTATCTATTGCTGTTATAATATGTAAAATGATAAGACATAAGAGGTATTTGTACGCATATACAAAATTCTAATTTAAGGATGTTGTAGTTATTTTTTAAATTCATTTAATAAAAGATATATACTGTATATTTACTGGTACATCAGGGGATTTCATATGAGCGCGCTAAAGGATATAGACACACTTTAAACTGTATTTAAGCTATACACATATAATAAATTTTATTATCTCACAATTTGGCAATAATTCAGTCAGAAAATTGTATAATCCCAACAACCCAAACAAATGTATAGCCCGAATGTATATGATTTATAATTTATCGGAAGTTCTCTAGATACTGTAATTTACGTAATAGGGACATCAATTATTAACCATGACCGATTCATTTATAGTATAATCTATTTCATTCGGATACTATCATTTATATGCATACTGTACCTCAAAAAAGTAATAGGATCACGGATGTTAAATAGAACCCTTATTTTGCGCATTGTATGACTTGTTTAAGTGGTTTATAGCAATCTTATACAGTTGGCGTAGATAGCTCGATCTGGACTCCAATATTGGATATCTGGATATTTCCTAGGAATCCTAGCTAAGTATCATTCACTATCTACTGTAAGGAAATCGTTATTGAACCTTTGATATTATCATGAGAAGACAATAATAGAATAACTTATTTCATAATAATAATAACACGATGAAAAGTAAGCTACTGTACTGTACGGTATAGTACTGTACAGCGTTGTAGTCGGGTAAAGTATCTCGAGTAAAATTCATCGTTGTTGACTACCGTATGATGGAGTTTATGTCCTGATCAAAATTGTTATATTGGATTATCGGTATTGATGGAGAATATACAATTACGTATACATGCATCGCGAATATACACCGTGATCCCCACTTAAAAACAGCGGTCAATGACGGTATTGGATTAGATAGCAACAGTAGTCAAGATTATATTGGCGATATCCACAATACAGTACCCGAACATCATAGACGATTTTTAATCCTCGATAGCCTTCTATTCAAGTAAAGCAAGACTATATACCATTTGTATGATAAAAATTTCATAATAATTAGCCAAGACAAGCCGACTAACCAGTAAAGGTAAGATTATCCAATAACGTACGATATCAATCAATAAGAGTCAATATTTTGTATATCATAACATGAAGGTATTTGTACGTGATCACCAACTAGTTCATTACACCCAAGCAATCAATACGAGTTACTAAATAATGGTCATTTAAGCGCTATTATGGAAATAAATAACTACAACAACTTTGTACTATACTGTAGTCTGAACACTTCTTGGTAGTTTAGTACGAATGAGAGGTGAAAAAACAGAGTTACGATTGACATTTTCCTCTAGGTATGACCGCAAATTTTGGATGGTTGACTTTCAAAGTCAATGGAGACTAATCCTATCCATTACGCTATGCATTGAAATTAACATCATTCCATACTATCCTAGATTAGTCGATAAAACGTGGTACTTACGATGTATAACGTTAATGGGAAGCATAGGAAAAAGAGCCAGGAATACATATGAACAGTATTTGTAAAGATGTCATGATGAGGATCATAGAACCAACCACCGGTCAATGATGCCCACACTCCTTGTCTAAAGATTCGTACAATTTGCGATCCCATGTCTCCTTACTGTGAATCAGCGTAGGAATTTCCTGCTTTATCTACAGTTGTACACTGTCTAAAATAGGGTCATGGAGGATACTATCATGACGGTGATATTAATATAAACTAATCTACTTTAATTCTATACCAAGAAAATAGTCATCCTAATATTTTATAATCATGGCTAAACGATTTGGTTAACTCGAAGAGAGCAGCGACTAGATTAATAATTCTAATTATTATTATTATTCGACGCAGTAATTAATCAACCTGCGAGCTCGAGTACCTACAGTACAGTACTGTACTGTAGTGTAAAGTGTACTGTCAATCCAACCAGACAATCCGGTACTGTACTCTACTGCATTGTCTACGACAACACCTACAGGAGTATAGGACAGTACTATAGATGATTAGTCAGCGATAAAGTTATGTACTGTACGATCTGTACTGTACAGTGCACAGTACTTGGATTTTTTTTGCTAACGTCAGCGCTGATGAACACAGTACAGTACTGTTTATACCGTTTTAGGCTGTATAATACAGTAAGTACTGTACAGCATGGAGCTTGTACTGCTACCAGTCCCAGTACAGGAACACATGTTCTCCGCTCGCTTTCGACTCGACCTTAGCACCTTTCATTAATTAACTAATTAGAGTAAGAAAAAATTCGGAATAAATTATAATCGTAATGTGATGTCAGCACCAACTAAAATATACAAAATGGACAAGAATACAAATACTGTACTGTAGTGTGATTGCCATTAAATCATCCGGATAATCATAGAGTATTGTAACATACAGGAGTCGGACTAAAATTTCAATACATATTTGATATCCTTGATCAATTGAACTATGCAAATTTTGCAGCATACAACTAGAGCGTAGAATATATTCCATTGCATGTATTTGAGTTGTTTTTATTCGTAGCGTCCGAGCAAAGTTACTGCTAGCAATATTTAGGACATTTATTATTAAAGTTTACAACTTTACTACGTTAAGCTACAATACTGTACATCTGATTTTTCGATCGAAACATTTAAACAGGATATATTGGGTGAACGTCCTGTCGCTTCCCTGACACAGATAGCACAGTTAATTTCCGAATTCGTAATACATATAGAATAATGATTTAAAAAGGGGAAAAAACAGCCTACGCAACCCTTGTATAGCGAACAGCACTGCGCGTTTTAGATAATTTCTGGATAGAAGAAATAGAAAACAAACTGTAAATAAGCTTCACCAAGTATCAAGTACAGTTTTAACAGCCCTTGCCGACTCCTCGGCTGGACCATGGACTTCATTTCAATCGCAGAATAAAATTGCATCTACTGTACTGTTATACATTGATGTATAAAGACTGCATTTTCAATCTTAATTGAAGATTTAAGAACAATACAGTACAGACAACAGTATAGGATGCATTTTGACTTGGCTACCGTACAATGGACATTGCTAGCAATGTCTCGTTACTGTTAGTCAGTTAATTACGTATAAGCTGAATAATGAATGAAATGCGTGCGACAGCTATTTCAGCTCTCGATCATTATACTATAAGGTCTAGTGGTGTGACCCGTTAATTATATAAAATTATCATTCTACATTCTATACCATAGGACTACATCTGGATGCAGAAAACTGTACTATCCTACGCCTTATTCTATGATCGTAATCACGTTAATTTCATGATATACATTCGCTATACAGCATCTACAGTTTGCGATAGCTTGAGCATGCAATAGAAATCCAGACCACAGAAATAAACTTGAGCTACTGACAATAAGTTCTGATTTAGTGTACAGTAATAATGAAAATCGAATTCTTCAATACACGGCATAAAGAATTTATCAGTAGCTGTAACAAGAGATAACAGTAACTATATTATATAGACTATAAGCATAATTGATATAAATATATTGCACTATATGTGATCAAGAAAGAATTATAAATACTGACTGCATACACAACGTACTGTACAGCGCTACATGATTATTATATAGAAAACCATTATGTCCTACGGAATATCACACGCAGAGGCGTAATATCATTATACAATTGTACAGTCCTTATTTGTCAATTGCTGGAATTGAGGCCAGCAATGACAGTGAGCTATCTAAGCATATTTTATGTACTTCCATTATCTATAGCAGACTACTACATGGCATTAAAATTGCTAGTTAGGAACATTTAGTAAATAGGTTGGCTTCTTGCATCAATTTGACTTAGCCTTGCTTTCACTTCCATTGGTAATAGAGGGATAAGCTAATATCATCCAAACCGATGATAAACCTAACAATAAGAGTTTATGATACTTTAATAGAAGTTGTAATACCATGTGAGATGAGTAAACCACTGCTACAGTACCATCCCAACAGTCAACTATACGCTTTATAGGTCATTAATTGACTTTGACTTACTGGAAATGATCAATGGTGCTATAACACCAGGAGTAAAGGCTGCAGTGTGATATATGTAACATTCAGCTAGGAGATGGGCCAAGACAATGATAAACGACCAAAACGTTACCATATAGAGCCTATATCAGAAATAAAGTATTCAATTTTGTATGCATGTATCTAGTCTAGTGCAACAAATAGTTCTGTTATTTTTTGCGTGCCCAAATTTAAATTTCATACATAGTAGACAAATAATATGTATGAAGTGAAATACGAATATGATTTGCATATTCACACTGTTGATATACAACCTATTATGCTATTGGTACTAGTATGAAATATATCAGTATTGACGTCTGCAACCCAGCGTGCAATGTGACTCTGACAACACATTATTCAGATCAAAGTGGGCATACTTTAAGACTATTGAATATACTGGAACCGAAACAGCTTGAGATTGCAAGAAAATAGAATATTTATATTGTATGTTTGTAATCTTCTGATCAGATATAAAATAATTAGCCTAGTGTATAATGTCGAATTAAAACGAAATGTGATGTTAATAAGTACTTTGAGCTAGATAATATAGCTTTTTAATAAACATGCTATATCGCTATCCATTTTTTGCATAAATTCTACGCTCTACAAGCCAGAGCGAGGGAACGGCGTTAATAAATTATACACATCAAATAGAATGAATTTACTCTAGAACTAGTTCCTGAGAGCTTACGTCTTATTATAAATATCAAATGCGCAATAGATACGGATTACGGAAGCTAGCAGGGTCCAAGTTCCAAATGTCCTGGCTTGTAGTAGTGTAGCTGAGAAGTTAATAATGATAAAACACCTCGTTAAAATATCATAAGTCGAATGGAGCTAAGTCGACGCTAATTTCAAAATTACGAATACATATTTGCGGTTTATTAATCCGCTATACTTAAAATTGTATCCTAAAGCTCGTTCTATAGCTTGTTTTAGTATTAACGATGTGCATTTAAGGACCTTACAGTATAGGTCATACTATATTATCTGGTATGTACTGTATACGCGTATAAGAAGCTAATAAGTAATTCCAATATTATTCTTAGTATTGCATACGATAAGCTATGAGAGTGTACATGATTAAGTGGTCGGATAGTACAGCAGTCTACAAGAACACTGTCTCTATTGAAGAATATACTCTTACAGTATACGTGTATAGATGTTGAAATGGCATGATATCTGACCATAGAAGTTACCTCTATGCATCTAACAAATTTAACGTGTATTTCTAAAACAGCGTACTGAGCTCAACTAGGCTTTTTAAAAGATTGTTTACATTTTTTTGAATGATTATTTCTATTTATAATTTTTTGCATGTTATTCAGTGGGTATAGCAACTAAATAGCAGCAGTCAAAGACTCTGACGGAATAGGTCTTGAGCTGTAGTCGTCAGCAACTTTTGCAAATCCGAACAGTCCACTTTTAAGCTTGCTACCGAAAATACTTAAAACTGCTCATGAATAACTTCAAGCTTTACCTTCCTTGGTTTCCGTATACATACGCTGGTGTACGAATTCACCTTGCAAATAGCATTGAGTGCTATTTACGAATGCTATAGTTGCTATCATTCCTATCCATAACCTTAATGCAGTGATAAGAGCAGCCATCACGTTAACGCCCCAATTCCTTCTCGGTTACATGCTTTAAAGAAAGAAATCAAACAACTTTTATGTAAACTGAAGTCAGTCGTGTACGGTATATAGTACTGTAATATTAAGTACTGTACTGTACCGTATACAGTATATGTACTGTAGTTCGAGACTCACAGATAGAGGAAATTCCCTAATAAGAAAGCAGTCAATTAAAATTAAATCTACTTCATCGCAACCTATGGAGATATGAATAGCTTCTCGGAATTTTAACTTCCATCAGAACGTATACACATTTAAAAGTACCCTAGCCTATCTGCTTGTAGTGTGTGATAACTGTAAATACAGTATAGGATGTCATCCTTAAGCCGCAAAGGCAGAAATAAAAAGGCTAGCCTTCGTGATCAAGATCGATTAAATACCGACGACGTACAACTAACTAAGGAAAATGATAGTGGAAGTTACCATAATTGGAAGGCTACATTACTCTCTTATTTTTCTTTAATAAGGCTGTTAAAATGGATCATTTGGGCCTCATTGATGGCATTCTTCGTGGAGATACAATTTGGTAGTGTGTTTCTCATTATATCCATGTTCTATTTGGTTATTACAAATACTTCTACCAACGGTAGAAAGGGTGGTAAACTTAGCCCTTATTCCGTCTTTAACCCTGACTGTAAAGTCATTGATGGAACTCTTACTGCTGAACAATTTGAAAAAGAATTACGAATAAAAAGATATTGAATTAACGAGTAACTGCAGTACTGTACAATGTACATACAGTATGGATTGATATACCGTAAGCCGTATTACATAAAGTGCGCACGCAGCTGTTGCATTTACTCGTATTTCGGCAAGTGCTAACGAATATTGTAATGGACGAGTATGCATGATCATGCGTAATCTTGCATTGGACAAAATACTCACAAGTTATAACTATTTTTAATGCAGAACAAAGGAATAGAATCTGTCGAAAATACTTCCACAATGTAATTTATTTACTTCTACTTGCAAGTTGGTATTCGTATTGGCAGTCCTACTCTTATAGCCGTATTTTCTTCATTATTAATATAGCTCAAGTAAACACAAAATCTTCTTAACCTGACTAAGGACTATATTAACTATATAATACTCAATGCAACATCGAAACTTTAGTTTCTAGTTTCTATAGAATATGATAATACTGCAAATACGTCGTATAATAAGATACGAAAAGATAAATAAATACTCTACAACCAATACATGATAACTATAGAATTTTATATTATGAATTTAATTTCGAAATGATTGTGTATGAATATCCAGGACATTGCCTGCAATGGTCAGATATTTATATTCATCCAGTTGATGTATAATGTATGATAATGAACCATTTAACTATCAATAAATTGATCAAACATAGTTTGCAATACAGTCGAGTGTTACTACATACTTATGTTGATTGATAGTATATTTACTGGAGCGTAACAGTGATAAAAAAGATCCAACCGAATTTAATATCTTAATTCACCCTAACCTTAAATAACAACTTTTAGAGGTAATAAGAAAATTGTCAAGAGTTCTATTCTTCATCAGTTAAAATTTAAATTAAAGCCTACCATAGCATTTCTGTAAATTTTCTAGATTATGTGCCACTAGAGATCAATATTTTACTATTGTAAATAATACTGATAAAAATTAAAATTTTTTACATGATGATCTGCCCAAAAATAATTTCTACCATAGTAAAACCAGAAACTAAAAGATTATATTGAAAGTTCGTCATTTTTATTTAAGAAAATGATGTTTTACATTTCCTTATGGACACTTTAGAATTGATTATAATACATAGATTCAAGAATTTTATGCGTCTTTTATTTGGTATAGCTACTAAAAATGCCTTGTAATTAAATATTTTTATAGATGTACAGTATCGTAAATTAGTATGCGCCAATGCATGATATTGAAACGCTAGATTTCGTTGATATTTGATTTATTAGTGGATTGAACTAAAGCAATTAATTGCTGACAGGCTGGTAAGGAGCGTGACGATGCTGAAAATTTTTCAATCTAAAATAGTAAAACATAGTGTGACGATAAGTAAAATATTTTAGCACATAATCTCAAGCTTAACTGTACTATTAACCAAAGTTAATAGGCTTACTTCATTCGCAAATTCTAAAACATCAAGCTGTAATTGTAATCGAATTTTATCTTCATCGCTAACAGACGTAGAAGATCCACTAGCAGCTGCAGCAATATTTTTCTTTAATCTCATAAGACTATCTCTTGTCTTTTCAACGGACGTTAATATATCATTAATAATGTTAAAATATCTGAAAAGAAAATTACATTATCACTTGTCTATAAAATTGATTACACAAAAGCCTATGGCCAAGTAAGATAAAAATTACATCTTTGCAGATCAAGGAAATTTATACATTCTTACTTATCAGCTACAATTTGTAATATTCTTGTAACCCAGTCTTTACATTTATTGCTACTGATATGATCGCTTCTTTCTGATATAAAACTTTTCAATGGAATAAAAATTGCGTGTACGTATGTAGAACATTTACCCGGCATCTAGCGATAAATTGGTAATCAAATGTTAATGAGTCTTGATAGACATCTTAGTATTACGACTGTAATACAGCATACAACGTTTACAATCTTATACCTCTCTGTTTGTTCGTCGATATTGTCGAGGAACACTGTTTGCTGCGTCCAAATGCTGCTTACATGAATCTGCTACTTGAGTAATTACGTGAGACTCGAATTTTGGTAAATGTAAAACTACATTATCACACGCTTCTTTAATGCTCTCTAAAATTGACGACGATTTTAATAATTTTAGACTATAGAAGTTTAACCGCGAAATAGGCTAATCAGAATTTTAGGTTCACTATAATGACATTCTTCAAATTACCATCTAACAAAACAAAGTTATCACTTTGTAATTCTTTTACATGTGGTATAATGGTGTCCTTGTATAATTTCTTAACCTATGAAACATTTTGAAAGAGGTTCAATCTGATTGCGCATCATATATTAAATTAAGAATTAACGTTGCAACTACCTACCATTGGTATTAAAATATCTATATCTCCAATAAGATTGATTACATGGGCTGTATCTGATAAAACCACATCACGTTTGCTCTCTCGAGATTTGTTTGTATCAATACTAGAGCCCTTGCTACGATCTTCAAGTCCAAAATTAGGCTATAATATACTCACTTAGGTTAATTTTAAAATCGTATATCACAAATGCACTCTATTTTTATAAGTATTACTCTATTAATATTTCAGAGCTACATTCTAACAGAACTTACTAAGTTTTCCTTAACGTTAGTTAACCAATAAGAAAAGCGAGAGAGTAGCTAAAATATAACCGGTTAAGATACTCAGTTCAATATATAGTATATGCGAAAAGTGACAACGTCACATAATCTTACCTGCATAGTTAGCTTCCAAAATAGATGCGTTAAATTAAGTAAAAATACATCATCCGACCAACATCGAGAGACGCAATACCATAACGTATTGGTCACATTCAACCTACAAATTTTATCTGAATACAATAAAATTACGATTAAAAAACAAGTATTCACAATACCGCAAAAATAGGGAGACCGTACAATGTTCAAAATTTATCTACGAAGGTTAACTGACTTAAAAGCAATTCATTCATTGCTACCTGACACCGTAATAAAAGGATTTGTGTATGCACTTTCTGTCAATTCTCCGATATCTTTGAATCTTTATCGAAAGGCGCAATAGAACTTGTAAGAAACTGAATAACCAAGTAATCCGGTAGTGTAGAATATTGTAACGGTTGATATACACGTTACTCGTAATTAAATATACCTGATCTGAAAGTACACAGGTAGGTTCCATTTTGACATAAACTGCTTATAACTGCTATGGTCCCGAAGCCTGAGTATACTGCTTTGTGAACAGCAGTGATACTCGAATTTAGCGATAAACTCTAGTGTAGCTGTAAATTTCTGCGGTTAAAAGAATCAGACCCATTAATGGATGTCATAAAGGTATCATTTAAAATTATCGAATTCGAAGAATAACATACCTGATGGAAGATATCCGGATTACCAGGTGCAAAAATTGAAGGCAGGCGAACTTCTATACTTGAAACAACTTCTGGAAATACTGAATGTACCAAGAAATCGTAACCTCGTATTTTACTACCACTAGTAGTTATGCTTCCGCGACCGATATCGGATAATGTCGTCTCCGCAGTTAGCTCTAATAGAAGACCGCAATGGATAGGAATAAAATCTATAATTTTCTGATACATTGTCTGCAAAGCGACGACGTCCAACATCTCACTTTTAATTATCTGGGAGAACAAATAATGACAATAAGATTTAATACAGTTAACATAAAAACATTATATCAAGGTGCTAAGTAACAACACTAACTTCATTCGTTCTCGGTTTGACAACCATATTTCTAAATAAAGTCTCAGCTTCTTGGACTTTATCAATAGCAGCATAGGTTCGCAAACAGCGAGCTAAAGAATCAGTTTGTCCACCCCCTACAGCCTCTTCGAACAATCTATCAAGGCTACTTTTTAGAGTTCTACTGATTGAATCAATACGCTTAAATATAAAATAAAACACATTTATCAAGTTTAGTAAAAACGAAAGTTGTATAAAAAGAATCAGCTTCTTATGAAATTATTGTAGTACTCACAAGCTGTATCTTTTGAACAAATGGAAGACCTTTACTTTGATTCAAATTGAATAACAACTGATTAAATTCTATCGCAACGCGTTCAATTAAATGTCCATAGCTGGCAAAGAAAAGACAATAAGATACAAGTTATCAACAGTTACAAACAAAATAGTTAAATCAGCAGTCAGTAGTAAAGTATCAGATTTTAAAATAGAACTATAATTGCAATTGAATTTTCTTTTATTAGATTTTACTCACTTTTCTTCTTCAGATGATGCTGACATCATATTCTGGGGTGAAGTTGAGCTGATTTGAAGCAGCTTTTCAATTTTATCAACAGAATCTGATATATTTAGTAACCTTTGTAACCGAGCTTTTTTCTCTCGTAATTCGGTTCTCTTCTTTAATCTTCTATTAATACCATTCATCGCCTGGCCAATACAGTCCTTGACAGACTAGTAAACGTAAAATCGTTATGTGAATACATTACAGTATAACTTTATCCTTGGATTTAGAATGGTGACGCCTTCAAATCAGTATTGAATCATATAGTTGTAGTAGAATATATATATATATGTCCGAAATATATTTAATACGTATACGCAGCACCGCATTATCGGTATTGAATAAGACATGCATAAAGTTGACGCATTAATGGCCTTTACTTCTCTAATACCTTTTATAGGTGGCAGTAGAACATAGCAATAAGTTACCTTGTGCAGTTTTGCATATGGACTAATTATCAACGTGTCCTTGCAATATAATGATCTTTCTGAACTAGCATAATACGGTAGTGGATTCAAATAAGACCACTATGTTTACGAAAGCAATCGCTTTAGCTACTATAAATTATTATTTTAACTTTATGACTTACCCCAACTTCTGTTTTGATCTGTTCCAAAGGAGCAGAAATATTACTGATAGCTTTATCTAATCCAACCTGTAACATTGTAATAATACCATAAGCCAATCATATTAATATACAAAATTATCTGTAGTAACTACACAATAATTTAAGGTATAGAATAGTTTGGGAATTCATCTTTTGCATGCCTAATAGCTGAAGTGATTGCTGAATAGATGCTGAAAGCTGAGGATAGTCGACTAAATCGTGTTTCATAATGCTATTCATGAAATATTGTTTAATCACAACGGTCAGTCAATACAAGTTGGAATATCCGCGGGAACGATTCATTATTGTACTAGTTTACGTATAATATTGAGTGTAGTTATAAATAGAGAGCTGGGACAGCAGTCATCTAGATTGTTACAACCACTATCTCTCGATAAGCCACGACAAGCACATACTGTACTCCTATCATTAATTCAGCATAATCTTAGTATCGATGATATTGTTAATATTGAGAATTTACCAAATTCGTAGATAAATTAACAAAGTCGGCATAATCCTTGTTAATCAATTCGACCATGGAACTCTTTAGAATATCGAAGTAAGTCTTTAAGTCATTGCGAAGTACTTCCGGAGAAACACTGCTGCGGCAGGAAGTTATAAAGCCATCGACATTGAATTCTTCACTAACAAAATCTTCAGTTACAAAGCATAATGTACTGGGACCACTGGGTAACAATGATTGCTTCCTAGCAAGGTCTGTACCATCTTTCAATATTTCACCCTTTTCTAGCTCCATTTCTTCTTCGTCTGCTATAGTAATGCCGTTGCCTAAAATCATAGCTGACGTGTTATCATTGATGTCCAGTGTGGCAGCCATATTGTTGCGAAGTGCGCGTGCGTAGATAGAATAAGTGTACAGTACAGAATTGTGCGTCTACAGTACAGTACAGTACAGTACTGTACGCTACACTCAATAGCGCAAACTCAGTACAGCACGGATTGGCAAGTTTGCAGCGACCAAATCATCAACAATCAGGAAAGCTAGAGCTTGCAGAAATGGCCGAAGGTAAGTTAATTCAAGCCTTAAACCTATTGACAATTATACTATTATGAGTCTATTTCGTATGTCTGATTATTACATTTCCTCTCATTTTAATGGCTGCCTGCATTAATTTAGTACTGTTCACTGTGTTATTTACTCATGACTGTAATAAACATGATTGCTAAATGCTAAGCTGAAGTTTTGAATTACAGTAAATAAGCATCTTTTCGAGTTAGGATAGAGAAGAAGCTTTGCTACGAGTCATGATCCTAACCGTTGACTAGTAAGCTTCGATTTATATTACTAAGTAGTAAGTTCTCATGTAGAGTTGATTAGTTTCTAGTTACAATGGTTAGTGCGAGCCTACCTTTATCCGAAGGCTTCGTATTCGGGATTGACCGTGACATCTCATTGTGCCTAGCTGATTTACTGTGTATCCATGCTACTATCACGACCTAGTAATACCAAACATTTACTTACTGGTGATTTCCTGTAAATTGTATTTTATTCGGTCAAAAGCCTTGTATATAAAAGTAGTATTAATTGCATTGTGGCGTACTTCACGTAAACTCATAAGTAAAATTATGTAGTATTGGAAAAGCTGCAGCAGATTTACTTAAAGTGTTTATACAGTCAAAAAATAATTATAACATTATGCAACGTCGGAGAAGTTGTCATATCGTTTATGGAGGAAAAATGATATATTTTAGGTAATGATAATTCTGAATACTGGACGGAAGAGGATCAACAGCAATATGAAGCAATGCGTCAAAAACGCAGCGAAGCGAGCTCGTTGATGGGGCAGTACCTTCTGAAAGGCTACTGTATGCTGAACAAATACTGTGCGGATTGTCAAGTAAGTTAAAGTGTTATAAAAAACCTAATAGATAAACTTATTTTCTAAATAGCCTTTAGTATACCTGCATAGTGTATAGTACGTACGCAGAATACATTTAAATTAATGAATGTTACGAATATTTGAAATATACCGATAAAATCCAATAATTTAAGAATTTTACTTACAAAACAATCTTTATATACCAAAATGATTGATAAATTTAAACGCTATAGTAAGAGCAGTATTATATTATTTCTATAGTGGTAACGAGTCTGGGGTAGGCGATCAGCTAACTATAAATTGCAATTGATATCAAATTTTTTAACTGCTTAACATAGACTATCCTACTTAGAGACAAGAACAATCAGGAAATCTGCGTTAATTGTCATGTAATTGAAGATAAGCCATTAAAACAGGAAGGTATCATTGATATTAGACTCTATATAAGTCTTTCCTGACTTAGCATGATTATATGTTAATTATCACTATATTTTGCATTACCGTCGTTTATAAAATTCTACTCATTTCTACATTGGTAAATATTTTTTCATTCAATTTTAAGAAAAGAAGCAGAAACTTACTACGGAAACTAACCTATCCGATAGCAAAAACGTAGATACTACTAGAAATGAGCTATATCAACATGCAGAAAAAAAGGTATAACACTAATAGCGTAAAGTACAACTACTACGTAATTATTTAACAACTAAGTTTGCGGTAATATAGATATATTTTACTTTTCATTGTTACAATAAAGCGATAGTTATTTGTCTCTGGTTAAAAAGTCTAACTGTTTATATGTACGCGTATGCTAGAGTGAAGAAAGTGTAGAATTGTCAAAAACAATTCAGAATCCGGCAAGAGATGAAGGCCACAATGGCCTTTCGACAAGTACTCTGCAATCATCTGTGAAACATGCTAGCAATACTCCTATGCCCCATCAGCAAAGTGCTATACAGTTTACTATAGAATCACTACATCAGCAACTTCAATGGGCAAGCGAGATGTTACCACAATTGAGTTCCATCGATGGGCGAATTCAAATGTGTAATTTAATAAAAATAACTTCTGAAGCGTTGAGAGAAGTGCGGTCGTTAGCTGATCCAAGTTAAGATTCTCTGACGTATTACTTGGATTTCATTGCATGATTGTAGAATACTTAAGCGTTGGAAAAATTTTTGAATTGAGTTTATTATTGAATTTGAACATTGACACTTTGTGATAAGCTGTTTGTATGGGCTATTTGATTGTATCGATGATGACCCTGTCAAGGTAATTTTATGGCATTGTAATAAGATTACTGGTAATTAATTCAATGTATATAAAAGTGCATTCTCGTATTCTCAGTTATTTACTTAATGTTATAGTTGACTTTTGCTATTTTGATGACAATTGGTTTTTGATAATTAAAATGGGATTCAAATTTCTGACTACTCTATGCACACATGTATTTAGCTAAGATATCAGATCTTTGTGTGTTTCATATCTGAGAAAGCACTAAGTTATTTAGGGTTGCATCCATTTGCATGTCGATGTCAACTTTATTGATCACAAATTCTAAGTTCTTTCTAGCAAGCTCTAATAGTGTACAGTAGGAGCAATTCTTGATCAATCAATTCATTATCGTGTACTAATGGTACTAACTAATAACAGTACAGTACTATCTCGAGGCAAATGACGGACGATAAAATCGAGCTTTTGATAATTAATTTATGGACTCATACTGCGTATCAGCACTATTAGCGAACCGTTATCCTATACTCTTTATCCATTTCTTTTATTTCATAAATTAATGGATAATTGAACAGTAAATAGCCTTCACGCTGCGGCTGGGCAAAGACCCCCCTTCTGGAAAAGTTGATGTACCGAGCCGAGCAACGGGCGTACCGTTGGCCGTTCGCTACACTATTGACTGAATAGTGTTCAGACCCGTACAGTACTGGTGCAAGCGCGGTACCGATTGTCTATACAGTGTACAGTATCAACGAGGCTGTGACGTCACACCAAGAGTGAAAGGTTAGACACACTTCACACTAAATCTTTGTACTGTACTGTACAGTACAGTACAGTACAGTACTTGCAGTGAGTACAGTACATACTGTAGTCTGTGGACTACCCACTGACTGTACTGTCAAGCGATGTCCGAAAGGGAGACATTGATGTTTTTCTGGACAGTTAATTTGTAATGGATAATTATTTCTGTTGCGCTAGAATCACCGGTCTCCTTTAAAACAAACACTCACAAGCGTTTTCCACTGGCTGCACTTTCTGGTGAGTTTATTTACAGTCGGAAAATCAATAAGCTAATAAGGATAATTAGCGTCTAAATGGAGAAGCTCGTATAGAACGGTTAGTTCGTTGCCAATGAATTAGATCTTATCAAATTTGGTAGTACTAGCCAAGCATCCTAGTTGTTCAAGAAGTGGAGTGTAAAGTTACAGTACTGTCAATATACAAGCTATCACAATAGGATGGAATTAATTAGGATATTATGATTAAAATTGGCAAGCCTTTCTATGCATGAATATCAAGCTTGGATCGTTCTTTAGTATATGATGACTTGAAGACTAGGGCAAACTCATTTCAATAATGAAGCTAATTACTTTTGTCTTTATGTACGGTACTGTAGACTATAAATACATTGCTACAACAGATCCACTACAAAAGATACAACCATGTTGGTCGTGCAGAATTAAGTGCAATAGTCGAACTTGTTGCTTTACCTACGAGTATGATTGTTAGTGAATGGAGTGTGAAGTGATTCTGTTTTTAGTCGATTGGCAATCTCAATTTATCATCATTTATGATATTGTCGTCATAGATAGTCAATGCTAACGCTAATTGAGTAGCTATTGAAGTCAAAGTGAAGAATAAATGGATTGCTATTAAGAGCGTACTTTATTCTATTGTAGATTATAAAAAGGAACCACAACGTCAATAGCTTCCTTCACCAGGTCTTGGACACCAACTTGAAACTACGATAACAACCTGACCGTAATACACGCTATTCTCAATCGTAGCCATTCCGACGGATTCGATTGCCTTTCCTGGTTAATATTGAGCCACTATCTGTTATTATTTTGATATTTTAGAGTAAACATTTTGCAATCATTATTAGACGTTCGTCATTATTATTATCACAAAGCACCGACGAACTGGTACGGCAGCCAGTGAAAATTGCATAGGGCTCCACAGCTCTATGGACAAGAAGTAAAAAGAGGAGAAAAATATGTGAAAGGTAAACGCAGTTTACTAAGAAAAAATCGCAAAAACCATCCACGGACTATTTTGTTCAACATCTTAATGTACACTACATCATAATCAATATCGAAATGTACCCTACAATGGTTGATCAAGGATTACACTAACAGTAGAGCATGTGACACGTAATTCTAGTAGATACGTCGATATGCTGGACTAAAAAGTGAATTCTAGTCTACTAAAAACCATCGATAAATCAGTAACAAACTCTTGCCATCGACTACTAAACTACAGGACTAAAAAAAGCGAGAAGGACTATCAACGACTTTCCTTAGCAAAAATGTAAAGGCTGACGATTTCCCTGGTCATTTCAACTATACTGTACATCTGGAACCGCACACTGTACTATTGACAACTAGCCTCCATATTAGCTACCAAAGTCGGTTCACATAGTACGGTATACGCCCCAGTCGTCTGATTTAGTAAAACGACAAGCAAAATAGTCAGTTTACACGCTTTTTTCAATGAAAATCGTTGATAGTCCCTCTCTCTTTCCTTTTAGTAGTTCCTACTCTTGGTTAGATACAATGATCTATTACACTACTGTAATTATGAATTAATTACATTGATATATATATATACATCACTTTGGAATTTTAATTACAAATATTTATCTGATAGTGTTATTTCGTGGACATTTCTTGGCTATTTTACAAGGTACTCCACTTGCATTATAGGGGTATAGCTATAGAAGAATGAATGTTCAACTATAGCCATGAAATAGTTATACGTGCGTATAAACAAACAGTCTTATCATTAATGCTTCTAATACTATTCTAATGTTTAAACGACTGCTAATGTAATCATACAACTAATTTGCAGTCAACTAAATTGTTGCATGAAGTTAATCACTAAAGAAACAAGGCAATTACGTCATTTTTTACCTTAAATGATAGATACTGTACGAATTGATATGTACCACATTCTACCGAATATGAAAAAAATAAGAAATGCCATCATGTTAATTGATATTTACTTCTGTTAACTTTCAATTGAACGCCAATAGCAATATACTATTGTCAAGCATAGCAGGAGCCCACTTTATATATTTGTGACAATGGTAAATGTACATATAATATACATAGGTGGTAGCTATTGAAGATAACGAAATACAAAATCTAAAACCTTAAATGTCCTATCGTAGTGTCGTCTACCTTTCAAATACTCTTTTCACCAACTGATATCTACTAACTAAACGCTCTATTGTATTATTTGGCTTACAACAATACTATTACGATTTTGATATGATATCAATGTAGCATAATAGTGTTGAAACCATTGTATCGATGTACTCATCAACTGTTGTATCTTTCTCTTCTACGGTAGTCTTACAATCAGTTCTTTAATATATCGAAAAAGACAGAGGAAAAGCCTTAAAGGATGTTTTCCCTTGTCATTGCAAAGTAATATGCCAGTAATCGATCCAATCTTCTTGAGAGTGTCGCAATTGTTTTGGAACTAAAAGCCTCAAGAGAGATTTTCGAAATTGTCAAGAATGGGACAGACATTAAGTACGGAAGATGCTGTTACTTTAATCGAGAAAGACCTAAATATCTATAGCGCCGATATTCGCCCGTGTTTTGATTTTACTACACGTGGTACCAGAGTTACCTGCATGGTAATAGGAATACTTACCTATTGCGTACGATAGACTACTTTACTGTAAAATAATTCATTTTTAATTAATTAGTTACTAGCTATAAAAGGAGTAAGATCTGCTAATCGTATTGCATACATGTACCCTTATATATTTTGTGACGTTTGTACGCTATGATCACATGTAATAATATTATTATCAAGCAGTCTTTAACAAGCTACAATATAAGTACTAAAGTTGACAAAAATGTAAAGAACTATATTACAAATCATAACGGAATATGTGTTTCACCTTAATTTATAAGGTGCACGAAGAATGGCTAGACAATGTGTGCAAAGGGATAATCCATGATCGGAAATATGATAGTGATGCTACAATGTATGAACGGAAACTACAGCTTCAGCCATCACAAACAAGGTTGCCCAAACATTGGAAAAAAATATGTATTAAAGTTGTTGCAAAGCCGGAAAACATCGCTGACCCCTGGTATGTTGTTACATTGCTGTACTAATGTTATGATATAAATAGTATGAATTAGTTTAATTGCACTAAATCAATTTTACTTTAGAGCTAGCAACGTAAAATGTTATGCCTTTCTAATATTGTAATATTATCTTTACTTACCGTTATTCTTATATGTTTCTTTATGGTGTTGACATGTATTGAATACCAAGTAAAATCAAATTATCTTGATCTGTTGAACAGTTTTCTCATACCCTGAAGTAGTAGTTCTATTACTGTTCCTTAATATTATTAAAAGTTAAACTACAGTACTATATAACTATGTAATGATTACATCTTTTTATTGCAGTCAAGTCAATCTTCCTGTTTCGGCAATGGTATTAAACAACTTTGAGCCGCTACCAGGAAACGCAAACTATGCACAGGTTATGAGTTATATCAACAAAGCCACTCATTTACTGGCATGTCTCTATTTTCAAGACTTCTGCAAAAATATCTCGTTTGAAGCTGTATCACCATGCACTTATATCAAAATTCCTTTAAAGGTTATAAAATTATATAGGCTTAAATTTGCCCTTACAAAAATAAAACATATAATAAACAATTGATGAGGTCTTTCATTAATAATTATTTGAAATAGAAGATATGCTATCTTGATGTAACGTGAAATAAAATAACTCATTTGTTAGTGTATTCATACGAAGTAACAGAACTTTAGAATATTCCTTTATTGTATCGTTTTTCAGGAGCTAATACAAAGTATCTTATCTGGATTATATGGTATACAACTTGTTCGCGCAACTACAGGAAATTCTGGAGATACTCCAGCAGCACCAGTTGTCGACGGAGCTAGACGAGATAGTCAGACTCTTGTTCCTACTGTCAACATAACGGTCGATAAGAGTGAAGCTGAATCAGATAGCGAGTCAAGCTGGCATCAAAGTAAAATACATCAGCAAGAAAGAGATGATGTCCGTACCAACCTATTTCAAAGACTGAAGCATTCTTTTCAACAACATATTCACCAACAAGAACATATACAACAAATACAGCATGTAATCCATTCTAGTCTAAATAATACTCAAAATGCAAATCTACTGCCTATTATCTGTGCTTTAGAAACAGAAAAAGCATTTTATTTTATACAACCATATGCCTCATATACATTACGAGATGTAGTAATGTATAGTCCTGCTATGCTAACGTCTTCTCTTTCTAAGCCGTTATTTATTGTTTATCAAATATTAAATGCACTTCATGCGTATCATTGTTGCGGCATTGGTGTCGGTCAATTTTCACTAGAAGATGTTTTAATCGATGAAAATTATTGGGTTCGATTATCGGGTCTTCAATTTCGATGTGAGGTTATCCCTAGTAAAGAAGACAAAAAGGCTGCAAATACTCTTAATGCAACCAGTATTGATGAAAAACGTGAAAAGGACGATAATATGGAAACTGCAGATGATCTATATGCGCTTGCTAATCGTCTGGTTGGAAATCCTACCCCAGCAAAAGTGCAAGTTTCGGGACCAACTCCTCCGCCTAGCGCACGCCTTCCGATTGGTGGAAATGCTATCCCTTCGAAAGATAAATTAACTATGCGAAGAGGATCAGCTTTCGTCACAAGTATGACACTCTCGAATAAGAATTTAGCTGTTAATAATCAACACGCTTTAGAAAATGCGAAGCAAACACTTTTAAATTTTTCTGAGAAGCTTGGAAATAAGAAGCCATCAATTACATCATTGAAATATCAGCATCGTCTTCTAAACAAATTATCCGATATGATGTGCGATCTACCGCAATTGGTGACCAATTGGACTAACAACAAGATTAGCAATTTTGACTATTTAATGGCATTGAATCGATTGGCCGGTCGTAGATTTGGTGATCCCAATAATCATCCTATTCTTCCCTGGGTAGTCGATTTTAGCCGTTCTGATAGCTCTTGGCGCGACCTTAAAAAGTCTAAATTTCGCTTGAATAAAGGAGATCGACAATTGGATGCGACATACGAATCCTCGGGAAGGAATAACTCAAATGACAGTGGAATACACGTACGTCATCATGTCTCTGATGGTTTGTCAGAGATTACTTACCATGTTTATTTAGCACGTCGAATGCGGCGTGCTGTTCTATGCCAGTATGTTCGTTCAGAATGGGTACCCGCAGAATACCCCTCAACGATACAAAAATTACAAGAATGGACTCCTGACGAATGCATACCTGAATTCTTTACTGATCCTTCAATCTTCACATCGATTCATACCGATATGCCTGATTTACAAGTAAACCCTTGGGCTTCTAGTCCGGAAGATTTCGTGCGTCGACATAAACATTTATTAGACGGAGAACACGTTAGTAAAAGACTTCATCATTGGATTGACCTTATATTTGGATATAAATTAAGTGGTAAAGCTGCTGTTAAAGCTAAAAATGTGCACTTGCATCTTGCTGATAATCATGAAAAACCGATGAATTATGGTACTGTTCAATTGTTTACTGAACCACATCCTAAATGGAAATCACCCAATAGTATCGCATCAGCTGCTAATGTTTTACTGCGTAATAAAAATCAATCTAAGGCTTCGTCACAATCTGAAGCTAACGAATCATCACAAGATGGAGTTGGACGTTATTCTTCAAAGCAGGACTCTATCGATTTAACAAATGATGACGTCCTAGAAATTTCAATAGATAGCACTAACGCTCCAGAACATTTACTAGCTCATACTGCAGATCAAGAATCTAGCCCAAGTATGAGTTTAAAGAGTCAACTAAGATCTCCCCTATCACTTTTTAGGCAACAACGTAATGATAGTGACTCTAAGGTTCAGAATAAATTGAAGGTTGGCCAGATCCTTTTACCCGATGGATTTGAACCATTAGAGATATTAGATAACTATGAATCTTTGGCTCACTTTAAGAAGAAATGTTTAGCGCAGTCCCTTAAGTTAGGCCATGAAGAAATGTCAAGAACGAATAACGTAACGGATTCTAATAGTACAACGCAAGATTCCAAGCAACTCAAAGAAAAAGAAAAAGAAAAAGATAAAGATAAAGATAAAGATAAGGACAAAGAGAAAGATACTAAAGGAAAAAAGAAAGAAGAGGAATCCTCGAATATAACTAAGGTAAATTATTAGATATGTATGACAGTATAATTTACCGTTTGATCAAACTACCTTAATGTTATTCTAAAACAACGCCGCTCGAATTCTCATAGATATATGAATTCGTCTTATTACTGTTAAGTCATGATTTGTACGTCAGCATCTGTCAGATTATAATTAAGTTAAACTATTGATAGTCTGGAGCCGTGTCATTGGACCATCTCATAACAGAAGATATGAAGTCACTAGGTTTCTTGTTGGGAGAGATGCTCTTTTCTGACAAATTACGCATGCTATCGCCAACATTAGACGTAAAAGAAAGGAGAGAGATCTGCAAAGCAATCTGTAAAAGTAGCAGTAATTCGATTACTAATTTGCCTCGGTTAGTACTGTATATAGTTATGTACGATCAGGTTTGTGTTAAGTTTATTGCGTATCATAACATCTATTTTCGTCTGCTTTCGTTTTATCCCCGTAGTTCATTATGTAAAGTCATTCACGAATTAATGACGCTAGGCGAAGATACTGAAAATTCGAGTGAATCATCATTAAAATTATTTAGCGATGATGGATTGCCCATTGTAACACCGGCATTGATGATAAGTTCCTGTACATCAAAATTTTCATTTCCAGATTACTTTAAAGATCTTTATGCCTTTATCTGTGAACTCCAGACTATAAATAATCGTCCAGATACGAGTCAAGGAAAACCTAGATCTAATTCAACTGATCAATATCAAGCCAATGAAACTAATAAACCTGTGCATGATCAGCCTGCTAACCTTTCTTCAACGCCTTCTAATAGTAAGACAAATAGCGTACATGCGAGTGGTAAAAATAACATTGCTGTATCCTTACAAGTTCCCGTTGGAGGTGGTAATACACCAAATCAAAATACTACTCCCGAGCATATAATTCAGACCGAAACTGGTGGACCTATTTTAGATGAGGCCAACGAGGGTTTGTCAACCAGCTCAAAAAAAGGAGAAAAGGATAGTATTGGTAGTATTTTAAGAAAATTATCAAAAGAAATACCTGGCAGTGTTTTAGCTACAGCTTTAGAGGCAGATCGATTCCCATTAGTGGCAAGTCGATTCCCGCTAGAGGCAAGTCGATTCCCTATTAGAGGCAAGTTACAAGCAATAGTAAAACTTTGTCAAACGAAACTTCCACAACTAATGTCGCAGTTAGATTCCATAGGGTTGGAATTATTACTGCCTCATATTATGATCCTATTTGAGGATAACGAATTAAAATATAAGGCGGCATATCATTTATTTAATATTCTTGGCAAACACATGGGTATGAAAACTAGCAATGCATCTCTTGTTAAACCAATACTAAAATTGTTTGAATCTAAAATTCCTGTGGAAGATCATGTTCATCTTTTAAACATTCATTTTACTATGAATCTTATTAACTATCTTGGATTACAATCATACATCGAAAATTTTCTCCCTTTTTTAATTGAGTCACTACCTCATAATGTCAAAAGTGTCAATCGACATCCTCGCCGACCTGGTCCGAAAAGATCGAACACTGAAAGTCCTCTACAAAGTAGTTCATCCTCTAGAAAATCTAGCGCTTCACGGAAAACTAAATTTCGACGCAATTCAATAGCTATAGATTACGTATCATACCTAAGTGGTAGTAACAAAAAAAATCGACCACCAAGTGATACTGTAAGAAAACACAGCGAAGAAGAGGGACCAGACAGATCCTCTTTGGAACTGCAAGTCACTGAAGAACCACCAAATCGAGGAATCTCTGATACATTAACAGTTCCCTCGGATCCAAAAATTGTTGACAGTGACGATGGAATGCTCTTTAGGTCACATAGTTTCTCTGGTAGCGAAAGAGATAAGCATAAATCCACTCAAAATGAAAAGTATCACGTAGATAGTAGAGCTTCGGATGGAGACAGCAGAAAATCTAGTAGTCTTTCTAATAACGCAAAAAACATTACTGAATCTAAAGTATGTCAAGCTGCTGTCGAAACACTTAAAGAAATAATTCCTTTTATGGGCCCAATTCTTACGGGCAGATATATTGCAAATCAAGCGCTGAGACTGCTACCATCAGGCTACGTATGGAGCGATACTACAGATACGTATATACGATCAAGTAATGTTAATGAGACCATTAAGTACGGATATCTGGTAGATTTGCTAGCCCATATCTGTAAAGTGTACGGGCCTTCCGTATTATTTCAGCAATATGTTCCGGCTATTGTGTCTGCTGTAAGTATGCAGATATATAAGTGCATAATTCTATGTACTATACATTTACTTGTAACTGTATTAATAATATTCCGCAAGAAAATCCGCTTATTTAATCCCACTACATTACTTTAAAGATGATTGAAAGGTAATGTAAGATAGGCGAGGTGGCATTAACGTATATCTTTAATTGCAGATTAATAATGCAAATGATAAGCGGTTAAGTTCGAAGATCGAGGGTGGATTAATTGGTTCTATGCTCTTATTTAGAGCTTGCCTACCGTACACTAAGAACAAGGAATTATTGCAGAATGTTGAGGTATGAAAAAATTCTTATTTATTCTCGCCTAATCCGATTGTAGATATTTATTCATAAATATGTTATATATAGTCTTTAGCCTTGGTAGTATTTCAGCCGTTAATAAAAGTTATTGCTTCTGGTACATTAATGTTTCCTGGTGGTGGTATTGCTCGAGTTGGTATATGCCAATATATGATCAATGTGTTACGATACATCGGTGAACGAATAGGCCGAGATAATGCTCGTGACTTACTTGCAGATACTATACAGCTTTATTTTTCTTGTTTTGATCGGGTTCATTCCAACGAGCAGAAAGGTCTCGAAAATGGTGGGTAACTAGCTATTGCTATGATAATATCAATAATGATAAACCAAAGCTCTAAAATCATAACAATGAATGTTTCAGGTGAATCTGTAGATTACATTCCTAATAAATTAGAGATATCAGAACATAAAGGAATCGACTATATTGCCGACGAAGATAGTAAAAACTATGGATTCTCTGATTCATCGGACCATAACTGTCCATCGCTTCCACAATTACAAGTAAGGAGGAATCATTTTTCAGCATTCAGTTGCATGTATCGCGTACATATCGTTTAAATTACTGATGCTTTATCTTGATGAAAGGTCGTTTTTAATGCATCTATGGCATATTATTCCTATGTGGGATTTTGTAAACTTATCGGAGATATTTTTATTGGAGAAAATTTATGTAACCATGATTTAATATGGCAGTTAGCACTGTCATATGATGAACGACTTGCAAACAAAAACGATCCCAATCCAGATTTGAGTACCACAGAATCAAATAGGTAATCTGACAATTATGAGTTAAATCCTGCTGTAATATTCACCTTAACTTACAGAGATTTTTTATTACGTAACGTGCTATGCATGAAACTATTCTCACTTACACTATCTAAACCGAATATAACTATAGTAGACAAAGCGTGAATGGGCTGAATACTTTTGATCCATCAGGTGGAGAGAATAGGTAATAAACATAAACTTATGATCATAAAATTACGATAGTGGGTTCTTGATAGTGCTAGATTATTTCAAGTAACGTTACTATCGTGTCGAATGAAATATCAACTTAGAAATATACCGCACTTGCAAATTTTAGTGATATTCATATTGATGAGCGCCATCACTTAAGTAGTACGTGGTTATCGTACTGGGAAAATCAAATTAGTAAGTTCTTTTTCAGAAATTTTTTGTTCCTACAATATGATTTGAGTTTTTTACTAATGTAAAAACTTATTAAAAGGTTCTCAAACTCGTGGCAAATTTTCTTTCCTCCAAATGCATCTACAAACTTTTTCGGGTAATTGAAATTTTTAAAATTAAAATTTTAATATAGTTATTTAGATAAAATATAGTATAATGTCTTTTCGGTAAAGAATCTTTATACTGAAGCCTTATTTGTTGCCTAGATCATATTTGGCCAGTCCGAAGTTTGTACGCTTTCAATAATGAAAAGCATTTCTTGTCCGGCAGTCGTGATAAAACAGTAAAACTATGGTCAATTGAAAATGTCAAAGACAGTTCTTATCGCTGTAAAAGCAAGCTAACGTATTCACACCATAGCAGATATATCATCTCTGTTGATTACTTAAATTTAACCGAGAAAGTAGTATCCTGCGATGGAGGTGCTGTTCATGTAAGTCCTAAATACAAACTATAAATTTGTACTTTTTAGCGCACTCTTCTAGATAAGTATTAAAATTTCATAGGTGTGGGATGGTGAGACAGGCAAAACTTTACGTGAAATAAAATTGCCGGAAAAGCCAGCTTGTTCACTTACAAAATTACCGTCACCGTCGACAACTCTTATAATAGCCTCTATAGATGGCAATTTAAGGTAGATTGACCATATAAAGCTTAAATTTACGGATCGCTAATCAAAATATTTAAATGATGTTCTATTGCCAGTTTAATCAAGAAGTATAAGTTATTAATTAATTAATATATTGTATCTAGCTTTTATTAAATATTTTTCAAATAATATTGCATTAGATTTATTGATACCCGAAGTGGAAATATAGTATATGACTGGAAAGCGTCGGTTTCGGATTCTGGTTATAATCAATTAATTCATTTTAGTATTTAAATCTACGTTTATCAGGTACTTTTTGTAGTTATCTCAGAAACTGAAAACAATTTCTCATTCACATAATTCTAGATGCTATTAAAAGTATCTGTTCTGGTAATAATGGAAATTTTGTGGCTGTCGGATTTGCCTCTGGTAAAATATCAGTATTAGATAACAGAACTGGTTTCATTGAAGCAAGATGGGAAGCTCATAGTGGAGATATTCTGAGTGTAAATCTAATCCTCTAATACTATAATTAGATTGTATTAAATTTTAAAACATTACATTAACTTGACATAAAGAGGATTTTCTATTTTTAGCTTAAGCCATTTGGTAGTAGTACGTTTCTATCATCATCCGGAGATCATAAAATCTGTGCATGGCGAGAAGATGGTAAATTGGTTTGCTCATTACGAGGTATTTATAGAAAATTAACATTTCTTGGATAGTAATATTGAAAACATTGCGATACTTATTAAAAAATAAAATTTAAAGCTATTTAGTGTATGCCCTTACACTAATCATAATTTTTTAGGGCAAACCGAACCGGTACATACATTTACAACCTATAAAGATCAAATATTATCAATATCACAAGCAAATAAATTTGGTGTTCACTCGGAAATGGACGAAAATGTAATACAAAGTATCCGTTATTATAATAATGTACTTCTCCTTGTAACTTGTTGATGTGTAATAAAGTTGTTATCGTTATTGAATGGTAGGCAACTTATACATGTCATAAGCTGCATTCAAATTTCATGAAAGGCTCGGTGAAGAGTATTGCTGCCCTTCCACTCACCAAGACGGTATTGGTTGGAAGTGACAGTGGCGATATAGGTCTAATAGCATAGAGAATTTTGATTATACCTGCCTATTCTATGGATTGAAAAATATCTCTTTAGATATCACATTTCTTTTGATTGTGAGCATTTTATACGTGCGTGTAGGTTATACGAGTATTATAAAGTGATATAATTAACTCAATTTATATCAATAATTAATTAATTAAATACATATTATATTTCATAAGTACCTATTATAACTACATATTCTGCAGATGACTAATATTTTTATATTGTTCACGATATAGTATTACAAAACACTAATTTTTATTGGCAAAGATAGGAATTCGATACCTTTCAGAAAATTTTATTAAGTGTCACGCATTCCTTCAGTTAATTCGCGTATATTTTTAAGGCCTAATGTCTACAGAATACTATATTTATGTTAACGACTTACTAGAATTTCAGTAATGAATTAGTTATTATCGAGTTTTTCCAAGATCGAAAGCTTAATATGGTTATCATAATTAAATTCGTATTCATATAAGTTGTTTTTTTTTGTTTCGTTTATAGTGCGGCCAAAATTTGTATATTTTCACTATCCTTTTGTATGATATATTCAATTTGTTTACCCTTACTGATGGTTTGGTTGACTTAATGTTATTATAAACTGAGTATACAGAAACAAAAACTTAAAATTTCTCGTGATTTAAAAACTAGATGTATAGTTAATACTTAAAGAAATGCATTCAAATAACTTTATCATTGATTAAAAATTAGTTGAGCGAAAGTCATTTTATACTTGACACTCTGTAATTGAACGTTTATATACTTTGAATCCTAGACGTTTTCTGTAACTCGCGTCCACTTTGTACAGTTCCATCATCAGCCTGTAATAATACTATGTCATTGCTACTTATTACAACCTGCAAACATATTTGGACCAATCTTATACATTTTTTACTCAATTGTATATTACGTCGATCAATTAACAGAATCTTTGATATCAAAAAAACCCTAATGTGACGTTATAGATTAAATCTACTTTGTAAGAGTCTAATAAATGATCGAAATATATGTTAATTACTATTATCACCTATAAAATCATACTTGTAATAATTTTTGTAAAGCCTGGTAGTACAGTAATATATGAGCGTACTTGCACTCCTTGCCTGGTAAGAAATTTCTTTAACGATGATATTAGATGGTTTTCATTTTTATATGACTAGAATATTATAAACTGCTTAGTGTCCAGACTGTAATCACTTTATAAACTGCTCAGCGTCCAGACTGTAATCGTTTATATGTCAACATCAGGTCATGATGGAAGAGTATCGTAAAGTACATGCTAGCTAAGTACTTCATTCGAACTTCAAATTTATGATCAGAATTATATCATTTCTAATAACTAAAATATGATTATCTAGATGACAAAAGCTTTTTGACTACAGAATAAAGAGGATATTTCTACCTTTACGATTGAGGCGGAAAATACGTAGTATTTAATAGCACCAAATTAATCTAACCTAGAATCTACTGGCGGTATCTCAAGTAATAAGAATACGAAGTTTAATACACATATACGAATTGTTAACTTTTACCTTACTATGCACTACATGAAATCGACGAGTCTATCCTAACAATTATACCTATAATACTGTATTATGTAGTATTTTAAGAGTAGTTCAATTCCAATAAGGGATTGCAAGTCCTTTACCGTTCTACTCTTTCAGTGCATTAAACAATCATAGCAATCGGTAAGATTACTAACAATAAACTGTCTCAATTAAAGTTAATGCACATATGATTTATGAGTTTTTATACATTGCATGACTTTGAAAGCATATTCTAAGGGTATATATAGCTGTAACACAAGAGGTTAATTTGAAGTTTTGAAAGGACAAAATTGGATTGATTTATTTTATTACCTCTTCTATATAAGTATAATAAGGTCAAGAGTGTAGCATCTTTAATGGTGTATTCATTACCTGGTACACCTTTGATCGAAATAGAATAAGCAAGCACTACATTACAGTAAACGAAAATTGAGTACAAGTACAGGGCTGGCGATTGCATACAGGCTGAAAGGATAGGTAATTAATAATTTGGCTTACAAAATATGAACATAATACAAGTACAAAATATTTACTTCATGCTATTAACAAAAAAAATTGCCAACTCATCTGCAATACCGTAGCATTACCAGGATAATTTGGAATTGTACATATTGGACTAAATCATTAAGGATTGACTATGGCTTCAATAGAGAAACGGTTGGATAAGATCCAGTGCGTATTGAAGCAGTCCGTAAGTGATATCGGTTTTACATTATATTTTTTATGCATGATTGAAATTGCATATTAAAATATCAACTTGATGGTGCTCCATCGTATTTTACACAGACACAAAAGTGGCAAATAAAACCGACATTTTTAGCTATAATTTTGACATCAACTAAAAATGAATAGAACAGTCACAAGGACGGAAACCAATATTACATAAGTTAATAGATGCTTATTTATCAGGGACTTCAGCAGCAGTTAGCGGATTCTTTAATACTAGTATAACAGAGTCTCCACGTAAGAACATTTTAGAAATATAACGATCTTTATTGACAGGTTTAGCTTTCCTTCCTTTCCCTGTCCTTGGCGTTTCTGTCCACATCTCTTTGACATTTTCTAATACCATGTTGCAATGCCTATCGAAAGCTTTGACACGCGCTAAAATCTTCCTGTTGTTACGGCAATTAATCAATACTTGGTCGCTATTTTTTACAGCTTGTGTTAGAATGGATAAAGGGCCGGTATTAAATAATTCCTCTTCCACTTTGGCCAGCTCTTCTGGCGTCATCTCAGATTTAGGTTTTTGCCTACATGGATTTATTCCAATTATGATTATTATTGAAATCAACAATGAGCTATTTAAAATTATAGCAAGTTGCAAAATTCAATTGTGGTTACAACAGGGCTTTCCATACGCGAAAAGTAGGAAACTACTATTACGAGTCTTATTGAGCAAATTATCTTAGCTAATAAACTAGTCTATAGCATAACATAACAAGTGAAAATTACAAACAACCATCATCTTTTATCTCTAATAAGTGAGCTTTAACAGGGGCTATCCGCACTATTGGTTGCTACTACCTGCAATTTTGTAAAGGCAAGTCCTCTATGTTAGACTGTCATCACTACACTGTCGGTAAGAATATGGAAGTGCGCTACATAAAACTTTCAATCTTTCAGTATGGATAAAAAAGAAGCACAACTAATATCATAATCATTTCCACGGCAATGCTATTCAATGAATGCGTCAACGAAGCCTTTATCAGAGACTATCCACCTTATTTGTTGCAACTACCTGCAATTTTGCAAAGGCAAGTCAACTAGCTTAGATTTGTCATAGCTACTACACAAGGGTAAATTAATCTTTCAACAAGGATTATAAATCAAATCGCAGATAAAAATAAGTCTATAATTAATATCATGATTATTGTACTATTCTAAGGTAAGAATGCATATGCCAATAAACCCTTTAATAGGGACTATCCGCACTATTTGTTGCTACTACTTGCAATTTTGCAAAGGCAAGTTATCTCCCTTCGATTGTCATGACTACACGCTATGGGTCAGATTGAAGTTTCGCTACACCAATCTTTCAACATGGATGAAACTTCAAAGCTGAGATAAAAGTAAGTATGTAACTAACATTATGATCATTGTAAGGTAAGGCTATTTGATCCATGCACCAACGAACCCATTAACAGAGATTATCCACCCTATTGATTGCTACTTCTTGCAATTTTGCAAAAGCAAGTCATGCACCTTAGACTGTCACGACTACACTATGGGTAAGAAGACGAAAGTGCGCAACACTAATCTTCCAACATGGATAAAAATTCAAATCCGAAATAAGAAATCAGCGTACAATTAATATCATTCTATCTATTCTAAGGTAGTGGTACTCCATCTTTGCGCCAACGAACCCTGTGACAAAGATTATCCACCCTATTAAATGCTACTACCTGCAATTTTGCAAAGGCAAGTCATCTACCTTAGTCCGTCCTAACTACACAACTTGGACTATGGGTATCAAGACGAAGGTACGCTACATCAATCTTTCAACAAGGATGAAAATTCAAAGCCAAGATAAAAAAATAAATATACAATCAATATCATGATCCTTGTATTATTCTAAGGCTAGGCTATTGGATACGTACGCCGACGAAGTCATGATGGATGGCAAAGGATTCCCACAACGTTTAAGCCTTGTTTGCAAATGGCCGCCAAGGGTATGAAAGGCAGAGAAATTGAACTGAACCGCGTTATTGTGTAATACTGGACGGGGCAAGATCGATCCGATACGATCCGATACGATCCAGTACATCTGGCAAACAGTACAGTACTGTACAGTACAATACACTACAGTACCAAGCAGAGATGTACTGTACTGTACAGTACGAAGCTTAAAGGTTTCCTTGTACAGTAATGGCCAGTGAAAGTGCAATCAAGAAAATTGAAGATGCAAAATCCTAGTCTAAAAGCTGTTAAAACCTAAAAATAGAGCACTTGCTATTTCGTATCCATAGAAAGAAGTGCCAAATTTTGAAGTTTTATCATTCTATTTATATGATATATGAAGATATTGAATAGGCTACAGAGCGAGTCATTTCGCTGTTACAAGCTTTTCTAATGAGTAACAGCACACTCTTAAGCCAATCAACCATTTCTTGCGACAAACGCTATCTTTTCTTTAGTCTAATGCTTATACTCATTGGAATGTTCTATTTTTAAAATTGTCATTTACGGCCACTAAAGCTGAATTAGCAGTAAAATATTTCACTCTAGAAATGTTGAATTTTTCTCTATTTTTTTTTATCTATTTTAAGGGATTTTGGGCCTTGCTTCAATAACTAAAATTGAATTCTACATATTAAAAAATCAAGTTGATTTCTGATGTCTAATGCTTATACTCATCCTAATGTTCTATTTTTAAAATTGTCATTTACGGCCACTAAAGCTGAATTAGCAGTAAAATCTTTCACTCTAGAAATATTGAATTTTTCTCTATTTTTTCGTCTATTTTAAGGGATTTTTAACCGTGCTTCAATAACTAAAATTGAATTCTACATATTAAAAAATTAAGTTGATTTGATGCCAAAAATGGCCGCGAAAAAGCCTTTATTGCACTTTCATTGGCCATTAGTTTGATGTACTGTAGCGTACAGTACTATACTGTACACTGTACACTGTAGTCCATGAAGGTAACAAAGGAAGAAAATCCTACTATACTGAACTGTACTACACGGTGGCCCGAAAATGAGCTACTGTACTGTACCTTGTACAACTAGTGTTCTGGCTGCAGGCACCTTCGAAGTTCTAACTGACTAGTTCAAGTGAAGACTAAAAGCTAACGCTGTCGAGAGAGTCCATTAACCCATTCTCGACGATTAGAAGAATTCTTTCTGCCACCGTTAAATCGTATAACGAATGGATTTAAAACGCAGCATCTCTTGGATCCTTTGTCTATTCATCGTGGTCGCTGTATTCTTGGATACAGGCCTGGCTGAAGACAAATTGCAAATTGGGATTAAAAAGAGAATCCCCGACTGTAAAATCCGATCTAAAAAAGGAGATACTCTGCATATGCACTACACGGTAATTGGCAAGCACGTTAACTTCTCCATTCGGTTAATCAGCCTCTTCTTATGTACTAGACAGTAGTTATGATATGAAAAGAAAAATTGCTAACATTATTGATCGCACAATTCATTAACCAACAAACACGCATAAGGGTAACGCCATCTTTGCGCATGGAAGATAAACTTGATAAAGACTTGGACAAATAATGAATTAATAATTACAATAATACTGCGTGCGTACTCGTACTTTGACTGTAATATTATATAATCATGGAAGAATTAATGACAAATAGTGACGATGAATGGTTAGTATGCTTTGTAATCAACGGACAAAAGTTCTAGGATGCTCTAGCTAGCAACCACTTCTTATACAGTGGAAAAGACAGTCTATTGAATGATAGAAGAACTACAACACTTGCAAGACCTACTCTTTCCTTTTTATTGTAATAGATCATCAAGCGTGTTACTAATCGTCGTCTGGAAGCGCTGACTAAGTTAAATATACATACGCGTACAGCAACGAATGCTCATGGTAGTCATCAGCCATCATCATTGAAATGGATAGCAGTACTGCACGCTTTAAATACTGTGTATAAACTTCAGTCCACTAATATACTGTACAGTACTCGTAGCAATGGACTTGACAGCATGAAAAGCTTATAAGTACAGACTGAAACAGTAGTTGAAAAATATTGCAGCCTTTGCGGATATTAGTAATCATACAATTTTAGCGTAACCAATTTAAGAACACAGCAATGCGTTGATGTTGAATTCTTGTATTTTATACAATATTACAACGTTGAGAAACCACACATTCTCATAGCACAGTACTGTCCTTTGGGAGTAATATCTTTCACAACGTTTTGTTGGACTGTTTCAAGCTATGTATCATTAACACATACGCGTATTTAGGGAACTCTGAAAAAAGATGGTACAGAATTTGACAGCAGCATTGGGCGTGGAGATCCATTTGTATTCAAGTTAGGTGCAGGGCAAGTTATAAAAGGTAAATTTATATACTATTACACTATTTGGTATTGTAGTGCTTTCTATCTCTCTCCTACGAAGTGGCGAATACAAATTACATGTAAACAACGAGACTGACGAGTCTTCCTCTATATGTCATTGCTAAACTAGAAAATTGTAATAGATCTAGTTACTATAGAGTCGTGTTTAGAAGCTCTTTACGTAAAAAAGTATAATCCAACTACAGTTAAATTTGCTGATCAACTGCTAGATCATTTACTGCATCATCGAACTTAATGCTTATGGTTTCATTGATACACTTAATAAAACTACAGTATTGCTTCCAAATCATTAATCAATCATTGCATATTGTTTGTAGGTTGGGACCAAGGATTATTGAGGTAAGATCAAATAGTCCTGTAATAAATCACAGCAAATTCTATACAATAAATATTACGTTAGTAACGAAATGGTTATGGAAATAAAATTAGTTAATAAAAACGTAATTTGCGCACTAAGTATTGAGGACCTTGAATACTTTGTAATGTGTAAGCTCTCTTAAATCTTGTAACTACTCGTCTGCGCGACTGTATCATATTTCTCATATAAAAATATAACGTACCAATAGATTCAAACTTTTTACCGTACCTTCAAAGGTAGTGATCAATATCGATAGTAATATTATTATTAACTAGAGAAAGATGTTCGATAATAGGATGGATATACGTATATAACACATTATATGCGCATTACTGTACTACTAATAGTCTACTATCAAGTTAATTAGTTGTACGCGTATATATGCACTGCAGTCCTTTCAAGCTATCCACCTGTAGAATAGGACATTGCTTCGAGCCAAAAATTTCTACTAAGCGTAATGACTGCACTTATTACAGAATGTGTGAAGGAGAAAAGAGGAGACTTATCATCCCACCAAATTTAGGATACGGTGATTCTGGTGCACCTCCTAAAATTCCAGGTCAATTGCTATTAAAGATGCATCTTATAATTTATAGCTAACGTTTTATAACAGAAAACAAGGGTTTCCAATGCCTAAATGTAAAAAGTTTATTTACTATCTAGGTGGAGCTACTCTGGTATTTGAAGTTGAATTGATCAAGATAGATAGGAAAGAAGAGCTTTAATTATCTGATATTAGCTCTTTAAGCAAATTACACTTCAATTTTAAATAGGAAATTGTAATTCCTCCATAATATGATTCCATGTGTCCATGGTGATGGATAGGATTTGGAGTACAGTGCAAACTAATTAATCCATTACGCCCTGTATGATTCAAATAGAGACATTGCATCGATCTCTAAATATTACAATTGATTGTAGAAATGTGTGAAATTGTGTAAGCGATGATATTCGTATATTAAAACCGTTAAAACCGCCTTATTTGCTGAGATGATATACAATTGACTAAAAATCTCATAGAATAAATTTCTCTTCGTCAGTTATGATTAAGGAATGGATGATGATTTATAGACACTTGTACACTAAAATTCTCCACTTATTTATCCATCAAGTGTACAGACTCAAAATGCAAATTTGGAATACAGTATTATAATACATGATAACATTAAGCTTCACTTGTTGTTATCGAATACTTATAGCCTCAACTAGGCAGACAGCTAGAAGACGGGTAGGGTAATTAGTACTATCAACTCATTTTCTACGTTCATCATGACCTAAAATTATAGGATGAGCATATCAATAAACAAAAAGAAACAACTCCTAAATAGTTCGGTTCAGGTTATACATTTTATTTTCTGTAAAAAACAAAATACATAATCATTGTTTAAAAAGAAAAAGTCCATCAGGATATATGGCAAACGTTATAGAATAACAATGGGAAGATTCTACACGGATCTTATTAATCGTTCCTAATATGCATATCGTAAGGATTAAATCCGATTAATGCGTAAAGAGAGAGGGGGGACTCCTGGAAGAGGATGATCAAGTACAGATTTACGCACTGAAGTACAATTCATGTGCGTTGTACTGTTACTTAAATTAGTGATTAAAGATTCGTATGACTTCATACGGCATCCAAGTTGTTAATCTACTGCAGTTCAATGCAGTTTTGTTTTCATTTCTTAATATTATTATTAATTTCTGCGATATCTGCTGCTCAGCAGCGTGGCATGCAAGATCGAACACTGTTAGCATTTCATTTGCATTCAAATATATTGCAGTATGTATCTGCGTCGGCATATATAGTATTGTATAATTAACTGCACTTTTTATACCGCATAAGGTCAAATAAGTATAATGTACTGGTGTTTTCATCTATCTAGTGCACGAGTACCGTCTTATTTAATTAAACATGCGTATGTATGCTGGGATATCTCATAGATTTGATACACAATACAGCATCGATTTAAGGGCCAATTTTCGTAGTCATTGCTACCCCAAGGACTACCAGAGAGAAAATCTAATACTTTTCTAGTAGTCGATGGCTACACCATGCAGACGCAATACGCGTATATATACCCGTATATATATATATATACACGAGTATATCATCATTATGAATAATAACGACGGCAAAAATAACGCCATATACATGAATAACATCGACATCATGAAGACGGTATGCGAATTTCAGAAAGCATATCCTACTGAGATTGTCTGATCATACTAGCACATTCTATCTAGTCGCATTATTTCTACGTTACTAATGTAATGTGGATCTTCAACACTTGACAAAAATCGGTCAAAATATCACAGCGCAAATGATTTCAACAAATTCAACGTCAACATGATCAATCTTTGGCACAACAACGTTGAATAATAAAATATATTGGTTGCCAACAATAAGATAAACATCATTACTTACAGTATGTTTAACCTACTCGTATCCAGCGCTTCATGAGTATTTGGATTTTTTAAGTGGGCATTACCTTTAAAGTCTTACGCGCTTAGAATAGTCTTTAACGACAGCCCGATAGTATTAGCGTTTACGTGCATATGCATTAATATGATATACAAAAAAATGGAGAAGGTTTGTCAAAAAATTTGCTTTTTCGAATGATTATATTGATGTATGGCAAATACTTTACCAGTTAGTTATTTCTAGTTTTGGATTATTTTTAAGTTTCATAGCCTTATTTGAAAATCGGGTATCTGTAGAAACGAGATACAAAAGAGATCCATTTTGAGACAATCTGTTTTAATAAGATGATGATTAATCAATGCAATCACTACACTGTATTGGCTACTACAAGCACAGGCAGTTGTAATACAGTACTATCGTCTATAGTATTACAAGAATCATCCTCATTAATACAGTAGCTTGATAATTATAACTCATTAATCGTGAAAGGATGTTCCTCTAAGTATACATCATTTTACATTAACAGCAAATTGAAATTTTTTTTATGCTAAATCAGTGCTTATAGCATTACAGACCATTAAATAGAATTCATAATAGTAAAGTTTTATGAAACAGCTAGTGGTTCAGACTAGATGCTTTACGGCTACATTCGGAGCATAGCTCAATCGTCACTTTTTGTTCAGACACATGTAAGCATATTCCAGCAGCAGATTGAACGTTAGAACGCAATTTTTTACAGCAAACAGGAGGCGCCATGTTATCGTCGTCGCTATTTAGATCACCATCAATCAAGCTAACTGGAGGCAATGGTTGGTCCTGATTGTATTTTCTCTTGGATTGATTGCCAATCGTATGCGCGTGATGATGGAGTAAAGAAGAATCCAATTGCACATCGGGTGTATTGGGAATATTTCTTAACAACTTGGAAAGTTGACTATCATGGGCCAAGACACTTTTCAGATAGCTAACTTCATTTTCTAAACTATCGATTCGTTCCTTGGCAAATTGTAATTTCTCTCGTTGTAACTTATCACTTTCGCGGAGTGTTTTGACGCGACATTCTAACTCAGAGATATACTTTTTCTTCTTCTCTCGATTGAGTTTGGCTGCCATAGCTTGTTTCTTGCTTTTATCCATATCATTTTTTGCTCTTTTTGCCGATTGATCATCGTAGGTGAATAACCATTTATGGGCATTATCGTAGCTATTGCTGGCAGTAGCGTCCAATATATCTTGGGGCATTTCTTCACTGCCGTCTAACGGTGGAGATAGACAAGCGGTCGAATTGGACAGCGAGATGCCGCCGTCGTAAAGTTCCGAGAGTAAATATTGCATGAATCCAACGATTTCCAAATTTTGGATGCGGGCGATAAAATGCAGTAGACTATAGCACACTTATTGTTACCCTAATGAAGATTGTACAATTTCCTATTGCAATAGTACAAATAAAAAGCGGTCAATAAGTAACAGAAAAAATGGCGAAAAAAAAGTCCATAAGCGACTGGAGGAAAGAAATAGATATCGATTTGAGCCTTATCAACAACGTGTGACGTGAAATGGTGACGAACTACTGGAAACGCTACAGCGCTGTGGTGAAGTGACGATTTGACGGGTCGTTTTAACGTTGGCTTGACGTTTTGACGGTGGTGACCTTTGCCAGAGATGAACTTGTTCGGCCAACATCATCGCACAGCCCAATAGAGATTGTATAAAGGAAGAAGTAGTGTACCGAGCAGAAAGATCCATAAAAACGTTATCAGAACGTTTCGACGACGTTCACTCCGATCTTCACACTCGGTACTGTACAACGGGACGCGCAAAAGCAATGTCACCCTATCCGTCGTGACTTTGTAGATAACCATCCTACTAAAACACTCGTATTCGACCATTATGTGTGACATTATTTTTTGTCAAGACTGCACTACCTCGTACTGTACCTCATAAAATTACGTAATAGCTCAGTATACGGTACAGTACCGCAACAATACTGTACTGTACTAAGCCATGGACCTCCGGTTGACCAACCTTGACTAAACTACAGTACAGTACAGTACAGTACAGTACAGTATTGTACACTGTACTGTACACTGTACACTGTACAGTAGGTCAAATCTAGGGGTGAACAACGGAATGGAACGGAACGCGGATGCGCACTTCAGCTCCTGGTAGAATGCGCCTGCGTATTTCTTTCCTTCCGCAAAAGTGGGGAAAGGGACAACTTTACAGAGCAGAATTTGTACAGTTGCGAAAAAAAGAATTTCTACACAGTACAGTACAGTATAAAAAACACTCTCTATGGTAGTACTGTACACTGAGTACAGTGCAGTAGATGGCAGTAGTTGACCTGCACAGTTTTACAGCAGTGATACTCATCTGATCCTCGTTGTCAAGCAACTGTCGGGCAACATGAACCAAAGCGACGGTAGTAAACACGACAAAAACCTTGAAATCGTACTGACTGTACTGTACAGTGTACAGTACAGTACAGTACAGTACTTGTCTGCTACGAGAATCAAAATGTACTGTACATTGTACTGTACAGTACTAGTAGAACACTCTACTGTAAGCAATCAATCACGGGCTGATTTTTACTGATTTGCACTTGCGCAGTACACCCCCCTTTCATCCTTACTCCTTACAGTATGCGTGGGACGACGCGTCTACAGTGTACAGTACAAAGAGACAGAAATACTGTACTCAACAATTACTGTACTGTACTGTACTGTAGGCTTGGACTGCAAGCGTACCTTAGCATCCATTCAGTGATTCATGTTGTCATGATATGGCAACGCCATTTATTTCAAAAACAAACTCTTGACAGAAATCATTTCTGATCTTTAGCGTATCCATTTTTATTTCTTTCAGTGTACAATATTCCACTCCTTCATTAACTTGTGATAGCGACCTGAAATAGCGGGAAAAACTGACCTATTCGATAGCAATCGTATTGCTCATGACTTGCTCCATTCAGCGGTGCAGCTACAACATCAATCCATGTGTACACTCTACTGTACTCGAAGAGTGGATGCGATCAACTAGCAACATTCTAAAGCCATTGAGTAAAACTCCAATTGTAGACAAGTGTTGATGCATTGCATTTTAATTGGTAATCATTAGAAGGATTGATTCTCATCAGTTAATATGGCCAATGAGAATAAAATTGTTGAAGAATTTACTGCTTTATTGGATAAATCCAAACAATTATTTAACGGCATGAGGTAAGTTTCATCAGTCCATGTCACACTGTGATTCATTTCACTGTCAATGTTGAAAAAGAAATCAATTCATAGTATTGCTGCCTTACCTTTGTCTTTGCTATGTCCAATTTTACTCTACTGCAATTTGCACAGTAGAATTTCAACTCGTCAATGATATACTGTATATATACAATAATATACCAAAAATGATACCTGTTGCTGGAGTCGTATCGTAGTAGAATTGCTTTTATTGCAGTACGGTAGCCAAGTAGGAAGTAATTCAGGACCAAAAACAACTAAAGTGAAGAGAAATACTTACCAGACTCTTCTCTATTATACATAATATACTAGCATTACACAGCAATAGATTTGCAAGAAGATTCTTGTAAAAATGTAGACACTACCGTGCTACTCTTTATAAATATCACGCTTTACTATTTGTTAACCTCGATAAAATGAAAAGCCACTAGCTACTACGTGAACTGTAAAGATTAATTTCAACTTGTGATATCATAATAACTATTTGCTCCCATGTGTACTTAGAGAACTGCCGCAATTCGGTCATTACCATTGGCAGAATTATTTTGCTAAAACTTTCGATGTCTACACCAAAGTAAGTTACTATCACCAATCGTTAGTTATTAACGGCTATTTATTCTTCATTACAAAGATAAATGCTATCTATTCACTGTCTTATTGCATTACCATCAGTAATTACTTTATAACAACCGGATAACGATAATAAATATCCACATGATAATAGATATCTAAAGGATAGTAATGCCGTGAATTAGAACTAACCATGGTACTACAGTACATATCAGTAGATTAAAATAGAACACAAGATACAATAGCATGCTAATTGGGAGGATGTGAAATCTATAACTAATTTAATTTTAAATACGGTTATAATAATAAATAATTCACACTTTTACCGAAGTTATCAATTATAATTATCCATGTAACTTATAAAGAATATCAATATTGTAACAGTGTGCAATGACTGTACGCGTATATTGTATTGTACCAGTATAGCGTCAGATAGCGATACGATAGTTACATACAGTATTATGAATAGGCTCTACTACTAGATAGAATAGAAATGAAGCTCGATATCATACCAATCTAGACTAATGTTAAATCGATATCTAATTTTCTACCTATACCAATGTTTTCTAATTTACAGTTATGGAAATTTCAACAAAAGCATAGGTGAGTATCGCTGTATGCTGATATATAAAATAATTATGTTGTTGCTTTACTCTACTACACTACAATCCTTTAAATTACTATACTCTATAAAATGTAACCATGCGTTTAGCATCAAGGAAAAATAGGCGTGTGCTACAATAAACTATATAAAATATCTATATCTGCAAATAGCCATGTACTTACTGTTAGCTTCACTAATTTATTATGCGTATCCTAACTTTAATATCTGCCTCTCTACTGTAATCTATTACTGTACTCATACAAGAATAGGGTTCACCAATATCTTAGCTGCAGTCACTATTACAAAAATATTATCATGAAAAATTATAAATTTATAGGATAATTAATAAATATCCTATAGAAGTTGTATTTGTTTACATTCTGTACTTGTTATTCTATACTTACGAGTATAAAAGAATCGTGCCTTTAGCTCAACAGAATAAAAATAATATATCCTACTTAAATACTATCTCATCTACACTATTAATGTACTAATTATATAGAGCTCTCATTCTTGAATTATTATAGTTATACTGATGTAATTTACCCCATAGGCAAATCCTAGACAATAAATTAAGTTTAAAGCGATGGCAAATTGGCGAAATTGCCAGCAAGATTGGACAATTATATTATCATTACTAGTAAGTTCTATCACAACGAATAAAAATGTGCCATGATTGTAAGAAAAATCATAAATGTTGTACATTTATTACCGTAAAAAGACATTATCGTAGTGCTCGATATCATTTGCTGTAAAAATTTATCGCAAGTTTTGCACTATGCTCCCTGAATGTCAGACAACCGTATCCTATTTTGGTAATAAAAAATTAAATTTTAGACAGTTATAACGTATTCTTCAGTGAACTATTGAAGCCTTGCTATTTTATCCCCCATTTGCCCTTAATACCACTTGTAAATCTGTAATCGTAATTATTTTGCCAATAAATGATCTTATACGAGATTGAATACCTCTTTATTCAATAAAATCGACGCGACTATTAATAAGTTTACACCACTAATTTTTATTATAGTTTACGTACCAGTGACGTAACTTACTTATTGGAATCCTATTCCTTTTATCGAGCAATCCATGGTAGAGCTTATTACAATAAAGCTGTTAAGGAGGAGAAGTAAGTATACTAGTACAGTAACTCACACCTATTAGTTATTACAACCTATTGTGCAAGTGGTATCAAGAGCCATAGCGTTGATGTTCAACATAACTTAAACTTTTATATATGATAATTCTGTTAAATCTCTCTGTATATAAAACTGCATACGAGTATTATCTGGTTAGAATATTTATAGCTCAAACACACAAATATGCCTAACGACAATAATAACTAAAGCTACTTTCATCTCATGTTTACAGACCTGACATCATGATTAAGAAGCTACGATACTATGCAAGATTCATTGTGGTTTGTCTGTTATTAAGAAAAACTGATACTTTATCTGATCTAGTTACGGTAATTAAATCTCTTCCCTTCCTGATAATAATTTAATTCATAATGCAGCATTTCAATATTTTGCCGTGCAATTAAATTTCGAAAACGATGGTCAATTATAATTAATTATCAACATCAAATGCTATTACCTTTTTAACTGAATCTCAATTAAATTAAACTATTCAACTAATGTTATGCTTATTTACAGGAATTAAGCCGCTGTGTAGATGAATATGTTGAACACTATGAAGTTAAAGAAGGAGGAGAATGGCAAATTGTACTAAAGGAGATTCATAGTTTCTTAGCTGTACGTTACAATTAAGTTCATTTCACCTACTTATAAAATTTATTTGTAGAATTTGTATTACTTCTTAACAATTTTAACTTAATACGCCAAGGCGGATGGACTATTTCAAATTATTAAAGATGATGGAGCCACATTAATGATTCAAAATCGACTAAAATCGCAGGTGTGTTTACGTTAAAGTATTGTCGACAGAAAGATATAACTTATTACAAGTATTATATTTTAATTATGCAGACTATACCAATAGCTAGTGGAAGTTTTGGCACCAAATTAAAGCTAACGGACGTAATCATTGTCGGCAACTGTACTAAACAAGTATGCTGAATACTGATGATATCCATCATTAAACATTAAATACATGCAGTACGGCGTTAGATTGGTAATAAACTATCTTTCTTTTAGGTAAAATTTAGCGAATTAACTATTGATATGTATCGAATGCTGCAAGTTGTAGAATACGTTAGTAGTAAGTTCGAATCTACTACAAATGAAATAATGACTAAAAATGATACCAAAGCTGAAGAAAAACAGGTACAATTTAATTGACCTTATACATGCACATACATGCAATTATGTGAGAGTTGTTTCTTCAGTTATATATCAGATCCAAGCGATGTGAAATTTGTTTTACTCTTACTGATTTTCATTATTATTAGTAATTACTGATCTAAGAAACCATGGTACATCACAAATTTACTTTTGATAGAATGAAACCACAGAAGATAATAAATCTACGAAGAATAAAAATCCACACAAATGCCTCCTATACCGTCCCACATTTTTCCAGCTATATGCTTTCCTTTCATCAACATTTAAAGTATATATTCTCTTTCTCAATCAAGAATCGTAGAGATTGACTTCTTTTCATCATTATCAACTTAGAAATATACAAGCTGTAATTCCTAGATTTCATTATGCATGCATCTCTTATTAGGAATTACCTTCAAATTCTATCGCCCTAATATATATCTCAGCAGATGGAAGTCCTAAAGTTAATTTATCTGAACGTGATGGTAAAAACTATTACATCATTTGCTTTGTCCTGTCTCATCGCACACATCCATAACATGGCAATAATTTATCCATTATATAGGTTATTATGATGCTGGTGGGGTGTCAACACTTAATAAAAATAATTCCACAAATTCACCATCTAAAACGCGAGCCAGCCAAGTCAGAGATAGTAATTGGTAAGTGCATCTTTACTCTCACACAAATTTTGATAGCCATAAACAAGCAACAATATTTTAAATACTAATATAAATCTATTCCCTTCTCTCATGGTGAATTAGTCTCCATCCCGAAGATCTAATACCGTTTTCCAGGAAACCAATGTTTATCATCATTGAAAGCGATAACGGAATAGCTTTTAGTGTAAATATAACGCGTCATATTTTGGACACTATGATAATCCCTTAGAATTGTCCAATCATTGAGTATGTATTTAATGTACTGATACATCTTTTACTAATTTATAGAACTTTCCGCAACTATTTGGGCAGCCTTTGGTTTGTCTAATGTCTCCCGTAACTATCCCAGCAACTTTCTCAGGTTATTTAGGTTTATAATCGTACATGAGAACATTAATACAATCTTCATCATGCCGAAAAATTAAAATTTTAATCATTTATATTTGCCTTTGTAGAAAAATCCCATCTTTACGGCAATTTCTTTACGATGTTTCTGCATTGTCCGTTGATGGGCTTTTGCTATATATGCGAAATTTCGGAGATACAGCATAATACATGGGAAGAATGTGAAACCATATTTCAAGACATTTGGCAAACAATCGCTACTAATATTGAAAACTGCCCAACCCTAGGTAGCCGTGTATTCGTATAAATACTTACGCCTTATCAATGTTTCCAGTCACACATGTCGTCTCAGCTACATACTATCCAACTTTTCTTTAGGTTTTTCGTTTCGTCAATTTATTCATGACGAATTCCTCCGTTTATTAATTTACCGTTACATCTTCTGTTATTGTACCCTTTCTCTACATAAGCTATTTAAAGTAAGTATGAGCAATATTTTCGTATATAATTCTACATTTCAAGATTTATATTAAGAAAAATTGATCGAGTGGACTATTTATTTCTTTGCGTAGAATACCAATTATTATCCTATCTGTTACCCAAAAATGCCTGCAAAGTTAACTGAGGCCGTAAACTTGAAATCGCTCGTCTTAAAATTAGCAAAGGTACTAAACGCGGGCCAATACATTTACCAGGAAACTTGAAAAGTGATACTATCAAATCCTGAAGAGATTGATATTGTTGTTATCATAATTTTCTGTATATACTATAAGTCCGATAATCTGTTTCATACATCGAATAATCGAATTCCAATGTAGATGGTTACTACTGGAAAGTTAGTTTAACATATGTCATATGGAGATGAAAGCGTGATCTCATGTCACTTAACTTAATTTTGCACATTGAAAGGTAAAAATATCCTATGCAAAATAATTGGAAGTGAACCTTTCCTATATTAATATTTTTAACGCACTGATTTATAAATTGACTGCAGCACTATTATGCAATAATACTTAAACTAAAAATCTATATGAAAACGTAGTGCGCCATATAGAAAAAGTTATTTTTATTAATGAAACACTTCTATATAGAATATGTATTTAGTTTGACTGAGATTTAAATGGTGCCATGTAGCGTGATATAGTCTTATTTTATTATTATTATTTTTTTATAATGAGGCGACTAAAACGTCCGCAAGAATGATTTTTAATTTACACATTGAATATACTGAGGCGATACTAAATTTAGCTAAAATATATACAAATATTATTACATGATTCAACATGATAAAATTAAAATAACTATTAGTAGTCTTTTGCGACAAATTAATCTGTAGCTGATTCAGCCATTAGCATCTCTCGATTTTCATAATTCCAGAATCCATTGAGATCTATTAGAATATTAGTAACGACTTCGCCTTGACCGCTATTAGAATAAATTTAGAAAATAATCTATTTGTATTAAAATAAATCGTATAAAAACAAAATTACTTCGATTGTATTTACCTGTCATTCAAATCTTGTAAAGTGATCCATAGTGGGTTGACAGGTTTTATCATATCAAATATTTCATCCTACATGATTACAAAAGAGTTCTGGTCAATAAATGCACGAAAACATGATCAAAATTTTTTGTTCTCCAAATTTTTAATGCAAGACCTTGACATCTTCAAAGTGAACAGGCTGCTGACCTAAATTTCTTACTTGTTCTTGAATTGCCTACAGAAACATTACTCTATTAAATAATTATAATTATCAAAGTGCTCTTACAAAGCTGTAGCGGATAATTACATCCAACAATTTTAAGCACTTACTTTGAAGAAATAATTTAATGCAAATATATTTAAATGCCCGACACCCTGCATTGTAAAATATTCAGATTGTACGTGTAAGTATCTATCCAAATACCAAGACGTCTAAACCAGCAATCTTAAGGAAGGTAAAGTTGCGGCAATACGAATTTGTATCACAATATACATTACCTGAACATCCAGAAGTCGAAATATGTATTGAAGAGCCTAAAATAATAGATGTTTGCTTTACTGTATTGTATAAAACCAACGATTATCATGTAATTCATACATCAGCTGTGGAGCTGTTACATATGTAAAATATGTACCTGAGCTTCGCCTCGATTTTCCATGGCTAATACAAAATCAAGATATGCCTTGTAATCCTTCATATCCAAAAATTTTTACAAATTAGTAACTCCTTATCTTATATATACATCTATAGAAGACTATACTGTAAGATTGAAATTTAGGTATCGGTAACAAAATAAAGTATAATGCTGAGCGACTAGCCTATTTTATTCTAATGCTAAGAAAGTGATTCGTGAAAATCAATGAAAATAGACGATTACCATTTCTCCTTCATAAGTTAAACACTCTTGAAAGACTCGATCTAGAAAAACGTTGGTTAACGTTCCGGTGCCATATCTTAAAATTTAATTTAATCACAGGAAATAATAGTTAATCGTCGATCGATATAAGGTATTGCACCAGTTGCACACTCTCATTAAATAAAACTATTTACAAGCTAATATTTAATAGCGTTAATTACTTCGAGAGTTCATCTCTACTTAGCATTCCGTTATGATCCGTATCCAGATTAAGGTACTGGCCTAAGAAGAACATTAAAAACGGCATTGGTAAACCTAATTATCAAACTGTCGAATGTTACCATGTCAAAATATCAATCTTACCATATACTCTAAGTGCTGAAGTCGCTGAAAACCAGTTTGCATTTTGTCTTTCCTGTGGTAAATCCTCATCTCGTAGCTATTAATACAAACAACGTCAATAAATAAAGCATAAATTAAGAAATGCAGATTTATTATCTTACAGTACCTCTAGTAGTTCGTCGAGAAAAGTACAATTAAGTATGTCTACAATCTTGACTTTACCTATAGAAATAAGTTCATAAAAGTGAACCGAAATTAGAATTACTTTAGATAAATTAATGAAATAATATTAAATTAAGATCGGTATGAGTTCTAACATACCAGTTTTCATAGAATCCAAAAAGAAAAAAAATTTGCGCACAGCTGTACATACGTAAAAGGAATAAAACGACTTTTCTAAACCACCCAACTACATTTAAATTTAATAAAAAATACAAGATATTAATGCCCTAGTATGTCAGATAATAAACTCAAATAGACAGCGATATCCCAACTTAAAATAAATTACCTGAGGTAGAGTAGGAATTAACTCCAATATATAGTTTTCCAGGTCCTGTAGGCAAAGATCATGGTGTTATGATTTTTTACAGCACCGAAGTGAATTTACAAATATTAACTCATCAGAAAACTTTAAATTCTAACCGGCTCTCTTAGGTATCCCTGACCAGCAACGTCGTATAAACTCAAGCCAATACGAGTTTGATGCATCCACACTAAAAGGTAAATACTGAAGCTGAGAATGCTAGTTTAAGCAGATAAGTACTTTGCAGCTAATTTGTCGAGTAATTTGAAAATGTATTCAGGACATCAATACCTTTTCTCATAGTATAATTGAAAAATTGCATAATCGATATCCTAAAATGGATGCATCACATAAATGAAAATGTTAGATACAGCATGTTACAATATACCTACAATAAATAACTAATCAAAGTGAACCTTCCATAGGGGTCACCCTGAAGCAATCTTGAAAAAGTGACAGCATTAAAAAAGGAGCTGGATTATCAAAAATTAAAAATAGTAAATTAGATAAATTCATTTATTTACAGAAATCATCGAATTCTTCTAGGTACAAGCTGTCATAGATGCAATAAAATAGGATAATAAAAATACTGCAGTGCATCATCATGATACATGTTCAGCACGCCTTACTTACTGTCTTACATAAGTAAAACGATTTTCTTACGTGTGTATGAATAATAGTATTATGACATGAGCAAAAATCATAGCTGATTGGTGTTTACCGGCATTTAGGCCCACATTCTGCCGAAACCTTCATAAAGTCCTCGTAGCTAATCATCTGTGGTAAGTTGTAATCAAGAGCAATTTTATAAGTGCTTATTTCTTTTGATTATATGCCATTGCTTTTAAAGTTACTGTAAAACTGAATAAAAATAAAGTTAACAATTAGCACAATTAATCACCTTGTCTTCACCATTAGAAGATAACGTATGATATTTATCCAAGATATACCAAAGTCCCTAGAAAGGTTAAAAGAGTGTAGCTGCATGTGAATGACAGTAATTGAATAAGTGAAACGCAATCTCATTAAAATAATATCATACGAAATTTTGTATTTGTTACTACAGCATTAGATATTACCTGCAACTCATTATTATCTAGTAATTCCTGACTTTTTCTCTGAAGTAGTAAAGCCCTATAGCATTCGAGACATTACAAACTGTAAATTAAGAGTCATGCAAATTTCAAAATTTTACTAATAATTACTTGTACGAACAAGCAGAGTTGTTCAAGATTAGTGATTAGTACTTAAGGGTAGTTAGCTTAGTATGAATATCTACAGGTAAATCAGCATTTAATACATTTATTTTGCATATCTATTTTCAAAGACAAAATACCTGGATTCTTCTCTCAGTTTTTGCATAACGACATCATCTTCATCTGGTAGCTGCAATAAAAGTAACATGCCGTTACACATCCTGATCACTACGATGCAAAAACTTCAATACAGATATTACGGTAAAGTATTCATTACATGACTACTTTTACTCTATATATCAAGGCAATCTGCTATAGCTCGTAGCTTACCTTGTAATAAAACCGAGGTATTACACTAGGATTGTGATGATTTTTGTCATTATCTTTACCCTTTAACTTAATATACTCTTCAGTTAGCAGTTGCTCGTCACTTTTACCAACAATATTATTTAACTCATAATCTGAAAGTCAGTCAAAATTCTTTCTTGAATAAATGATACATTTAATACATTATCAACATCTATATTTTTCGTATATTTATACATTTTATAGTCGTTTAGTGAGACTGTAGTGTATGTGTATACCCAGTATTCATTACAGTTGATTTTGATGAATACAGTCCATTTGATGTGGATGTCATCATCGCTAATTTTATACCTCCAACTTCTCTATGCATCCCTCAAGCTCCTTCTGCTTGAAGTACTACAGTACTTTTTGATACTATAGATCACCAAATATGCCGTATATACTATATATGTATACATGTATATACATGTCAACATCACTACTACAGTACTGTATGTTATAAACTAATTCTTAACTAATTATAATTTATCGAACGTCGAGTAGCGAAGAAATATTGTTTTCTCAGATCCATCCGGTTCTTTAAAACCATTTCTCATGATATTCATCATCATCGCTACTGTATTCCTCTATGATTGCTAGAATAAATCCTCCTCACATAGCAACATGTACTATGGCATATTGCATTATAAATAAATATTACGATATACCTTGCAACTTGAGCGCACACGAACGTAAACGATCATCTTGCTCCATTCTTGCCCGTTTTAGTAATTAATTAAGGTTATTTATTGATATCCAGGAAAGCCCTGCTGTATCGCTACCGTTCAGATTGACGGATTCTACGAATTCTTCTGCAATCTCGATGTCAATTAGTCATCCATCAAATGCCAGGGTTTAAATGAGCATAAGCATGTTTTCTCTAGTCTATAAAGTAGTTTTAATCTTCGTTCCTGGATGTATAAAATTATCTACTGTAGAACTTGTTGGCTTGAGATCGATGGAAAGCCCAATCTGCCTCTGTTTAATCTTCGTTCCTGGATGTATAAAATTATCTACTGTAGAACTTGTTGGCTTGAGATCGATGGAAAGCCCAATCTGATTCTGTTTAATCTTCGTTCCTGTAGAACTTGTTGACTTGAGATTGATGGAAAGCCCAATCTGATTCTGTTTAATCTTCGTTCCTGTAGAACTTGTTGACTTGAGATCAATGGAAAGCCCAATCTGATTCTGTTTAATCTTCGTTCCTGTAGAACTTGTTGACTTGAGATCAATGGAAAGCCCAATCTGATTCTGTTCGATGTTTTGAATTTGTAACGGAAGAGCGCAGGACCTGTACAGTAGTACAGTGTACAGAGTGAAAGAGTGAAAACTGCAATCTTTGTACTGTACTGTACTGTACTGTACTGTATGTGTGCCGTACCGTACCGTATCGTACTACACGTCACGTCAGTTTCCACGCCGGTGGCCACCAATGGCGGCTACTTTTTAAACTTACTTTGATGATATGGACAGACTGCTATCGACGCTAAATCCACGTTAAAACCCACTACATGCCAACAAACTGCAAAACCTTTGAAAAAATGATTGGATTGGACTATGGTGGCAATTTATTCCATAGGTATTGATTCTTGAATAATATCTCCTCAACATCAACATCAGAAATTGCTCCCCATAGTTCTACCCTAGTCTACGAACTGTACCAATTGAGGTCGAGATTAATTATTTAATTTAGCCTGGCGTGAACTTCCTGGTCCTTGCTACAATACAACGTTGCTGTCTCAGTTTTAAATTAATAAGGCTGAAATACAGCATGTCAACGATGAAGGTAGCCCTACTCATTTATGGCTTTGCTACAGCACAAGCTTTGCCAATAGGAAATGGAACAGTCAGTAATAAAAGTACAACTGCTACAACTCTCCCACATCGAGACTATGATAAATTTTGGCTAGAAGCTTTATCTATTAATTTAATTTGTTATTTAATTATTATTATCCCCGGCGCATTGATTATTCGATTCACGGAATCATCTGAATATCTAAATAAGGGCGAACAAGGTAAAACAGACCCTATTGAATGTTTCGATACTGTACAACTAGTGAGAGTAGAATTCAAGTTAGCATTACACATCTTGATTGACTATTCTGTAGTACAGTGCTTTTGTGAACCAAGCACTTATGGTACTCATATACTCTATTATTAACTCTTTCAATTATTTGCATGACTCTTTCTAGGTAGCATTATCCAAAAATTTCTATTTACATGCATACGTGAAAGACAACCAGATAAAAATCGACTCAATACAGATGATAATACGGAACTAGGAGAAAGCAATGTGTCAAAGCCTCCACCAGCTATTCTAGGCGTAGATTATCATAAATGTTTTCGTTTGCTCTTTTGTGCCTTAGGCCTTCAAATATCCTTCCTATTATGGGGTATATTACAAGAGCGGGTGATGACTATTGATTATGACGGTCGTAAATTTAAGAATTCACAATTTTTAGTTTTTATGAATCGCGCTATGTCATTACTCGTCTCTTGGTCTGTTATTAAATATTCACGAGCTAAAGATGATATCGCTCCGATGTATAAGTATTCTTATGCGTCCTTTTCCAATATTATGAGCAGTTGGTGCCAATATGAAGCTCTTAAATTTGTTAGTTTCCCATCGCAAGTTATTTGTAAAGCTTCCAAAGTTATTCCAGTGATGATTATGGGCAAAATTGTTTCTAATAGGAGCTATCCTTACTATGAATATTGTACATCTGTTTTACTTTCTATCGGTGTCAGCGCTTTCTTATTAGACGCTCATCATCTTGATCATCACCCAATCACTAAAACAACATTATCGGGAACAATATTAATGTTGGTATACATTAGCTTCGATAGCTTTACTTCTAATTGGCAAGAGCAATTATATAAAAAATATAACATGTCATCCGTGCAAATGATGTTTGGAGTGAACGTATTTTCCACCGCATTAACTCTTGTATCACTTCTTACTCAAGGAACTTTACCCGCTTGTATCGCTTTTATGATGTCCAATTCATCGTTCGCAGTTCATGTCATCATGCTATCCACTTGTGCCTCGATAGGTCAACTGTTTATTTTTTATACTATTTCATGCTATGGAGCTTTAATATTTACTATTATCATGACAGTTAGGCAAGCATTAAGTATCCTGTTATCTTGCCTCATTTATCACCATACCGTAACTGTTCAAGGTGGTATTGGAATGACGATTGTTTTTCTGGCGCTATTCTTACGAATCTATGCCAAGAAGAGAACGGCTCGTGCGAAAACGGTCACATAAATTAAGTGACAATATCATCATGTTAAATGGAAGACATCCAATCGTAGTGAATATCTAAATATGGAAACGTTACGATATAATCTTTTACAAATTTTACCATTAGTATCCTGCATTAGGCTATATATATATATATCGTGCAGAAGTAAAAATTAGGCTGTCATGATGAGATCAGTCATACTTTAAATATATCAAGATCGAAATTAAATATGGTAAGACGTTATGACTGTCAACCGAAACTAATTTAATTTCTTAACTGTCCATTTCCTCCTTAAAATATTCGATTCCTTCTTATGTCATTGACTCAAACAATTATAATAAGCATAATAATGGTATAGAATAAAAACATCTCAAAAATCGCATTTAATATCATATGTTCGAAGCAAAAATGATTTTAACTTCATTACTGTACCGTGATATCACCAGCAAAATGAATGGAGATATAAAGTATTTATTATCCCTGATAATTATCAATTCCTACCATCTAAAAATGCGATCTGAAATAAAACTTCTTTAGGAGTTATCTTCGCTACCATTTACAGTGGTCAACTCGAATGTGCTTTAACAACTCTGTTGGAGTAAACTTGTGTAAAAGCAATGCAATTTTAATCATTAGCAATACTCTTGAAATGTCGGCCGAGCCTTTAGATCGTTTAAATTGTCGTGCTACCCTTTTACAGCGTTAGAATCATGGTTATATTGCCTAATAGTAAATTGTTATCATTACTGGAAGGCATAATAATTAATCCTAAAAAATAAGAGTTGATCTTGATCCGTGAGTAGAACTTTAAAAGTTTATATACTGTAATACTGATCAACCAAGAAGCCACAATATCTTCAGGGGCGCTTTATTCAAGATTTTCTACAGATCAATATTTATACTCTAAATTACCCTATACAGCATAGATGTTATAAACAAGGTGGCTTAAAGTAGTGAGTATACAGTATAATAAATATGATAGAGTAGTGAGGAGTATTTGGTAGTCCATGATTCTACACATACAATATAAAAAATTAGAGAAAATTCATAATAGCCTCTAGTGATTTAATTGATTGAGAAATCTATAACAGTTAGACCAGTATTACTACATTTTGCAAAGATTTACATTTTTCCAGCACTACATATCGTGTTTACGATTTCTATTACTGGTATAGTTAAGTGCCTGTATTTAGGTAAATTGATTACAGCATTCTCGCCCACTGTTATAAGAAATAGTTCAAAAGTAATTGAAGGCACCCCAATCCTGCTGTTGAGCAAATCTTAATCTTTATAAATAATTATACAGTACTATTTTTCTTCAATATTGATATACAGTACACGCAAAAAGGCTCAAAAAATAATTCCAGAGATGTCCACTTCGCCGTCGAGTGGATCTTTATCATTAAAATTTGCTTTACTTGTACTATATGCTAACGAGCTACAAAATATAAGCAAAACCCGCCTATTGCAGATGGCAATTTATTAAGGAACTGCGATAACGGAATAGCTGAAAATCCTATACTGTACTGTGTATAGTGCATTAAGTACAAATAAAAAGTTACTTGCCCATATACACGTAGTAAAAGTAGGAAGTACTGTACGGAGAATATGGCTATTGACTTAGGATATAAGATTTAATAGGCTGAAAGAATATTATTATAAATAGTCAATTTATGAACGCTATAATCGACCATTCAGAATACGATTTTTTCCACAATTAGTAATTCTGTATTATTTGCACTACCAGCTTGCTCAATCTTTGCATAGATTAAACATCTAAGACATTAGATCGTACGTAAGCAAAGTAAATTAAATCCATGCAATGTTGCAGTCATCGTCGCAATGGTAGAAAAAGGAAGCTATTACGAAACCAATGTATTTTTGAAACTTAATTTTGGATAGTATATAGATTTCATTCAATATTTAATATGATAATGACGTTGTATTAATTATACGACATGTGTTGTAGTTTATTGGCTCATCAGCATACCCTAGAATAGAAAACTTAAATCGCTAGCAGTCTAATAAGTCTCCTTTATTGATATAGTTAACATTGCAGCATGATGCTAAGGTACTTAATAAGGCTTTATGCTTGCACCATACAGCCATTTAATATGAATACATTTTTAATTGTTAGTGACGACATGACTTCGCAAGTACTATACTATTACGAGCGCTATCCTCTACGATATATCCCATAGACGAGACCTTCCTGGTTGCATTTGCTTGCATGACGGACATAGATGGTAAAATAGGCCCTCCCTTTGTTGCTGTGCCGTATATGCCATTGACTGTTCTATGAATTCGTGAGGTACAAGTTTCAAGAACTTGAGACTCTTTCGTAGTACGTACAGAATAGTATTTTTCGCTGCCTACCGTCTTGCTACCACGGCAGTTAAAACAAATACTTTCCAGCTTGTTAATTGCGGAAAATTGGATCAGCATTTTTCCACTGGGTAGTTATTCTGGAAATTAATCGTAAGTTGATTTCGGACTAAAATATGCTTACGAAAACATCGCTAGATATCTGCAACGCTTACTAAAGCTTTCAGTCTTATTATAAGGATAGGATTAAATGATTGTAATAAAGGTTCCAATAAGCACCATTTTACATACAGTGTCACCACTTTGAGCAGATCCATATATTGCTAGAGCAGATGACTAGTGCAATATTTCTGTATCATTCATGATATCATAATTAGGTCTACTCTTGTCAAATAACGACATTGTCATCGATTCTCGTCTCTATGGAACCGCTCCTCACTTCGCAAAATTCTCTACAGTATCAAGATCAAAATTCGAGTCCATCAACCACCGTGTTGAGGGTGCACTCTCTTTCTAGTTTCTAGTAGTTCAAATTTTCGTCTATCTTTCATCACTAAACTGTATTGTCTTACAACATATGATGTTTTTTTGTACCATTGTAATTTATTATTATTATTATTGTTCTACTAAAGCATTTCGTCAGCTCCAGTACTGCAGTAGAGGAGAGGCTTGTTAGCTCAGTGCAATACTGCACTCTAATTGAATTGCGAAACGAATTTCATTCTGTAATGTTTAATGCGTCATAAATTCATGATGCAATAAAAACAATAACTATGTAAACATTGAGATTGTACTTGTGCGCTAGCTGGGGGTGTACTCCAGGTACCCTAGAGAATTTCTCTAGGCCTCTAGTTGTATTATTATAGTATAACATTAGAATAATACAATAATAATTATAAAGTTGCATAGCTTTACCGGAGTCAAAGTGACTGATGACTAAAAGCGATAAACAATAACTAATCGGATTGATCAAGCTTTGACATAACACCATTCGTAAAGGATAAGGGAGATCCAATTTTAGCGTGTAGGTAAAAATTCTTACAGTATGTTAAAGTAATTCGTCTCTTTCTGGGATATGGCTCCACATACCCTTTAAAACACCGTAACGATTGATATTCGATCTAAACCGTATTTAACACTACTGCATAGGACAATATTGATCATAATCCAACTCAAAAATTGAAATAGGTATAATATTGATCTACATATACACAGTGAAATTAAAACATTCGTTGCCGATCATGATACAGATGATCAACATTAAAATATATATCATCAATCGACCCAAGGATTGTTAGTAATTACTAGCATGGTTTTCATTATTGTACTACTTCGTAATGTGAAAAAGGGTAAGAAACTCATTCATATTCTTGTTTTTACATCGTCTTTTTCTGAAGAAATAAAAAGTCGTTCACTGTTGAGGAAACAAAGCAGAATATCCTTAAAAGCTAATTTTATTGATCATAATTTACTGCCGGAAAATATTGCTGAACTATGACTGGATCGAAAATTTTGATTTACGTGAATGGCGTTAAGGTAAGATACATGACTAAACAAAATTAACCTTGATAATAGACAAGATAGTAGATATATCAATTCAATGGTAGACGTCTTTAGATATAATGGTAAATGGAAATCACTGATAGTAATAATCATGATTGGAAGCTACAGCCTCACTCTTAACATCTTAGATTGTATGATAGATTAACTCAAACTATTGTAAACGACAGTATACAGTACTATGGATGACAAAAATATATTCAATATGGCTACGATAAACTTAAGGGAAACGATTACTTTTACGTATCGCCTTTAGTAATATCATTGAGTAATGTAGTTTTCGCTGTAATGAAATAACAAGAATGTTAAAACACGTCGATATTGGATATAAGAAATGTTCGAAATAAATCCTCTTTGTCTAGTTAACAAAATTGACAATATATACTAGTAAAGACATGATAGGTAGAGTAGACGTATTCTTCTGTATCTAAGCTGGATTAAAAAAATGTCTTATAAAATATTCCAACCCTTTTCTAGTATGTTACAGACAATGTACAACCGGAATGGACGTTGTTGAGTTTCCTGCGCGATCAATGTATCCTCTTCACGTTTAAGTAGAATATTTTTAATTAATATAGCGAATAGATTCACTTTGCTTTTAATTTCATCAGTATTCGCTGATTTTTATTTTCATTTTACATCTACATTTATGATCCATCATGTACGCTACCTATCGATCCTTCGATTTACGAAATATTGGCACATTATTATTAATTCGTTGTAGTGTAGCTCCAAATGGGCTCAAGACTAAAATTTATAGGATTGTACAAAAATAGATGAATTGAATGTTTCTTTGTTAGATTGTGTAAAATGTCTAAATAATTTTTAATCTTAAGCTCATTTGGGGCTGCACTACATTTATATAACTCCTTCCTCATAAATGACAACGATACACCGATGGCTCATTTTTTACGTTATTAAAATGCAAAGTAGACGACGATAATGATGTGGTAGATAGTAAGGTTTCGTCCGTAAATACGTTTACGTCAGTTTTTAATTCATTGCCATGTAGAAGAAAAATTTCATCAGACTATATAAATTACCCAATTAGGTAGCAAAAATACCAGCAGTTTTAAATATTTCGAAATAAGTTGTACTGTACAGTACGTATAATAAACACGTATGTACTGTACACTGTAAAATGGGAATGTCTTATGACGTACTAAAATGTAAAAGTAATTATTTTTATTTTAACACAGGAAGATACATGAAAATTATTTGCATTATCTCCAGTACGCGAGCAAATTCATGAATGGTTTACAACAGAACCCTGTATATTATTTTAAAGCCACATCAGTTCACAGCACATTTTTAATTCACCTACTGCCAATGATTTCAAGATTTTTAAACAGTACATTCCAATAATCCTACCGACATAAGAATGCAGCTATACAAATAATCTCTTTTTATTTACCAAATACTAGTAATGATTTTAGCTACTCATCGACTTTATACAGAAAAATTCATGTTTCGCTGTTCAAAATGATCAAAAGGTAATAGCTCTCGTTATGCACAAGATATATGACAGTTCGATAGCCTGGTAAAACATAATCTTTTACAGTGTCATAAACATGATCAGGAACAAATCTGATTGTTTATTTTCAAAGCTAATAGTAACAGTGCTAGTCCTCAACTACAATTATCGATTGTCATACAGCAGCGTAAATAAGACAAATACAGTATCTGGAAAAGCATTAATAAGAATAAGTAGTATTGAATTTATTAGGAAATAATGGAGTAAGGTAATTCACCAAATTGATACTTTCTAATATCCCTACAATATCACTGATTCATGGTTAGCGAAAAGATTTAACCATATTTAATAAATATTGTTATTGTTACAGTATGAATGACTTCCATTTGATCGTATGCTTTATTATATTAGTTTAACAAATATTCCTTACAAAGAACCATGTTATTTTTATGTTACAGTAATGAAGGTACAATTTCTAAATCTAGGTATAGGTTCGACCAAATTTAGTACTGTATATCGCAACTATTCCATCCTTACTAAACTGTCCTACCTCGAATATGTAGTATCATGTAAAGAGAAACAGTAGTGATATATATATATATATATATATATATATTATTCACTGCTGTACGTTGCCATAGTTTATCATCTCTAGTCATCTTTATGAAAATGTTAAAGTAAAAGTCTTTAACTAATTTCTAAATTACGGTATTAATGCCAATCTCACATCAAATTTAATTTTTATCCATAAGTTAAAAACTGAGTCATCATTGATCGAGCTAAGACTGTAGAATTCGTGTAGATATACTACCATATTAGGACGAGAGTCTATCAAGTCATTCTGACTTAATTACTTAAGAGAGAGAAAGAGAAAATGATCTCATGGCAGATTCATTCTATTCAAAAGCTAAAATAACGGCTTGCACAGATTTAATTTTACGGAAGTTTCTTATTCCAATACTTTTAAATATCAATAGTATAAAATCTGATATTTATTTCATCACGCTGATTTTAATTGATGTAATGTTAGTAGTGAAACACGAATATACAAAATGCATGATGCCTTTTGTTCAAGTGCTGTATGTATATTAGATATAGTAACCACTTTTTTAGGTAAGTTTTGCTAGAAGTACAGAAATAGAATCTAATATCAAGGACTTCCAGACATGTGATGTCTACAAGTCTAGAAATCTATGCCTACTAATCTTATTCATTGCGTGGGTATGCACGTGGCATATAACACACATCTATAATTATATATTGCTCTAGTTTGTATCCTACGGTACTTATCTGTATTGCGCTAGAAGGAATCTTTAAAGACTGGAAGTCGTAATCTCTTCTATGTAATCTGATATGTCTGATATCAATCCCGAATCTTATTAGTTCCTTAAATAAACCATTAGTAAAATTAACTGGAACCAAACTAGTATGTGGAGAAGGTGGATGTGGAGCTTGTACTGTTGTAGTATCGAAATATCATCGATACGAAAAGAAGATCATGTATCCGATAAACAGTATTAACATTATTTGTAGAACATATAATTTAATATATCTAGTATGCAAATTTTAAAATGCGATCTGCTTCATATATATATATATTATATATATATCTACTAAGTATACTACTGCATTGTTACAGTTGTAATAAATACAATCACCTAATTCGTAATCTAGCTTTGATATTTTGGACTTGTTTTCTTTAAATTAATATCAGTCATTACGCTGTTAATTCTTGTCTTACCCCATTATGCATCTTGCATCATACCGCTGTAACTACAATAGAAGGAATTGGGAATATGGAATCTAAATTACATCCTGTACAGGTAACTGATAAGCACAAATACTTTTCTAACTTGGTAATGCAACAAATAGTAATATATATAATCGATAAATGCTGCAACAAATCTCATCATTTCCTCATATATCCGCCTGATGATAGTCGTAAGTACAAACTAGTCATGTAAATATTATCTATAAAAGATGATGCACCCAGTACTTCTCTTCGAAACGATATTAACAGCCTCAATAATACTCGCAAAGGTTATAAACTAAAGTATAGTTTATTAGTAATACACGATAGGTTTCTGGAAGTCCCTGAATACTTTATGCATATACTACATTGTAAGAATCATTAGTGAAATTATTGGCCGGATGCATAACACATACATAGCCATCTCAGTAAATAGGCTGTTTTTTGATAATATTTTAGTCAAGAATCAAATAGTATATCAATCCCGAGGTTCATCGTGTTTACACGATTAGGATTCTGATGCTAATATATTGACTGCTCAATAATCTTTAAATTTAGAATATAATTCCAACTGAAATGGCCATGTATATGCTGCGACTGTATAATAATGTAGATTAGAATATTAGGAAGTAAACAGGATTCTTTACACTACTTGATGTCATCACTCATATTAGGAACGTATTGCTAAAGCACATGGATCTCAGTGCGGATTTTGTACTCCTGGGTTTGCTATGTCTATGTATGCTCTATTACGAAATAATCCGGAGCCAACAGAAGAAGAGATTGAAGAAGCCTGTTCAAGTTTGTACTAATAGATCAATAGAGCAACATCTTATAGCATCTTATTCTGTACAGTCAGCCACTTAAATTATAAGGCCAGATAAAATGTGATATTTAACCTTCTAACCTTAGTTTACTTCACTATAAAAATATGATCATTGCTCAACATAGAATACATTAGTAATTATTGCTTCTACCTAATTCTTACACTTGTATTCATACTTCATTTTTTAAACTCTTGCCACACTTATGATGGAATAAGCTTACCATATGTAAAATAATCTCTATCTAAAACTAATGGGTTCTAGGTAATCTATGCCGATGTACGGGCTATCGACCGATATTAGATGGATATAAAACCTTTAGCAAAGTATGTTGAGTGACACTTTTTTAAGATCGCTATTACCTAATTCAAACTATAAATATCGCGATAGAATGCTAACATAATTTTGTTAATAACAAAGAATGACAACGTAGATACTAATTGCGAAGCCTAACTTTATTTCTTATTAGAGTTACTGCTGTCAGAAAGAAAAGATTGAAACTGAATCCCAAACTCTAAAGGTAAGTACAGTAGTAGTACAATAGTAAACGCCTCAAATAAAAGTTATTTCTTTAATGTACTTTTACACATTCGAATCGATGACCAGGAAATTTAATACATTAATACCGTTTGCTTTAGATTTACTGATTGCAATTTAATTTATATATTCATATTTTTATAACTTACATCACGATAGAATAATATGGATAACAAGTTATACAACCTATCAAGCTTTTCGGCATATGATCCATCTCAGGAATTAATTTTTCCGCCAGAACTAATGGTGTGGCAATTTTACGATACTAAGAAAGAGTGTTTCATTGTACCGATCTTCATATTACCATTTTTGTACTTATAGATTACGAGAGATATGCCAGTAGAAAGCTTGCGTATTGTTGGTAACACTATGACTTGGTTTAGACCAAGCTCTCTGGAAGAATTATTGTTACTTAAAAAAAAATATCCTAGGGCGAAGTTGGTAGTTGGAAATACAGAAGTCGGTTGGTATTACTGTTTTTTTAAGATTTCTTACGAAACGGTCATTTACCTTTAAATAATACATTTCTAATATTACGATAGTTACAGTAGTTATATTAGATCTAGTTTACGGTATAATCGTTTATTTGATAATTTGCAGGAATAGAAATGAAATTCAAAGGACTTCACTACCCAGTTATAATTAGCCCCACTGAAATCCCAGAATTAAATATAGTTAAGCACACTGCAGAAGGAATTGAAATTGGAGGGTGTATTACACTAACAAAATTAAATGAAATAATGAATGATGCTATAGATAAGTTACCAGGTATGTACCGTAGTGTGTATACTTATTTAGTAGGCCAAATTGCAAAGATTTGTATCAGCACGATCATTAGACTGCAACACTAAATTTTAAACATCAAAATCACTAAATTCATAGTACTGTATTGTAAAGCATTTAGTTGAATGTGATATATTTACTAGTAATGGTACATTACTTTTAAAACATATACACCATAAATATTTTAATCTAATTGTATAAATAGATAATATTTAATTAGCTGATGTAAAGTAAAATCTTAGTGAAACGATATTTTATAAAACAGAATATAAGACGAGGACATTTGCAGCAATTGTGGAGATGTTACGCTGGTTTGCAGGCCATCAAGTTAGAAATGTCGGCGTATGTATTATTTTTGTTCGCTATCACCGTAGTTTAATCGTTATCAAGACAGTAATTAATAGCAAGTTGTTATTAGCTTCAGATATTGACCTATTTATCCCGAATACAACGATAAAAGGATATGAATCTTTGTAACGTTTACAAATAAAATTATAGCAGACGTTATAAATTTTTTTAGAGTATCGCTGGCAATATCGTGACCGCAAGTCCAATTTCTGATTTAAATCCTTTACTTCTGGCGTCAAAGTCGAGATTGTACATTCAATCAGCTGAAGGTAAGAAGTGTGGAAGTTTCAGAATCATACATTATTATATTTATATTGCACTGAACTACCGTGTATTGATATGCAATTTCACTAAATGCATCACTTATAGGCCTGAAATTTAATTAAAGACTACATATGTTGTTCAAAAATATTATCATTGTTCACCATTATCTTGACATTTTTAAGGTGAAAGAAAAATTATGATTATGGATGAATCTTTTTTTACTGGATATCGAAAAACTTGTCTTAAACCTGATGAAATAATCGAATCAATACTTATTCCATACACTTCTCAGGTACAAGTGCAAAGTTTCTATTCCTTAATAGTAAAATTGCTACTAACCCAATATTATGGCACGCAACCGATCACATACAATATGCATAAACTTTATAATTACGTTTGGATGTGAACTTTTAGAATGAATATTTTCATGGATTTAAACAAGCTCGACGACGTTCTGACGATATTACCATAGTTAATGCAGGGATGAGGGTGGCTCTAGAAAAAAATTCACTTCGATGTAATTATATTATTAGAGATTGTACACTAAGTTTCGGTGGTATGGCGCCAATTACTATTATTGCTCGTAAAACTAGCGATTTCCTGGTTGGCAGGTACACAAAGAATTACAAAAGTTGACTTCTATATTTTTTTAGGCCATGAAGCCCTTCAAAATTGTGTTTACACTTTTAATGTCATTAGTCATAAATATGTATTTCAAAGTGTTCGAAATTACTCAGTTTTAATATCGCTTGCGTAATATTATGACATTAACATTATTGCTTATAAGATATTGCGACATCGGGTATACAGACAGAGAACGAGATGTAATTTATAAAATGTTAAGAAGAAATGAAGTGATTCATACGCTTTTATCCTTATAATTAATATAATATTTAGAGAATGGAATGAAAATTTGACCGATATCGTTATTCAACTGCTAAGTAAAGATATGCCTTTAGCGTTTTCTACTCCTGGAGGAATGGTAGAATATAGGAAAATATTAGCCCCTAGTTTCTTTTTGAAATTTTATCTGATGGTTTCGTCTCAGTTGCTCTCTTCTGAGGTAATAGAAACATATTGTGGTAATTACCTGTATCACTTAGATATTACTACTAAACTTAGTCGATAAGTGATATCGATCTACGTACTCTAACGGGATAAATAAACTTTCTCAGAATTATCCAAAATCAATTTATCAAATGAATATGATCACCAGTAGTAAATAATGGGCGAATATTTTACAATTATAGGAACTTCTAAATATAGGAATACCGCCTAGTTATTTAAGTGCAGCTTCAGTTTTTAAACATAATCGTTTTCAAGGCTATCAAGAATTTGAGGTATCATTGATATTTTTAATTTAAATATGTGAATGTATTTGCCGAATTATTCTGTAGAAAATAGCTCAGAATTAAGATTATAACCCGAATATTGAATTTAATTAATAAGATCCAGTTAATCTATATTTTAGTAGTTCGATATCTTGCTTTTCAGTGTTCCAAAATAATTACCATGGCGACGAATTTTGTAGCTAGATTATAACTAAATGCATCACGTCTGCTAAAATTTCATTTATTTCATCTTATATCTTTATACGGTACTTATTCTTTATTTATTTCATGGTTAACATGAGTAGAAGTCAGATTGTAGTCAACAAGAACACAGTTCCATGAGAAAACCCATGGTGCATACCTCTGCTATGAAACAAGCTACAGGAGAAGCTATTTACTGCGATGATATGCCTAAATACTCTAGTAAAAAATCATAAAGCATCCACTCTAATAAGATATCGCATATGAATACAAAAAGTACATCTAATAAAACGATATTCAATCTGATGTTTTAAAACAGATGAATTATTTGCCGGATTAGTCTTAAGCACGAATGCACACGCAAAAATTAGGTAAGTAATTTTGTGATGTACTATGAATTAGGAAATGCATTTCATTAAGTATCAACGTCAGTTATCAGTAGTTTAAACGTGTACTTTAGAATATAACAGCTTTACAGCAATTCAATCGTGGATCCTTTATTCTAGGTCAATAAATTATGAAGATGCGATATCCATGCCTGGCGTGTACGATTATGTTGGCGCTAATGACATAAAACCCGGTTGCAATCGCGGATGTATCGAATACGGAGAGGAAATTTTCGCTACAGAGGAGGTACGTTGCAATCCTTTATTTACTGATAACTTGTTTAATTAAAATATACGTCCTATATGAATTATGCACAGAAGTGAATTGCTTAAAATTATTTAGGTAAAAAAATTTAAGTTTTATTTTGGTAACCTGCTGCTAATAACAAGATATTTTTAGCTACACATTTAATACTTATAAAGTTATAGTTGGCCGATATATGCTACTAATCTTCATTGATATTAGCTTACTGATCTCATAAGTTTTAATAATTTAATATAAACGTTTAGGTTACCTGCATAGGCCACTTAATTGGATTAATCCTAGCTGATACAAGAGATAATGCCAATAGAGCTGCCAAAGCTGTACAAATAGAATATGAAGATTTACCAGTTATTCTAACGATCGAGGTAAACATTATGCTATCTATCGTCATTGTAATTTAGTAGCATATAACAATAGGACTTACACTCTAGAAGTATCAATTACATCTTGCCGTATTGTAACTCTGCGTTAATCTATTTTAATCCAGAAAGCAATAGCGGCAGAATCGTTTTACTCTCCAACACGTCAAATTAGAAAAGGAGATGTAGAGCGTGAATTGACGTTATCACAAAAAACGATAGAGGGGGAATTTACAGTAGGTGGCCAGGTGGGTACAGTTAACCTTTTCACTAGATAATATTCTATAAATTTAAACGATTTCCGAATGAGCTACATATTTTACGTATCTTATTCAAAATCTTTATCATTTATAAATACATGATCTACGCATTAGTTACGTAACTTGTATTTCTAAATATCCTTGTCGAAATCATACCGCTAATTAATTATTCAATTATAAATTATTTTACAATATCAAGGAACATTTTTACTTCGAAACGCAATCATGTGTAGCATTGCCTAAGGCAGAAAGTGGAGAAATGGAAATTTTTTCATCAACTCAAGATCCTTCTGGTACGCAAAAATCGGTTGCTAAAGCTTTGGGTGTTCCTTCGAATAGGGTGATTTGTAGAGTTAAGCGTCTAGGTATTATGCTATTCTTATATAAGTATAGGTACTAAACATCATGGTCTAAAACAAAACGTAATCGAATCGGCACTCTGTTAATACTAAGCTTTCGCAATATATTATATAGGTGGTGGATTTGGCGGTAAGGATATGCGTGGAATTCCTATAGCTGTAGCAAGTGCTATTGCAGCTCAGAAGTGAGTAAAATAATACGGTAGTTATCGTAATATTATCTATAAGCTTAAATAAAAATGATTAACTATAGGACTGAAGAAGTTCTTATGTAGTAAAGCCAGATTAAAAACGATTTCTATCTGGCTCTATGGAATTTTTCTCATCTAATTTAGAACAAAAAGGCCTGTTCGATGCGTTTTAGACAGAGATACCGATATGTCTATAACAGGAACGAGGCATCCCTATATGTTTAAATATAAGGTATAATGAATATGACCAAGAATTTTTCTAATTTCGAACTAGAATTTCATGAAGTGTTTTTCTGTAGGTTGGATTTAACAATGATGGGGTTATTAATGCCCTAAAAATGAAAATGTATTCCAACAGTGGCAATACACGGGATGTATCACATGGGGTAATTAAAGGAATAGCTAGTTTATCCTACTGCCTGAAGATATCTCATGCATATACCATTATTTATAAATAAGGCTCGTTTAATAGTTATTTGAGTAACACTGTAATATTTACTTCCCTTTGCAGGTTATGGGAAGATCAATATTAACCTGTCTTAGTTGCTATCATATTCCCAATGTTGAAATTATTGGTTATCTGTGCAAAACTAATATTCCATCCAATACAGGCTTTAGAGGATTTGGATCACCTCAAGTAATACTTATATCTTTGAATTCTATCTTTTACATATACAAAATATACTATTTTCCTACATTAAATAAGAAAGAATATAGTTTAACTGTGTTAAAGAACTGATGTAAGGTAAAATTCGTCTTGTATCTAGCAATGGTCATGTTATTCCCTCTTTCATTCATGATTAATAGGCAATGTTAGCTACAGAAACAATCTTAACCGACATTGGCATTAAATGTGGAATAACCCAATTACAAGTAACACCACCATCACTTGTAGCAAGAGAATCTTATAATTTGTTTAAATATAGAAGATGTTTCAATGTTTATAAGACGCTATGAAATGTATTATAATTATTCGTTTATGTCGTTTAGGTTAGAGAAATAAATCTACATCGGAATAACGATGTTACGCATTACAACCAGACAGTAGAAGATAGCAGAGCGCGAGCTGTTTTAAATGAAGTTATTAAACGTAGTTGTTATGAAAGTCGTAAATTGGAAGTTGAAGCCTTTAATAAGTAACTAGAATAACTGTAACTACTAATTGAATCTCATGGAAATAAATTAAATTAGTATCTCGGATTTTATCATAATTCCTCTTAAAATGTTGTAATATCCTTTATTACATGTTAAAACTATAACGACATGTATATCCTTTTAATAATATGTAGGGTAAATCGATGGAAGAAGCGAGGTATAGCAATTGTACCAGCAGGATTTCCAGTATCGTTTACCTCAAAATATAACAATCAAGTAAGAGCTCACAGGCCTTACCTTTAATATTTTAATTTAGTAAGCTATAGTGCTAATTATGAGAAAGAACATAAACGAAGAGTTTGTAAGGCTTCAATTTTAACAACTGCTAGTAACCGTAGCTTACACTAAAATATTTTTCTTTTAGGGCGGAGCACTAGTTATGATTTATACTGACGGTTCCGTACTGTTGTCACATGGTGGAACTGAAATGGGTCAAGGCTTATACACTAAATTATCACAGGTAAGTCTATAATATCTTATAATGTATCGTAAATTGTTATAGATAGGTAATAACTAGCAGTACTCATTAGTAATTGGCCGATATGGTATTAAATGTAAGCTTGTAAACCATTTACGAATGAATAATTTATGTGAGAATAGTACCATACTACTAGATACGATTTGATAACTTAAATCAATGTAATTTTTTTCAATAGATTTGTTCACATGTTCTGGGAGTCCCGGTGGATAAAGTACATATTGTTGAAACTAATACATCTTCGGTACCAAATGCATCACCAACAGCTGGTTCGTTATCAACCGATTTAAATGGAGGAGCCGTTCTGGTATGATCGTATAACCTCTTATAATTCTCTATGATCATATAGTTATTTGAGTTCTAGCAGTAGTATACATATTTGTGAATATCATGATCGTATAACTTTACAAATAGATATCATTTTAACTTAACAGCAATAAGGTTTATTGAATAAATACAAATATCGCATCCTGGTAAATACCTGCTATGAACCGATATCGTAGTACAGAATTTATGTTGTACTTTATCTGTGATATGGTTGATCATAATCATAGTGATAACTTACATACCCAAATATAATAATATTTAATGATACGACAGTTGTTGGAAGCTATATGTTCTTTCTACTTTTCTATTGATTTATAGGATTAGTTACTATCTTTGTTGTTCACGCATAAATATCTTTTAACTAGCAGATACTAATTTGTATTTTATAGAACGCATGTGAACAGTTAAGAGATCGAATAGCCCCATACCGAGCAGCTAATCTAAAGGGAAAATGGGAAGACTGGGTAAGTTTTATGATCGTAATGAGTGTTTCAGCATGCATCGTCATACAACCTTATGTTCATACCGGTATATCGTACAATTAACTTGCACAGATTTTGCGTAGAGCTTGTTTCTATAGAGTTAACGTACAAAAACAGAAGCTTCTCAAATTATGATAATTACCACAATGTATATATACCAAGTGAAATCATAAGCAATTCATTTTTTATCGTCTAAGGTCAAAGCTGCTTACACCGACAGAGTTAACCTATCAGCCAATGGATTTTATCGGTAATTAAATTAAACATTCTTTAATTGCAATATCATGATAAACACAGTATGTGATAAAGTTTGCCTATATTTTTGCGTGTGTTTTGTCTGACTACAACATACTGAATGTGATAAATCTTGTTCTTGCAGTGTGCCCAACATAGGTTATAACTGGAATGAAAATTCTGGACGAGTATATAATTACGTTACCTATGGGGCTGCGGTATCAGAAATAGAAATTGATTCTTTAACTGGGGATTATCATGTACGAAGATACATTAATATTAATACGTATTACGAATTAAGTGATACATACTGCAATATTTATGAATGCAAGAAAATAATTTATTTACAGATTTTATACAGATGATGTAGTAAAATGTACAATATATATCAATATTAATATTTTTTTAAATTCAAATTTTTATAATAAGCCGGGCCTGATATACTGTACTTATGTATCCAATTTTATATTATTTGCTCTACATTGCTATTACCTAATCCATCATTATTGCTGTGTTGCTATACAATGTTTCAATAATTTAGATATTGCGTACCGATATTGTAATGGATGTAGGCAAAAGTTTAAATCCGGCAATCGATGTTGGTCAGGTATGCTAATAAATTTATTAGCTATCAGAATTAGGAAATTAACTGGCTGGTATTACTTAACTGTTTAAGATTTATAATATTATTAATCGATCACCTGTTGGTTCTGGATAAGATTGAAGGAGCGTTTGTACAAGGAATAGGATTATATACACTTGAAGAACAATGTATATCACCCTCTGGATATTTGCTAACACGAGGACCAGCAACATATAAAATTCCCAGTTTATCAAATATTCCAAACAAATTTTATATTTATTTATTACCAAATGTTCCAAATAAACGCGGAATTTTTTCTTCAAAGGTAAAATAATACTAGAAGTGTATCTTTAGTAATATCACCAGTATAAACGATAGAAAAAATGATAACGGTTCCTTAATTATTTAAAATTAGGGTATTGGAGAACCGTCTTTAGTACTTGCCTCATCAGTATTTCTGGCGATTAAATATGCCATTATTGCTGCTAGGTAAGTAAATGATATTGTATTAACACTACAGCGCTCGAATATATTCGTATTTGTTGATGAAAGAGAGCTAATTGCAATTATAAAAGTTACTACTATTGTTATAACGGAGTATTTCTTCATAAAGTAGTTAATTAAATGATTATTTTCGCAATCAGAAAAGACTCTGGATTTCACAAAATGTTCCGACTCGATAGCCCAGCAACATGTGAACGCATTAGGATGGCATGTACTGATCAAATTACTATGGCGGTAACTACGATTACTTACTTAATTATGCACGAATTTTATAATGAATCAATAATTATTATATCTTCGTAACACAGTGGCAAAAGGGTCCGGATAAAATAATTAAAGAACTTTTCAATTCATTTAATTTAGATTCAGCCATCAATTCAAAAAGAAGATGAGGATCCATGGACATTGACTATAATATAATTTGCAATATTAAACGCAGCGAGGCTGAAACTGATAATTATATAAAGTTAAATAATCTTGGAAGAACATTATTAATATGTCAAAGAACTCTTATACATTTTATCACAGTACCACATTAGTCCTCTCTGAAATACTCAATACCGTAGGAGGTTCTATATAATCATTTGTTACACGTACTTTACATAGCGTGCAGTATCGTATAGAAATTAGTATGGAAATCGGTCTCCTGAAGACTGCTAGTTTGAATTGAAAATAAGAAATTCTATTATCTGCATATAGAGCAAATCCGTGCCATAAGATGGAAACTTTCAACAACTGTACGAATTTATTTGAAAATATAAATTATCCAAATAATGGAATGATATGGTATTCCAACGGATCGTTATTATATTGTGTATTAATTAGAGCCTAAAAGTATTTGTTGCTATCATTAGCATTTATGTAAAGCAAGTCAATTTATTATGATACGACTAATGATTAATTAGTATGGGTAAATTGGATTGACTAGAATGAAATTCAGCTTTAATAAAAAGATTGTCTACCAAAGCATTGATGGAATATGATCTTAACGGTAATTAGATCTTGAAGAGCATCTTTCTTATTGCATTACCATAATTATAGTTCACTTAACGTTTTTCATTACTTTTATACGAAGAGACAAGTATCCTGCCATATACTGTACGATAGAAAGATAATTACAATGAATAAAATCTACTAACTACATATGGTTGTATATACATTAACGTTTAATATTGTGGCGTTACGAGTAGAAAAATATAGTTTCAATCTAGTAATTTCATAGCATTGTCATAAAATTAATATATAGTATCCAGTACTTGATGAAACTAATTATTAGTACAAGGAAGGCAAATATTGCTTATTGTTTATTATTCATACTTGCAAATATTGCAAGTGAGTAGAAAGTAAACTGATCAAGTGAATATAGCATATAGTAAGAGAGGAATCTACGGGCTTAACCAGGGACTACTAAAAGACGAAAGAGAGGGACAGAGAACGGTCATTCGATATACAGTACTAAAAATAATTTTGCTCGAAACGGCCGCTAGGCGTCCGTCTCTCTTTCTAGTAGTCCCTGGTAATTAATTCTTACTGTAACCCATGGTGTGCACTTTACGGTACAGTACAGAACAGTCACTCACAGTATAATGTACTGTAGATTGCAGTACTGTACTGTACTGTACAAAGTGTCTCGTACTGTACGTAGAGCGTCTTTCCGAGCTGTGCGTCCGAGAACCTTATGCTAGCCCCACTGCGGTACAGTACAGTACTGTATGTACCGTACTGTACTGGTGCAGTGGGTACCCGAGTATGGAAATCCGGGTGCAATCCTTAACAGTGCAGCACAGTAACCCACAGTACTGTACAATGGATTGTACAGTACAGTACACTGTACTGTACAGTACAATGGATTGTGCAGTACAGTGTACAGTACTCTGCAGAGATGCATAAAAGAGCTGTGTCAGCCTGGCCTATATGGAACTATACTGTATGGTGTCGCATTTCTAGTACAGTGCTCAGTATAAGTATTCTTGAAAGTCGAGAGGAAAAAAAACAAGTCCCTGTCACTACCTGGTGCTACATACAGTGATATACTGGGACAGCAAAGTAAAGTCAGTAAGTCAGCATTGAGATTGAAGAGGCACTTCATCGAAGCATCATTTTTATTAATGCAAGAAAATGGCCAGTCGTGACCGTGGTTCCAGTGCTGGATTTGATCGGCATATCACGATATTCTCTCCTGAAGGAAGATTATATCAAGTCGGTTAGTAAATTGCTTTCGATTGTAACAGAGGATCGAATATTTAATTGGAAATTCGGACTCATTTAAGAATTTCACTTGATATAAAACATGTGAAACTTTGATCTACTACTCGACTGTACAGTGTACATCAATTAATATTACGTTACGTGTGAGAATCTCGAAAGATAGAGTACTGTACTACAGTTCATTTCAGCGAATCCCTTCTGGCAATAATTCTTCTATACTGAATTAGTCAGATCGAATCGATCAAATTGTATTCATACTGTGCATCCTAATCATGATAAAGTTGCATAGTTAGTAAACTGATTTTGGATAGCTTCATGACAACGTTTATATTTCATTGAACGAAATTTACTCCTAAGGAACTTATTAGCTAACAAATACTGAGTAAAAAAATTAGGAATTGGATGCTTTTCGATCACTGCTGCGATTACCCATCATTATGTGGTATATTTACTCTCTTTGACAGCATTATCAACATCGATTCCTCTTAACTGTATGTCACATCACTGAACCTTGCCCATACTCAGTTGATCGCATACACTGTAAACGTATAGTTTAGATTTAGGGATTAATCCAATATCAAGATTTTTGTAATTGGAAAAAAGATGGTGTCTTGACTTTGAGTTATCTCGGACATGTTATAAACATTACCAGTATTACAGTGTTCTATTGTATAGAGCTAAATTATAACATTTCTGCAGTCGCATTTACGGTATTTGACGGTAGCACAGTCAGTATGCATGCAATAGCGTGTAGTCAGAGTTCAGAAATCGACTGGTGCTAGCTATTTCATGGTCAAAGTTGACACTTGGTAGAATGCACGACATCTTTACTATAGCAAAGTTTATGATCGTAATATAAATTGTATGCTCTGTAAAATAAATAGAAATTGAAATCGATTTCATTAACTGTTTGATAACAGAATATGCTTTCAAGGCTATCAATCAAAGTGGCTTAACTTCTATTGGTGTCCGTGGTACAGATTCTGCAGTAGTCGTATCACAGAAGAAGATACCGGTATATATCTAAGCTTAACTAAATACGAATTACTTTGTTCCATACCGTAGATAGCGATACGTTCGTTAATTAGTAACCAACTGCCTGCTGACTACCCGTGCGGTGCAGTGTCGACATCGATAGTTTACAAATTGCTATGACTATGAACTTGTATACAGTTACATCTTAATCTCAATAACCTAGGATATTTTCAAGTGTACCATAGATGTATATACGATTCGTATTTACGGTTTATTGTTAAAACGTAATACTAAACCGTCACTAAATACCTTGCATTCGTTACAGGACAAGTTATTAGACCCTTTGACGGTTACTAATTTATTTCGATTAACAGACAATATTGGATGTGCTATGACTGGTATGACAGGTAGGTAAAATACATGATATATTGATGACGTACGCAGTACTTTTATAAGAGGAAATTAAATAATATTTTTTGGCTTAACTTTCTCCTATGACAAAGCCGATAGTAGGTCACAAGTACAACGTGCTCGATATGAAGCTGCAAACTGGAAGTATAAATACGGTTATGAGATACCTGTTGACATGTTATGTAAACGTCTATCTGATATTTCGCAAGTATATACACAGAATGCTGAAATGAGACCACTCGGATGTGGTAAGTTCTCGTCTTAGATTGTCACCGTATTATCTAATATAATTGCAATAAATGTATGACGAGTATGATAAATTTTACATAAAATTTATATTTTAGTATTATGCAATGTCTACATTTAAATAGGCATGATTCTAATTAGCTATGATGACGAAAGAGGACCACAACTCTATAAGACTGACCCTTCAGGCTACTATTGTGGTTATCGGGCTTGTAGCGCTGGAGTTAAGCAGACAGAGGCTAACAATTTTTTAGAAAAGAGACTTAAAAAGAATGCTATCACTGACGAAGATGATACTATTCAAGTATATTAGTATTTGTAGACTTTGCTGCGTTGTTCAGGTCTTTACAGCGCGACACTTATTTAATATTTAACGTTATGTTAATGTCAACTTTAGACTGCAATTGCTGCCTTATCATCCGTGTTATCTGCCGACTTTAAGCCTAGTGATCTTGATGTAGGAATTGTGAGAAATGACGGCAAAGGATTTAGGTGAGAAAGAGTGCCCCATTTCTTAGCTCCGCTAATAACGTAGTTGTGTGATAGTAAAACAAGACTTTAAAAAGATTTTTCACTCTTGCTCATTGATAGGATCTTAAATGAAAATGAAATTGATAACCATTTAACCGCATTAGCAGAAAAAGATTAAAATCAACTTAACCGTCTTTTCCTCGTTTTGGTATTCTAATGTTTTATTTGTACGCTATGTTGTTACAAAGTTTTCAAGATAAACAACATAAAATAATTTAATTTGTGACTAAACCAGTGAAAAACTTTATGACCTTATTATTGTAGTTCAAACAGACACAATGTAAGTAAGGTTTTTCAACTTAAGACAAGTGACTTTGTCGCTAGATAATAGCATTTTTATCATATTTCATTTCGTTGTGTATGCTATGCTATAAACATTTAATCCCAGAGAATAAAGTTAATTCCTTTCATTGTTGAACTATAGTATTTTTCCTGCAATGTATTCATAAAGTACACTATAACTGCTATTGCAGTGTTGATCAGATACCTACTGCCTGCCTTTATCCCTCAGTTATGCCTTCGATTTAGTTCATAATTTACTCTGCATTGCTAAAAAATTTTGTTCAATAGTATGATTCTACGATAAGCTTAATTATGAAACGATTACGATCGTGATAAATTCGGGCCACTGTCGACCTCAAGTGAATTGCGCTATCGCTTAGCTTGCATAGTGTAGTATTTGTAGAGATACATAAGGAGTATCAATGTATTACAGTTCTACTGTATAAGTATACTGTACAGTATAAAATTAGTAGCACAGTACAGTATTTCTAATGTTAATGAATCATCAGCTCGACAAGCCCGGATGAGGCACTTTAAAATGTGCACAAACTCTTTACGAGCACAGTACTGTACAGCAGCAAAGCATGCGAAGGTTCCACTACAGTAGTTTACACTTTATAGTACTGTAATACAATGTACTGTACAGTACTGTATAATAAGATAGTGGCATTATAGTGTACTGTACAGTACAAGTCATAGAAGATATTACTTCGATCACATATTTGCAGTACAGTGTACAGTACAGTACATCACTGAGCTGGGTTATGCAGCTTTTGAATATGAAAAACAGGTGTCGTAAGTTGACAGCGATGCTTGCACTGTATCATATAGTATCTTATGAACTCTGTACGACATCTATTTTACACAATTTTTGAAGAGTACACACTGAGTACAGCCTATTCAATGTAATGCTCAGTATTGTAGATAGACCTGACTGTAGATCAGGTGCATCTAACAGTACTGTTACGAAATGAGATTTTGTTTCTACTATGGATTGCACCCGGGTAAATTACAACTATAACTTATTCTATTTGACTAGGGCAGCCCAGTCACTTAGGGCATAAAATTTGCAGTATGTCAGTCTATAGAAGAGGTTATAGCTTGGTGTTGTCTCTCTATGTTAGCTGAATCTATCTGTCTCACTAATAAAGCTCCTTTCTTCTATCGCTACCATCTCTGTGCTCTGTGCATCGCTAATTAATTGAATCTTATCACACTGTACTGTAGTTTGTACTGTACACTGAATGGACACTAAAAGAAATCCGTCTACGACAAAACCCCACATACTGTACACTGTACAGTACTTTACTGTACAAAATCCCGCACAAGAATGCCCGCAAAAGAAAGTACTGCGCATTTGTAAACCGTTCAGATTTTAACTGATATTCAGGATAGAATTCTGAATGGCCTACTGAATGTGCGTAGTACTGTATAAATTCCTGACCTCAAGAGTATGGAGATTTCTTGTTGCTGTTTATACCATAGAGGTAACAAAAAAACCTCGATGGTTTTTACTTTCCATTATACCATTTTACCATTTTACCATTTACAGTACTGTACTGTATTTTACCATTTACTGTACTGTACACTGTACAGTGCAGTAACGTAACTGGATACCGTAAATGCGTTGACTTCCAACCTTTCACAGTTCATTTAATTTGATGCTGTACCCATTAGGGCATACAGTACGTGGAATTGGATTTAATTGAAAATACGCGTAGTAGAGTGCCAGAGTCTGCTAAAAGTGTTGATAAATCGTCCATTGCTCTGGATATACATGCTGTACTGTTGATAATAATAACTATTGATTGTTCAATTTTTATTGACATCTCAAGATACTATACAGTGTACAGTACAGTAGAAGATCGATATTATTCCATCTCATAAACATAAACGATAGTAAACAGCCATGAACAACCAGGTAATAGATTTAAGTTCATGTACGACAGAAGATGGTTCTCTATGGATTTTTGGGTATGGTTCTCTGACCTGGAAAGTCAATTTTCCGTACAAGTCGAGAATGGTGGGCTATATTAAAGGATACGCTAGGAGATTTTGGCAGGGAAGCACAGATCATAGGGGTATTCCAGGCCAAGTAAGTGCTTTATCAATTTGTAATCTAATGGAGTAAATTATTTATTTAATGGCCGCAATTTGTAAAATATTCCTAAAAGAATTAAATTAGTCAGCTTGAAATCATCACAATCTTCATTCGTCCGACACACAGACGAGTATATATGACATATATAAAATTTCAATTGATTATGCAACGAGATTTTGGTCAAAGCTAACTTTATGTCGTACTAATATACGCGTATAACGTAAAACTGTAGTGGCATGAACAGTTGAACACTAGACGGTATACAGTAGTAGCATATTCTAAAGATTCAAATCCTCCTCGCCCTGGCTGTTTTATTCCAGCACGGCATAATACTAAGGACCTTCAGCATTATCTTTTTATTTTCAAGACGTCCTTACAATGCCTTCTTTGTTTTGGAGTCCCTGGCAGCTCATGACAATGAATCACATTTTTCCTTAGCAGCCCTGCCTGACAATTAGTACAATCTAAGCAAGGTTCACCTCATTATGTGGGCACAATGCCATGAGCACATAGTCATCGACGTTGCCACGAATATTAACTACGCTGTACAGTGCTTTGTTCGTCAAAATTTTGACGAAAATGTGTCGTTAAACATATTATTGTAATTATTATTTATTAATATTTGACATGAGTTTTAATTTAATAGGAATAACGAGCTAAATTAACAGATTCATAGGTGCTATTAATGGTATTTTCATAGCATTACTATGTACAGAAATTCATACTTCTATATCAAGTTCACTAAGAGGTTTTCTGCATGTCATACAGATCAGAGGATAAGCTCATCATCAAAATATGTGAGCTACATGTCATTGCAAAAGTAGGTGAAAGCTACAGTAATTTACGCAGATCAATTTCATTTAACGTTTAATCGAATTGATAGGTCTTTCGATAAAAAAATGCACCGATTAACACTAGCGAAACTCCACGAAATACATATACTGTAGATTTCAGTACTGAAAAAAAAATTAAACGCATTAAACTAGCACAACTATTTTAAGGTTATTGAAAGTTACTGAAATAAAACTGAACGATTTTAAAGATTAAAATTTTATCGATGAGGGTTGTACTGTACTCTACAATTAAAATCTACACCCGTAGGTAGTTAATTTATTTAGTGTTCTGGCTAGAGATGTATAGTACGAGCGTATAGTAATGTACATAGCAGTGGGTATCAATAACAAGTTTATTGTATTGAAACATAGATCAAAAGATCTTTTGTAAAACTAATTTTCTGCTATCTTTTCTGTTTAGCCTGGCCGTGTTGCAACTCTGATTAGGGATATGAAAGTAAGTATAGATATACTTCAACAATTGCAATATGGTATTTGCTGCCTTCCTTCTAGAAGTACTGTCCAATTGAATCTTGTATACAATATGTCAGTATACTGTATAAGTAAAAACAGGCAATCACTTTATTTAGATAATTTATAGATTAGTTCTCGTACCTGTTTTGCTATTATTACTATCACAGATGAGCATTTGCCTAAGCGTTTGCTTAATCTTCTACTTACTTTGGCACATCAGATCAATGTAATACGTACAATTGTAATAAAGTGCATTAAGGCTTACTTTCACGTGGATGTTTATTATTTGTTATTTCAAATTCGATCATGTCGCGTCGAACTAACTTGTTTTACATATAGTACTGTATAACAACGTGCATAATCGTCCAGTAATGGCATCCGATGCCAAAGATAACCAACAAAAACTTTAAGATGTATTTCTGGATCAATATTGATCTGTATTTCCTTGGTTACCCCATCATTTAGGAAATAACATGGGGTGTAGCATATCAAGTAGGACCAGATGATATCCCTAAAGTCATTGGCTATTTAAATTTTCGAGAGAAATGCGGTTATACTACAGACTGCGTAAAGTTTTATTCTGCGGATAATACTAAAAATTTACCAAGTGTATTAATCTATATCGCCACGGAAGATAATGAAGAATTTCTTGGACCAGCAACATTACAAGAGGAAGCGAGACATATTGTATCAAGTTGTGGACCAAGTGGACAAAATTCAGAGTATTTATTACGTTTGGCTGAAGCTATGAGAAAAATGGGAATTACTGATCGCTACTTATTCGATCTTGAACAAAAGATATGTGAACTGATGGCACAATGATGACACTCTACGAATAAGTTCGTATTATAAATTAGGTATATAAGACTGTCTTTTTACAAAAAAAATTGAAAATGATTAACTATAACCATGGAATGCAAAATAAGGTTTCTCTGCAGTAGTTCGTGTTAATAGGTCGTAATCTTACTTTACTGTCTTTGATGATTATAATTATACTAATTTATATGACATCGTTTCAATTTCCAAGAGATATTACGTATTGTTAAATTTATTTCGTAACAATATATGTGACCGTGCATAACCATGTTTACTAAAATCTAAAATGATCCAATCGTTATTTATGTCACAATTACTGATTTCAAATCTATACTGATAATACGCTAGTATATAACATTTAATAATTCATCCAAATACGATTAACAAGTAGCAAATATCTGATATTTAATAAAATTCAATCAAGAAATTACCGAATGTTCACGAAAATAGAAATCACAGTTTCTTACACTAGCTATTGAATGCAAGCTGTTTTATTATCATTAATTGTAAAAAATATCATTAATGGATTAGGAAGCTATAATTACACCGTATTTATATCGTTATAGTTGGTATATACTTTTAAATCTAGAGTCATTAGCATATGGGAAGGACAGATTGACTAATTGTTAATTTAATAATAAACTTTAATGATATCTTTATTGCTCGTACCTTCGAAACTCTTCTCGTTATCTCGATTACTATGATTTAATGAAACACAAATTGCACGTTGTACCGCTAAATATTTTATCAACTATGGGAATAGTTAGTGTTATATTGTGAAGATAGATCGACTAAATTATGAAAAATTATTGCAATACAGCACAAAATCGATTTTAATTCGTGTTGCAAAATATGAACTATGTGGAGACAAGCTTTCTTACCTTTCAAGATTTTAGGTTAAACTACTTTAACTATCGAGAAAGTAAATCTGACTTTGGCACTAACAATTTTTATCATGATGAGTATAGTAGAAATACTGAAAAGATATACTGCAATCACTAATTATTACATGGTATTATTGTGTGAGATATACTCGAATTACTCGTACAGTATAAAATTTTCTTAACAATATTATTCTGCATCGTTCTACGTATTCAATTAAGATACTACATGTTTTTATGAAGAGAAGCAATGTTACAATACTAATCATTGCGACTGTTTGTAATAATTGTGATATATACATATATACTGTAGAAATAGTGAAGTGTGATATACTTTATAGAGTCTATAGACTATTGTAGCTATAATAGGCTATAACAGCTATGATGTAATTTTGATGTAATGTAGTTAGATATTTAATAATTAAATATCATTAACTTAGAGAAAGGGTAGAAGGTTTAGACCGACTAGTTGCTAATTTATTATTTATTTTTAATTATCCAATGCCTTTATTGTCCATAAATTCTATTCAATTTTTCGCAAGCGTAAGAGTTATTCGTATTTAATATTTGCATAAAAATTGAACAGTAGACTTCGTAGTGAGCTTTATTTCTTATTCTAAATTTGATACCATGTCTACGCAAGTCACTGCAAGATTAAATTAATTAGATGACGGAAAGAAGCCATCCATCCTGAACACAACAACTACAGTATTTGAAAATATGAAAATTGCGTCCTTTACACGCAGCATGTGACTATTACTTCTTTCTTCCTTTAATGGTAGATTTATTACTGTTACTGTTACAAATCTAAATTTGTAACGTGAGAAAATTTAACTACTACAAAAACTAACACTACGAGTCTACTGTCAGGTTTGTCCTCCTTGACATCTGCCTACAATACGACTATAAATACTGGCGATCTCCTATCATCAGGAGAAAATAGTAACTCCACCAGTCTCTGTTAGGCAAAACTGAACTCAAGTTGTATTGAAATATCATTTAATTTATACTAAATCTACATAAACACTAGTACTCAGTTTATAGATAGTATTTAAAAAATTATACACTTATCTACCAGAAGGATGTATAATGTCATAGATAACGGTATGTTATTTGACGTAAATAAGATAATCATTTTGTAAGAAAATTCACTTCGTGGCAGTCATAATGAGCATAGTAGAAAGTATAAACTGTATATGAGTATATTCCTGCTATGTTAAATGATTTTTCTCCGATATCCATCTGTGCAAGAGTGCTCATAAAATACCTGTATTTAACATGATTTTATGCCAAAAGCTAAAAGTTATCAAGAGGTTACAGTTCGAAGTATGATAGAGTATCGTTTACTAGTTTACGAGTTAAAAATAAAACGCTGTAGTATTGGAAAGCATAAAAAATACCGATGACGAATGAAGTGATAATACGAGTATAGCGAATTTTTTACGTGGATTAGAAAGAAGCAATGTCTCAACTTAAACGTACTCAAGATTTACACGGTTATCCACGCTTATTTGTTTACGAGAATGTTTATTTAGTAATGACTAGTCGGACCTGTACACCAAGCTGCGCTGTACAGTACTATCGCAATGCACGATATAGATAAATAATCATTCGCAATAAATCTGTTTATGTATTGTAAAGTCCAATCTTCTTACTGAAGTTATTTATAAACAAACAATATCAGCGAATCTTGTCAATATTTTTGGTTAAAAATTTAAGAATCATAACTTCGATACACGATTATCATTTAAGAAATTGAGATTTCATAGAATTTTGTAGTGTATTATATGTACATTTAGGTACTCTATACGCCTAATGATAACCTTTGTATAGGAAATTGATATAAGTAAATAGCGAATTAATCCTATTTTAATTATTCCTTTTACAAGCAAAGCCCACAATCTGCCAATGTCAGTCATTTTCATTATAGTAAATAAATAAATTAGCACGATTATATACGCGTATACAATAAATGTATTCAATGGGATACTATAGTATCAAACTATCAATGCATAGCGTTAAATAGTCTTTAGTTATGATTGAGCAGATCATGCCATCCATGACATTGCTACAGTATAATACTCGCGCTCAGGTGCAGTTCGCTCAAGCAGTCCATTGTCACTATGATCCATCAATCCCGTCATCCACCGGTGCAGCTGTGCGGCCATATCCAGCCTACAGTAGACATTCATGACCCAACCCATTCCGTTCCTTCCTCACCTATTGGTCTACCTGACCTGTTGTACACTGCTTACCAAGCGTCCACATCACTGCAAAAATAAGGCCAAGCGGAATAATCCTAACTGCTATCAAACAACTTCTAACCGTATGTTGTACCGTATATATTATTTAAAATAATG